AATTTTTGTCACAGACATGGAATTTGTTATTCGAACAAGGCAAACAATCGCACGAAGAATGCTCTACTTTGCTTCTGGTTCGCTCACATTTTTTATTTTTCCGTTTTCCCGTTTAATTCCATTCCTTAGGTTTATATACTTATATTTTAATTTTGATTTTTGCTTTAGCCTGCGTTGTCAATTGGGAATGTGGGGCAGCTAGCAGTGGATTTATTAGTATCATCAATGGAAGCCTAGAGAATTGGACGCTTAGACTATCCCTTTGTGCTTCCCTGCATTGGAAATGATGCTTATGGCCCTATTCCTTTTGGCGACCTTGCTCTCCCTCTTGAAGGTGCTCTTTCTTACACGCATTTTCCTCAAATTCTTTGTTTTAGGAAGTTTGGGTAATGTATTTGAACTCAATTTTGTTGTTTCTTGCTCTTGCAGCTTACCAATCGTCTTCTGGTCGGCTCACTCTTCTCCAACAGCAGTCTTCGGTCGTTAAGGTATCACTTCAATTATAGTTATATTGATTCAATTTTATGTTCCTGTTGCAACTATGTGCTGGCATGACCTTTATGATGGTTAAGTAGTCCTTATCCATCTAGGATAATCTTTTGATTTAGTTGTCTTATCAAGTTACAAGTTTTTGTAATGATTTTTTCTTTTTAAGTATAATAATCTTCTTGATGCTTCAAAATTAACGTGCTTTGTTGACTTACTAAAGTAGGATTTTGAGGATTTCACAAGCTAGTTCCACTGCTTAAACTGAACTAGAACAAGAATATCCATTTGATGGAAAAGCCAGTTTTCTCCCTCTTCTAGAGAGTATTGCATCTTTGCTTTCATTGACTACATGCATATAGTAGGATTTACACAGAACGTAACTTCGTTATTTTAATTAAAGTGTTTTGAGCAAGATCTACTATCTTTTGTCTTTCTTGCCAGTTTTCACTTTAGGAATGCACTTGTAATTCTTTTTGTTATAGGTCATTATAGAAAGCATATGTATATAACTAAATAATTAAAGGCTCGTACACAGTGAATCCAAATAATACATATTTCACAATTTAGATAGTCAATTACTTGGATTACTCTCATATTTTGCATGCTAAAGGATTTTATAACTTTTAATTGCCTTCTTGAAGCAAAGAATGAAAACTTAATGTTTTGTTCCTTGGACTTTGAATGTGCTGTTAATACATGCTTGACTATCTTCTGCAATAGTACCTGGAAGTTCATTTCATGGTTGTCTTGACTAAGGGATCTAGCATGCCATTTGAAATTCATTAGTGAACTAACTGTATATTTTTTGACCTTGTCTTCAATATGTTTTTGTTTTCCCATTTCCATGAGGGATAAGGTTGCATGCATGTTTTTCCCCAATTGTTAAGTTTTCTTTATTTTCAATGCTATAACTATACTTAATTTGAATATTGATAGAAATATTTGATCTTTTAAATGGTCATCTATACAGGGGATGGTGGTTGAATTTGCCAAAATTTTGGCAAATTTTGCTGCGGCAAGTGGAAAGAAGCATGTTGTTTTGCTTTCTAGCTTGATTTTGGAAAATGGCTGAAAATTGACATGTCGAGGTATTTCAAGCTGTATGGATTATTGATTTACTTCTGTTCTGGGAAATCACCTTGGCAGCCTGCTATGCCATTGTTTACAAGCAATTGAGCATTTTGTCAACGCTGATTTTTTGGCTTTGATTTCAGTGGTCCTCAGATATAATACCTATCCTTCTCCAATCCTGATGGAAGAGATGATCACTGTGAACAGCTTGGATGGAAAAGGCTGCAAGAATACAACCCTGCTCAGAGATGTTGGAAGTATTTTAGCACCTTAGTTGAAGGAAATACTATGTTAGAAAGCAATTTACCTTTTGAAGATGAGCCGGAAGAGGAAGACTATTACCTAAGTTTGCCTTTTGCAGCAATTTTTTCTTGTTTGAAGGTATTCTTCTCTCAAGTGCATAATTGTTTAGTACTGAATGTTTGTGAGTCTGCCTTTTGCAGCAGTTTTTCCTCTTCTATTTTTAGTCCAGAGCCATTTGATAATGAAGTACAATGCAAAAGTTTCTGTATTTTCTCTGTGGCTTACTTTATAATTTTATATGTATGCCAAAGGTTTGAAGGTTACATGCTTATTATGCTATTGTTCAGAAGGGGATAATATACAGGATGTTTTTCTTTTGGCTGAGGCAGCATGCAAACTTTTTGGGCTAAGTCCTAGTACTTTTCATGGTAAGTTTCCTTCATACTTAAGATAACAATATTGCTTGCAATGGCTACTCTGTGACATCTTTTGACACCGGTGACCGATCCCAAGATCAATAGGTAAGGGGAATAAGGCTAGACTCGATATACTGTTGAATAGTACCCTTCCACCCTTGATTATGCACATTTTCTAAGCAATTTGGAATTTACAAATTGTTAGTGTTTTTGTTATCACAAACTTCTTCAAATGCACTAGATTGCAAGAATGTACTGTATATATTACTTTTTCATGTACTTACATATGGAGCTTTAAAGTTTCTCCAGTCATTTGAGATGATCGTAATGCTGGAGGAATATGTCATTTTTTTTGCTTTTATTGTCTCAATTTCCTTAAAATGATGTACTGTTTCTTTTATTATTGTTGTGTTTGCTTCATAAGTAAAGATCTTGTGGGCGAATTTGGAGTTTTTGACCATGACTCTCACATTATCATCTACAAGATAACTTTTAGTTATGATTCAGATGTGCTAATCTCAAAAACTTGTTTCAATGTAATGTTTTCATGTAATGAGAGTGGTAGTTGGGTTATCCCTTTCTCATGGCAGACTGTATATGGACCACCACCAGATGTTTCCATCTTTTAGGCTTGGATTCCAGTAAAAGCTGAATCTGTTTGTATTGGCACTGATGTAAACAGTTGAGAAAATTTGCTCCAACTAATTTGAGTACACTAAACTTTTTTTTTTAAGTTCACAATCCAATACGGGTATTACAGGTAACACAGTCCTTAATGAGGGGACCTAGTGGTTCTGTCAATTAAATTTTGTGAGGGCGAAATATGTAATTTCGAAATTGGTGGACTTGAAGTGACAGTAACAGTACTAGTAGTATTTATTTTTGTTTTTAAATATTTCTTATGATTTAGTTTTATTATTATTGAAAGGAGGCACGAAGAAATCAAACATATTTGTAAATTTTGATTTTCAAACATATTTTTCAAAAATTTTAATTCAAATATAAATTTTTTTTAAATATCAAAACTGAGTTTGTTTGAAAAAAAAAAATCAAATATGGACAAGTAAAATGGGAGAGATATCTCCAATAAAAAAATAGCTAACAAAGACTATACTCTACAGCCCAGACAAAGTGATTATTAATAATCCAAATAACAAATGTAGCAAAATTTGTTATCTGCAGACGTAAATTCTCTCATACAATTCTGAGGAAGACCCGGACTGTCTCATCCTCATTTCTGCAGGCAAAATACTCAATTTGAACTTTGATGTTTCAACTAAGCCAAAGCTAGGAGATGGTAGATGTTCTTTCGAAAAAAAAAAAAAAAAGAAATTCTGCATTTATTATCACTATAAAGTGTAATTGATATGAAAGTCGATACAATATTAAATACAATATTAAATTCGATGTAGCATTTAACTTCAAAATTGAAGTTTGAAATTTAGTTATACAATATTAAAGTCGATACAATATTAAATACAATATTAAATTCGATGTAGCACTTAACTTCAAATTAAAGTTTGAAATTCAGTTTGAGTTTGATTGAATTTTATATTTTTAATTTAAATTCAATTTGATATAAAAATCAAGCTATTTGAATTTGTTTGATTAATATGTAAAAATAAATTCGATTTTTATATTCGATAATAATTTGATTATTTGTATGCAAGTTTAAGATATTTTATTAATTAAAATAATTAAAATATAAAAATTTGATTAGATTCGATGATATAAAAATATTTAAATTTGATTCGATAAATAAATTGAGTTATTTAAACTCAATTTGATAATATATGAATTAAATTCAAATTTTATTCAAATTGAATCTAAATAATCTAATAATTTGAAAGTATTAATATATTATTTATATTCTTAATTACTATAAATACTTGATTACCATAAAATTCTCTATCAATCAATTTTTTACCAAGCAAATATGACACATTTGCTTCTAAATCTGAAACGTGAGGCGTGGATGGACGGCATGTGAAACTCATCTTTAGACCATATGAAAAGTAATATTTTCCTAACTTTGACCGCCCGTGATGCCACAGAAAGAACAATTACATTTGAATACGAAAAGCTGGTTTAGTATTATTATTACAGCCAAAAGAAATTGAGTTGAAAAAAATTATGTTTAAAACGTGTGCTGAGAATAGTAATTTTAAGGCTAGTTTGGTGTTATTTTTGCAGCTGCAAAAAAATGTGATTAAAAATTTAAAGTATGTAATATTGTTATGAAAACATATTGTGAATAATTAAAATATTTAAAATATAAAGTAACATAATAATTTTTATCTCAAAAGCACTTTTTTACTACAAAAGCTATTCTTTTCTTGAATTGCAAAACTAGGCTTTTAAACTGAAAAATATTTTTTTTTTATTATTTAGAATTGAAATTGAGTGGAAAGCAGATTTTAAACGCAAAAGTTACTTTCAACAGTAGTCTTAAAAACTTAAAATATTTGATATTATTGTAAAAAAAAAATGTGAGTAATTGAATAATTTTAAAATATTATATATATAAAATATAAAAAAAATATATAGTAAATTTTTATGCAAGCATATTTTTTCACTGTAATAGTATCTATTGAAAGTTTTTAAATTTGAATTTTAAAACTAAACTTTGAGATTTTAAAAATCACATTTTTTTTATTGTTTAATGCTAATTGGATAAAGCGCAATAACTATTTTCAACGCGGTAGTCAGTACTAAGAAAATTAAAGATGTAGCATAACTATCACATGGTTGTGTGTCCTACCTGTCAGTAGTACTATATATTATCAACAAGGCCTAGCTCTCCGAATCATCAAAGGCCCCAAAAATGTCTTCTTCTTCTTCACAGTCGCCGGAGCTGCCAGTGAAACCAGTTCCTGGCGACTGTGGCCATCACTTCTTTGGTGCAATTCGAGACCGTTTAGCATACTTTTATTATGAAGGCAGGGACAAGTTCTTTGAGAACCGAATCCAAAAATACCAATCCACAATCTTCAGAACTAATATGCCTCCTGGCCCTTTCATTTCCTCTTCCCCTCGAGTTATTTGTCTTCTCGATGCTATCTCTTTTCCCGTCCTCTTTGACACTTCAAAAGTCGAAAAACGTGATGTTCTTGATGGTACTTACTTGCCTTCTTTGGCCTATACCGGTGGGCATCGAGTCTGTGCCTACCTTGACGCTTCCGAGCCAAAGCACAATTCTCTAAAATCCTTCTTTTTGTCTACTCTTGCAGCCCGTCGTAATAAGTTCATACCGCTCTTTCAAACAGGCTTATCAGATCTTTTCGACGAGCTGGAAGCTAAAATTTCTACCAAAAAAGAAGCATATTTTAACACCCTTAGCGATACCATGTCTTTCAACTACGTTTTTCACCTTTTCTGTGACAAAAACCCTACTGAAACAAAGATAGGATCAAAAGGACCAAAACTTGTTGACAAATGGTTATTGTTTCAGCTTGCACCACTTGGATCACTAGGGTTGTTGCCAAATCTTCTATGTTATTTGGAAGATTTCTTGTTGCGTACATTTACTTTCCCATTTTTTCTAGTTAAATCTGATTACAAAAAACTTTACGATGTCTTTTATGAGTTCGGGAGCTCAGTCTTGGATGAAGCTGAAAATAAGTTCGGGATTGAAAGAGATGAAGCTTGTCATAACCTGGTTTTCCTTGCTGGTTTTAATGCTTATGGTGGCATGAAAGTTCTTTTCCCTGGACTGATCAAGTGGGTTGCCTTAGCAGGACAAAAGTTGCACAAGAAACTAGCTGATGAAATCAGGACCATTGTCAAAGCTGAAGGTGGGGTCAGTTTATCTGCCTTGAACAATATGGCTTTGACTAAATCAGTGGTTTATGAATTTCTGAGGATCGATCCTCCTGTTCCGTTCCAATACGGCAAAGCTAAGGTTGATTTGGTAGTCCAAAGCCACGATGCAGCCTTCGAGATCAAGAAAGGTGAGATGATCTTCGGGTATCAGCCATTTGCTACGAAGGATCCCGAGGTTTTTGAGAATCCTGACGAGTTTGTGGCAGACAGATTTCTTGGGGAAGGAAAGAAGCTTTTGAAGTATGTGTACTGGTCAAACGGGCGTGAGACGGAGGATTCCACGGCGGAGAACAAGCAATGTGCCGGGAAAGATCTGGTGTTGCTGTTGTGTAGAGTATTGTTGGTGGAGCTTTTCCTTCGTTATGACACGTTTGAGGTTGAGGTTGGGACGTTTATGTTCGCAGCATCAGTGACGTTCAAGTCATTGACTAAAGCATCAAGTACTTGACCAGCTAGCCATGATAGATCATCATAAAATTTAGTTATATTTGAAGGGTGTTTTCATCATCAGCTTCTGATCCTGTTGATTTCTCAATTCTACTGTATTTCAATTATCTCATGTACCTATTTGTAAGTAGTTGCTACCAATACATCGTTTTATTAAAATTGTTTTCTATAATTAGAAGAATAATGATAGTACTGCATGCTGATATGAAATTTGGACATCAATTTGAACTTGTTGATTTTTGGGGGGTTTATGGAGAGAGGTGGGAGAAGCTTGTAAGATAACCTTTTCTTGAGCCCCTCAAAAGAGTTGAGTTGTAGCTTTGAGGTGCTTTCCGACGTTAAATAATCAAATATGCATTAAGGAGGAGAATAGATGATATATTGGAAGCTTAGGTAGAGACTTAGTAGAGAAGAACAGTAATTTGACCTACAGTTTTGAGCTTTTACCTAATACTTTATGACTCGAGTTACTGGTGATAGTGGTTGTCGTTACCAACTGGTCAATACGTCATCAAACTTTGTCTGGGTCCGTAGTTTTTGTATCTTGGAGCCACGGGGATAACTCTTTGGTTATGGACTCACGACTTGAGCCTTAAGTGTTACTTGATAATCGGCATAACACAATTGACCATTCATTTAACCATGTAAACAATATTTATCACAGTAGAGTTTTCAAATTAGTTTCATACGTGGCTAAAAATTTACACCTTTTCTTTAAATATATTTCTAAAAATTAATAAATTTTTAATTATGATAATTATACAACAAGCAAAAATATTTTTAAACTCTATTGACAATATATAAAATCATAATTCTAAGTAAATTTTATTTGTGTTACAATAAGGTTAATAAAGTCACAATATCAACAACTTTAGAGAATTACAAAAGCAACAAGAAGGAATCAATGCAAAGAAACATTGTTGGATTCTTAGCAAATTAATAAACCAAACCTGGTTTTAAATATCTGGGTATTTCATGATCCTGTTAAGCAAATATTTGGTGGCGGGTTCAAGTTCCTGTGAATGGGGGGTACGACTGATTGAGATTTGAGAGTAATATAGAAAACACAAAGCAATAATCGGAATTCATCCTTCACATGGCTGACTAAATAAGGTTATTCAAATCCAACGTACATCAATTTTCGATTTTGTATAAACGACACAGTATTGGTAATGGTATGATCTGTAGATCCATTCAAAATATTTTTCTAGATCCAATGAAATAAAATAGTATTTTTTGCAAATGAGTTTCACATGTATGAAAGAAATAAACAATAAATATTTCTTGCTAAGGTTGTTATTATAGCAAATAAGATCTGGAAAATATCAAATTATCTCTCCGTATATTATATTTGACATACTAGTCCTTAAAATAAATATAATTTTTTAATCGTCTTTAAAATAAATATATTATTAGTCTTAACTAAATGCATGATTAATAAATTATATGATATCACTACATTAATGAATAAATATAATTTTTTATAAATCCTTCAAATAAATACAAAAAACTTGATTTAAAAATTTTTTTAATAAATAAAAGTAACATCTTATGGTTTACTATCAATGTGTAAACTATACATAAATAATATAATAAATGTAAACTCTTTAAAATATAAGAAAACTTAATTTGAATTATTTATACTTTAGAATTGTAGTTTCTCCTCGAACATTGATTCAAATCTTAAAAGATTAATTTGATAAAAAATTTATTTGAAATTTATTAGAATTGATTAGATATTATATGGTAGATCAAAATTTATGTCAAACATCAAATTAGGAATTGATTTAAATACAAATTTAGTTATCAATTTAAAAATAAATTAAACCTTATTAATTGCAATAACACATAAGTATAAATAAAAGTAAAATCACAAAAGTTTGGTACTTGTAACTTAAATAATCTTTTATCCTTTTTTTGGGTGCATTTTTTTTTTTAATCTTTGGTTTAGGTGATCAATATATTCTTAATGTGGATGGGTGTTTTAGTAGCTTCCACTTCTTCCCTTGCAAGGGTAAAGGCCCTTTACCGCAAAAGTACAAACTGAACCAATGTGCAAATAACTTCACTGTTTATTGGCGTCATAACAATTGGAAATTTCTCATTTCAAAGCCGAGAAAAGACCAATTTGAATTCCTTTGTTTTCCTTTGGTAGCTTAAACAATCATTCTACTATTGTTTTGTATTCAATTTGGCAGTGGAGGTGTCTCCTGGTTTCTAGTTTGGGTTGCAAGATTTTGATAGGATCATAAAGGATTGGCATCGTCCCACACAATTTCAAGGTTTTGAAATAGACTTCCTACCATGTTGTACTGTTATTGGTAGGGAATAAAGAAATTTCAAGGAAAAAATGGCCAAAAATGTTGGCTGCTGCTTAGTGCTTATCGCCATCATTCACGTCAAACTACAGTCACCCATGTTTTTGTTGTGATTTATGAATTGTATTGGTATAACCATAATATAAATATGAATTCTTTGTCAGCAAATGTTTCTTTTCTTTTCTTTTAAAGCTTATCTTTTGAAAAAGAAAACAACCATGAATCAAAAGAAAACAGTGCAATGATGAAAATTTTCCAGTGATGATGATCTTTTTTCTTGTGTCTAATAAAGTAAGTTTCTTCAAAAGCCCCGGCTGTTGAAGGAGAATTACCAGGCTGGGCTGCTTGTTTGGTAGTTAAAACCACAAATCTCAAGACAGCGTCTGGAATGCAAGCTAATCATAAAAATGACCAAATCAATTATCTATATACTTGAAAACAATGGTGTCATTTTTTGTTATTAATATATTTGTAAATTGTAAAATATTAAAATTTATATATTTAAATTATATTTTTTATAAAATTTATATGTTATAATTTATATTGATATAAAAATATAAAATATAATATTTTTATTATATTAAATATATATATAATTATTATAATTTTATATTTAATTTTAATATTATAAATCATATTATATTATCTAATCGTATTTTAAATTAATAAGTATGGTTTCCAATGCAAAATTTTCGCCGGAGACTTTGATTTGATTCCCAATACTTTTTAATGCAAACTGACAAAATGATCCTGTCATTTCTTTATTGTTTGTTCATATCTGGGGGCACGTCTGTCGGTATGGTAGATGCTGATAGGTCTTGTGAATAATTGAAAGCAAGGGGGCCAGCGCAAGGGAAGAGATGGGAGACCCACAATCAATTTGAATCTATCAATTAATTTTTTGATGATATTTTATATACATTTTTTATAAATTCAGTGAACAGTTGATATGGTTTATGATCATGTAAGTCCAATTTGTTAGATGGAAACTGATTTACATATACAAGTCATGAGGTGTGTTAAACGTGAGGCTTGGTTTTTCCGTCTTTTGTTTCGTTTTTTTTCAAGTTAAAAGTAGAAATTAGGTATACTTATCATGCCATCTTAAGCTTGATACTTGAAAATAATTTAATTTAAATTTTCTTTTTAATAATAATTATCATACATATATATCAATAAATTCTTGTTTATTATGAAGAAAATTAAAAGCATGATCATCAATTGTGTGCTGTGTCTTAAAAAGTAAAAGCATTGATGGCAGCGTCTTAAGAATTGCTTGGGGGGCATCTTTCCGTAATTAAAATGCCATGATTCATGTAATAAGGCTAGGCTGGTAACAATAATTCAATTCTTCTCGCATTAAGGAGCTGGCAAGAGTAGGCTACTAAGGACAGCAAAAAAGATTGTTGATGATAGAATTAACATAAAGGATAATGGAAGGATGACGGATGTTGGAATTAAAAGTTTAAATTTATTAATTTATTAAATTTTAAATTTTAATATGCTTGTATAAATTAATTGAATTAATTTTAGATTTTTTATTTTTTTATTATTAATTAGATTGTTTGGGACATATAAGTTGAGATGACAATTTAATTCGTGTTTGACAAAATTTAATCCAACTTGACTTCTTAAGATCATTTTTTTAAAAATCGAGTTTTGAGTAAGATAATTGTAGAATAAAATTAAAATCGGATTTTAGAAAAATTCATCCTGACCTAATATATATAATTATTTTTTAATTATTTATTTAATTTTTATATTTACATTAAAAAATTATTTTATATTATAAAAATAATATTTTATTAATTTTGAATCAAATTATATGTAATTTTTCATAATATTAAATCAGATCGAATTCAAGTTTAAAAAAAATATATCAAGTTAAATCAAATTCAAGATGAATAAAAATCTATTTTGATTTGATGCATTACCATTCTTACATACAAGATTTATCTATTTCTTTGGATGAATAAAATAACTTAGATTTATAAAAAAGCATGCCATTAATTAATTAGGTTTTATGATAGATCATCAATTCGTCATAAAACTTAAAATGAATGTTGTTTTCATAATGTATTGTTAGGTGTAAAAATGTAATCGATTGAATTTGAACTAATAAAATATTAAGCTTGAACTCGAGCTTAATTCGAAATTTAAGATTTAAAACTTGGTTCGAATTCGATTAAGTTTTATTTTTTTAACTTAAGTCCGATTTAAAATAGAAATCAAATTATTTAAGTTTGCTCAATTAAACTCGATTAACATGTAAAAATAAACTCAATTATTATATTTGATAAAAGTTTGATTATTTATGCTATAGCTTAAGTTCAGATATTTTGTTAATTAAAATAATAAAAATATATTTAAATATAAAAATTCGATTAAGCTCGTGAGCTACTTGTATCAGGTATAAGAATGTTTGAACTTAATTTAATCAATAAATCAAATTACTCGAGCTCAAACTCAATTCAATGATAATCAAGCTAACTTCAAGTTTTATTCGAATCAAATTCAAATAATTTATGAGTACTAATATATTATTTACATCTCTAATTGGGTGCATGAATGTTGAAACAAAAGGTCAGTCTGTAGGCCCACTTCAAGCCCAATTTGCCGATTTAGAACAAAATATGTTCGGAGCCCAGGAGATCCATTTTATTGGTCTTGACTCTTCAGCGATAGATTCGGCTTCATTTTCCAGAAAATAAAACCCAAAGCTTTTTTATCTTACCAAAGAAAAAAAGCCCAAAGTTGGGTTTTTCTTGATGATGGAATAGTGTTACTTAATCCCATTAAAACGGGACCTAAAATAAATGAAATTCCGTAAGATTTAATTAATAAAAGAGAAATTTTTTGTTTCAGCAAACGGTAATGAGGAACAAGGATAAGAATAAGAATAATGCAAGTTGAGCTGGCATAGCAGATGTGTAAGCATTGATGGCATTGGCCCCTTAATTAACACTTGGAGGTTTCCATTGGTTACTACTTTCTAGGCTTCTCTTACCAATAGTCAACAGTTGCAGCTTGTTTTGTCCACTCGTTATTTGTCTACGTTGCATTGTTAACTTTGTAAGCCTCGCTTCTTTGTTATCTGTTTTTTTTTTTTTTTTCTTATTTTTCTCTTTCTGGTTTCAAGAATCTCTTTTGCCTGGGTATTTTGTAATCAAGAGGGTGAAGGAATAGGAAATGATGGGAAAGAAGAGTTATGTGGCAACGAGGGCTGGGCAAGAAGCAAGTGATCTTATCAGTTCCGATTTCAAAGAGCTAGTATTTGCTGCTAAGAAGCTTGCTCATCATGCCTTCAAGTTGGGTTCTTTAGGATTTGGGACATCGGTTCTTGAATGGATCGCTTCCTTTGCTGCAATGTATGTAACTCTCTTTATCTCTTCCTTTCTTTCTTCATATGTTCATTTTCAAATTTTCTCTGCACTTAATCCTAGATATCTAGTAGGTTTTTTTTATCCTGCTGTTAGGCTCATGGTGATCCAAATCAATCAGTAGATCGAATGTAATTAGTTGTGGATTTTGTTACGAGTGAAGGGTTTGTTCAGATTTGACAGTTTAATAATACTGTAATTGTTGAACTGGATTGAAATTTGAAGGCTTTTTAGTTTTCCTTTTGGAATCATGGAATGTTTACGTGTATAAACCTTCTAGGATTCCATCCATTATTTCTATATTTTTGCTAGTAAACTTTTCCCTTTTCTGATTCATTATCATGATTCTGTTCGACCGTTTCTGATGAGTTCTTTCCCTTGTCTTAAAAGTTGCTTGTTTTTCAGTTATTTATTAGTATTATAAAATAAATTGATCTTGTAAAATCCTGCTTTTCTTTTTAACAAGAGAGCACTATTCTGAGTAGCTTTAAAATCATGATTTTCTCAAGCAGTTCATGAATTCTGATGGTTTACTCTGTCCTATGTTGTACTTAACGCAGTTATCTATTGATCTTGGACCGAACAAATTGGAAAACAAATATTCTTACGGCACTATTAATCCCATATATCTTCTTGAGTCTTCCTTCCTTATTGTTCAACATCTTCAGGTAAATCCATGCTGTGGGTAGCATTCGTTTTTGTAGCTTAAGTGTTCCATTTTTCTTTTCAATTTTAATAAATTGTTTGGTCTTGCAGGGGACAGGTTGGAAAATGGATTGCTTTTGTTGCTGTTGTTTTGCGCTTGTTCTTCCCTAGACGTTTCCCTGGTATAATATTGATCTAATCCCTCTATAAATTACCTGGTCAGGCTTGAGCTTGATTTTATCATCTTTGAACGAATATGCAGTAAAATGGTTGGTGGCTTTGGCGTTTGCTTTGCCATCTACAATTTGATTGAATGTCCGACAATGATGATATTCAAAATTTGTGGTAACCAGTTATTACTTGATACTGAAAGTTTGAAACTGCAGATTGGCTGGAGCTTCCTGCTGCTTTGATTCTTCTAATAGTGGTGGCTCCTACCTTATTTTCAAGCACCATAAGAAACGACTGGATTGGTGTGGTGATATGCCTTGCCATTGCTTGTTACCTTCTCCAGGAACACATCAGGGCATCGGGTGGGTTTCGAAATTCTTTCACACAAGCGCATGGAATATTGAACACAATTGGCATAATTATTCTGTTGGTCTACCCTGCTTGGGCTTTGGTACTTGACATCCTGTAGGTTTAGATCATTGTTTTTAGTTTTGTGAAGTTCATGAATTGTTTCGCTGTACCATTAATTTGTTGAGACATACAAATTCATTGTCATTGTTGGGCCATCAGACATGGTTTTTCTGTGTTGCTTTTTCTGCATTCGTAAGAATTCCTTGTTTAAAGTACTTATTATAGTAATATTTTATTATTGAACCTTCATACTCCAGTGGAAAAAGTAAAAGAGCGGACAGTGGTGGGAGTTTGTTGAACTCCCGCAATAAATTCTAAGATGAACTTTGGAATGTTTTGAAATTAAATTGAAGACTTTGGAATAACTTTGGCCCTCCTATTTATTGTGGTGTGTGACAGGTTGGTTTGAATTATTAAAATGTTTTAGGCTTTGTTTTGTTTTTTTTTCTTTTGTTTTTTCTTGACAAAAAAAAAAAAAGACCAGGGAATTTGGTTGGGCTGCCGCCAATGGGACTGGACCAAGCCTGCTCTGTATTTCAGGACCGCCCAGCCCAAGTTTTCATTAGGTTTCTGCACTATAATGAAAATATTAAGAGCAACAAGTTAGCGAATACCATCCATAACAGAGTCTCAAGAATTTGACTTGCTTTGAGTCCATAATTTTATGAATTTCGACTCAAAAACTTTTATTTTCAACATTAACAATTAAACAAATGATTTAAGGCGTTGACAGCTATTTATTTAAAAATACATTTTCAAAACAATAATTTAATTATTAAATAAATATATGATAATTGATAATACATATCATTTCACTTGTAAAAATAAAAAATTAATCCTTTATATATATAAATAAAAGTTGATTTTTAGACACTGAGAGTAAAATTTTTTAATTATTATTTGTATTTCTTTACTATGGCCAAAAAAGCTCTTAATCCACTGAGTGATCATTTCTCCTCAAATTATAATATATATTTTTAAATAACAAATTTTAGTCTTTACTTCTTTAGACTGCTTTGGAAGAACCCTTTGAATAATTACCAAAGAATTAATTTTTCCACAATGCCTGTGAGATTAATCAATTTATTAATTAATAGTTTGAAAGAGGAAACAGAATTAGAAGTCAAAAAATGCCACTAGTACGTATGAAAAGGTTCTGTCTTCCATTTCTTGGAAGATCCTCACCATGTGGGTCACCACATCAAATCTTCTTTAAAATCTTCCCATCATTTTTTATGATTTGTGGACCCAAATCCTTTGCGCTACAAAACCGAACCTTAATCTCGAATCCCCTATAATCACACGCCACGCCGTTATAGGAAAATGAAATTAATCACGAGCGAATCCATGTTTGATTGAATTCATTACGTGGCAACAACAGAACATGGGAATCTAATTGTAAGATGTGCCCATCCGCAGATTATAAAACCTCCTGAGGGCCATAAATTCACCAATGCCTACGTGTCGTGTACCCGCCATCCCGCATCGACAAGTCGTTCGGTGAGACCAGACAACACAATCAACTCTCTAAAACATTAAACCCCTCAAACATCCCCCAGAACTTATCGCTTACTCTAAAATAACAACCACCCCACCGCCACTCTAGCGAAACACCTCCATCGCGGATCATGGGGTTCACCACCTGCGCCCCGTCTCCAACTCCATCTCCGACCCCCTTCCCCTTCCACTCTCCCACTTCATCATCATCGCCTCCATCTTCATTATCATCTGCGTCGTCATCGTCATCATCATCACCGCCGTCTTCACAGCTTCCAGTTGACTTCAGCCCACCGTTGATCGCCATGGTGGTAGTAGTCGCGGCAGCATTTTTAATCGTTACTTATTCACGTCTCATCTCCAAAAGACTCGTCCCTCCAATCCTCCGCTTCTTCCGCCGTCGTCGTGGTCGCCGCCGTCGCTACCTCCCATCCACCACGACTGACCTCGACTCTCTTCCACCCTCTGATCCCTTCGAACTCCCTCTTTCCCCTTATGGCCTCGATAACTCTGCCATCAAAACCCTGCCTCTTTCCCTCTACACTTCAAAAACAAAACCTAACAACAGCCCCAAGGACTGTGCCGTTTGTTTGTTAGAGTTCGAAGACAACGAATACGTTCGAACACTCCCCGTTTGCTCCCATATCTTCCACGTCGATTGCATCGATGTTTGGTTGAAATCACATGCTAACTGCCCTCTTTGTAGAGCTGGAATTTTCTCTACAGAATCTCCTTTTACTCCGTTAATGGCAGCCAGAATCCGACCCAGCCTCGACGACACTCTTTTACTCAACAGCACTCTGGAATCCCTGAGGGAAACTCCTCTCCAGTCTCTACCAAATAACACCATAACTGAAATAACCGAAGAGTCGTCACCGAGACGAGTGAATGGGAATAGTAATCGTGAGGAAAGGTTTAATTTTGTTTTGAAAAGGTCGTATTCGTTTGGTTTCGAGAGGAGTTTAGCAGCGGAGAGGATGGTTACGGAGCCCAACACGGCATCGCCTTGGAGGTATAGGAGAGGAGGGAATGGCTTTTGGAGCAAAAGGGCGTCGCCTTTGGGGTCTTTAATGATGAAACCGAGAGTTTTCTCTTTTAGGTATTACAGAGGGATGAAAGCTTCGCCATTTTTTCGCCGGAGAGGGTTTTTTCCATTTTCGGAATCAAGCGTTAGGTTTTCCGGAAGCGGCGGCGGCGGGGGTTCGTCGAGGAGGAGCAAGTCAATGGCGAGTCCCATGTTCTTAAGATCAGCAGCTTCAAGTGTGGCGGCTTTCTCGTCTAGTCGGCTCAGGTGCGGGGATCCCGAGGCACTACTGTCACCGGAGAGGTTCAACGGGAGATGAAAGAAAAGACACGAGGAAGGTTGGATAGAGAGATCGACGGGAAAGGGACGGTAGGGGATTGGGGTCCGGTGAATTAATTGGCAAGGAAGAGTAAATGTATGAAAGATGGAGAGAGATTGTGGCTCTGGCGAGTGAGACTTGAAAAAGGGCAAGTATTAATGGGAGGTGGGGAGAGGCATTAAATGAGAAAATTGACAAGAGATAGACACGATTTTTGAGCTCTCTCGCTGTCCGAGTCCTAGTCTATGGGAGAAGAAAAAGGTTCACAAATGCCGAGACGTTGGACCTCTGAAGGGCACTTATATAGAGTATGGGTTTCCAAAGTCACAATGTTAACTGATGTTGCTTCGGCTATGATGCTGTTTTGCAGTTGAGTTGGGTTTGGATTGGTTTGATTTGGTGTTTTCCCTGTCCTCATATGTATTTTTCTGAGTTTTCCACCGACAAAGGTCCATGTTGGGATGCGAACATGGGCTGCATTTGATACAGAGATCTTATTCTCATGTGCTTGCCATGTGGACATGGACCGCAAGCACCTGTTTTCATTTATTGAATATTGATGAGAAAGGAAAGGAAAGGAAAGGAAAGGAAAACAAATGCAAGTATTGGGCAGAGAGAGTAATGAGGCAGTCTAGTCACCTTCTTCTGTTCTGCTCATTTATGCACTCTGATTGAATCATGAAGGCTTCTTTTTGTCTATTCAATTTGGTACTCACTTTTCTACTATGACTTCAATTGAGAATTGGAGACATTAATTTTGGCTTTAAAAGCCCCCATTCCAAAATATTGTACCTGGTACCTGGAAATTTCATTTAAAATTTGGTAATAATATGAGATAAGCACAAAATAATGAACCACAATAAATGTTCAGCAAACAGCAAATATAGTAGGTTAATGCTTTAATGGCGATAATAGCAAACATCATTCTTTGAAATTTTTTTTTTTTAATGCTAGAAGAATACAGTACCTTGGCTTTGAGGTTCCCAAGGTGTAGAAAGTGTTTTGATAGGTTATTCAGTGTCATAGGACATAGTACATTGTTTATTGATTTTCACTTACATGTTTGGTTAAGTTGATAGTATTAAATATGTTGTTTAAAATTTAAATTTAATTTTTTTTGTCAGTAATTATTTAGCGCAAGTCTTCTGTTACTGACATTTATTTTTGTTAATAATTTATAAATTTAATGTAAATTTTTATTGAATTTTATGATAATGACGTCGAGGAAACTTATTTTTGAATATTCACCCAATTATAAAATTCATTGAGTATGTTTTTCGTAAATTTTATTATTGAAAATTTTTTTTTTTAATTTTAATCCAAGAAAGCAAAAAATGTCTCAATTGTTGGTTTAAAAAAAAGAAAGAAAATGAAATAAAAGAGGAAAGTCATTGACCACGCACGTGTTGGTCCAGAGATCAAAAGAGGCACGTGCCATATCTCCTTTCCCTTTATGCCCTAAAACCCGAAAAACCCACCGAATCGAAAAATCCAAGTATATAAAACCACCACGATCCCAAACGCAGCTAGGGTTTTAGCTTCTCTCCATCGATCCAGACTCCAATCGAAAGCAAAAAAAAAAAAAATCAAATCAAAGCCGCGATGTTCCCAGGAATGTTCATGCGCAAACCAGACAAGGCGGTGGCCTTGAAGCAGCTGAAGGCACATGTGGCTATGTTTGGAGTGTGGATAGCTGTGATTCGTGTCACTCCTTACGTTCTTCATTACCTCTCTGATGATAAGGAAGAGCTCAAGCTCGAGTTCTAGATGCCTCCTCTGATTCTTACCTGGTAATTTAAACACTTCGACTTTATTTTACTTTTTATTCTGATCACGATTGTTCTCTTATAAAAAGGTCAGTTTTGGGGACTGGGAATTGTTTTTGATGTGGGTTCTTTCAGATACGAATTATTATATCTGGAATGGAGTTTACTGTTATTAGCAGAAGCAACAACCAAACGCAGCTTTAATATTTGTATGCTCAAGATGTGTAGGAAGATTATTAATCTAAGGAGTGATGGCAATGGAGTGAAAGTTTTGTAAATAGTATATTTCTAGAAGACACTGAAATTTTGGAAGATAGATTAGGGTATCCCTCTCTGACCATATGAAGGTATTAGGGGTTGAGCCTTGAGGTGGACTACCCTCCACGATGGGGTGTTGGGCACTTTTAATTTACTGAATCTCATTTTTATTAAATGTTGGAAGCAGAATCATTGGCTTGGGATGATATTTTATTAACAACATTTGGTGTACACCAATCTGTTTGATTCCCTTAAAAGTTGCTATTACTGTCTAGTTACTAGTATATTGTGTTATACTAACTCTGAAAGTTAAGTTCCTTAGTGCCTTTCCCTTTGGCAAATAAGAGTAGAATGACATATGCATGAATGATTATTTTGCTTAACTTTGCGTTGCTGTAAATACATCCCATTTCATTGATCAGTTCTATTATGGGTTTTTAGATCTTTCTTTGTTTCATTTGTTCCAAATGATAACATTGTTAAAAATAGTTGTGTTGTCATTGTATAATTACATAATGCACTAATTTTTGTTTATGATGATGACTACTTTTGTGGTGGCAATTCAAATAGATACTGATGTTTCCTTTCTTACTGTGATCTTTGCGTAAGACAATGAGAACAAGTGCAACTTCAGTTGATGCAAGACATTTTAGTTGTCTTTTATATGATGAATTATTGTTAAAGTAGTAACTTTAGTCCTTAGCATGTCTCCCCCCTCATTCACTTTTCCAAAAATTATTTTTGTCTTGTTTGTTGCTGATTTTTCCTCCTTTCGTGGTGCAGTGGGTCTACAAGGAGAGAATTGGGTTGGAATGTAAAAGAGTATGCAAGTTCCAGATTCGTTTCAGCTTTAATTTGAGGCCATTGTGTTATCACATTGTGCGCTTTCTTTGATCGTTAGCATTTTTGTTGAAATGGAGGCTTGACTACTTCCATATAATGCCATGACTCCATGACTGGTTATATCTAAATGAATATACTTTTGAATTTCTTGCTAGTTGCATCTGCTATGCCATAATTGCCTTTGAGGGCTGAGCCAGTGGTGAAATTGGGGGAAATTTTCTTTTTCCTGCCCTTCCCCCCAAAATTCAAATTACTGAATAACCTATGATTTTATTTTATTTCTTGGCATTTTACGTGGGGGAAAAAATTGGCAAATTTGGAAAAATACAAAAAAAAAAAAAAAAAAAGAGGTGGGGTTTAGATCTGATGACACAGCAGCTACTCAGAAACATATCATATGCAGCTGCTCTAGTTTTCTGAACCATCTGTGCAATGGCCTCACCCACATTTATCTGGTTATCTGTCGGTATTTGACTTTTGAAAGTGACAGCACTGGATCATGCAGTCATGGATCAAATTTGCAGAGGATGAGCCTATGACCCTAGCATAGAAATAGATAATGCAAAAATAAATTTTGGTTGCCTCCTAACCCCTGTTTACCATTGCACGTTCCTTGAACACATTTTGATTTGCCAGAGTACGTATATATTCAAAATATTTTAATGAATTTTCTCTTTTGCTAGGAAGTTTGAGAATCTCCAAAAGTATCTATCTACTCTGGTTTTTCTATCAGCAACTACTTGCTTCGATAGTTATAGGGTAACCACTGTTCATATAGCCAAACAAGTTATGTATGCTATGGGAAATAAAAGAGAAAAAGGGGTTCTCCAACAACGACCGCCACATTGGTTTTCTTTAAGGGGGTGGCATCATTTTCCCCACTAATAAGGGAGTCTGTAATGCTATGACATGTGGAAATTTCACAGCCCTTCTTTTTAAATCGGCTTACCATGTTCCTTTAGCCCTATGCACATTGTTTTCAATATGATTTTACATTTTTATCATATTCTAATGTTCTTGGCCTTGATAAAGTGGCTGCTTTTGGGCCCCATCTCATGATGGTCCCATTTTATACCAGCCATAGAATAAGAATGGTGGAAAGAATATTTGGCTGTCAAAATGTACTAATCTTCCTTTTGAACATATTCTTTTACAACACGAAAGGGGAATGGTAAATCTAGGCTTCTTTTTAGTGAAATTCTGAGTTATTTCTTGCTTTTTAAGAAAGATAATTTCCCAAAGTCAAGCTAAAACACAGTTTACTCCACTTGCCATTGAGCTCGATTGTGATTCATTAGTATCGTTTTGCTTGTAGAAAGTGGAAGTTCTTTGTCAGTCAACTTAGTAATTCGGATGAGAATCGTATTCCTGAGTTACAATTGGTATTTGTATTTTTCACTATTGATAGCATGTTAGACTCCTAATTTCAATAATTAAAATTAAATTCTCATAGTTTTAAATATAAAAAAAGAAATGCATTAATTTATCAGAAAAAAAAAAAAAAAATGCATGAATGACGTGAAAATAATATAAAATAAGCATAATAATTTTATTTCTATTTTTCAGAGCTGTCCATTATTTACAAAGTGGTGATTTGAATTCAACACAATAATCTAATTGTAAGTTGACTTATCTTAAGAAATCACAAAGTTATGACGCAGTGACCGTTCGAAAACAACAAAGCTACAAATTTCAGCCATAATAATCTCTTCCCCGTGTCTCAAATTTGTGCCTTGAGCATGAGAACGTGCCAGCCAATATAACAAAGAGAACCCCAGTGTCAAATTCAACATAATTAAAGCAATCCAAAAGCAATCTTTCCTTACTAGTCTAAACTCAACACCTGAGAACTTGCCGGTGGTTACAAATTAACAACTCGCTTGTTCTCTCTTGCAAAGCAAAGGAACATTCATAGCTTCATTGATTTCATGCAAGGAAATTAAGAAGGAGAAGAATGTTGTGCCAATATTGGGACTCATGGGATCACATGAATCGTTGATTATACATATGTTGTATGGTAGACTTTTTGGATTGATTTAGATGACAAGTTTGGTGCTAAGATGAGTCAGAGAATTTACGGATATCAAAGAAGAAGGTTTGATGCAACAAGATCATGGAGAGGGTACCAGGCTCCGTGGGCACTAGTGCTGGCTTTTCTTTGAGATTGGGACAAACCATCTTTTCTTCTGCTTCTCTTCTCTTCATGTCTTTGGGAGTGGAGTTCTACAGCTACACTTCATTCTGGTATGTCTCTAGTTTTCATTTCTTCTGCTTGTTTGATCTGATATTTGTACCCAATGATCAACCCTGTTTAACTTATCTTTGATCCAACCAGTTAGGGAAAATTATGAATAAAATCTGCCCTGGCTTCCCATGAATTCTAAATTTGAATTTTCCTTTATGAAATTCCATCTGATCTATTAGAAAAAACAATCAGACTCTATAGATTCTGCTAATAGAAATTCTGTTTGTCAAGGCGCTTGAAATTGCATTTTTTGGACTGGTATAATGGACGTGAAACAAGTTTGAGCTAATTTACCAATAAGTCATTCTCATCAGCGTCAACTTTCTGACAAAAACAAGACATCACTCTTTCTTGATTATATCTTTTTCCATTCCCTTCTCAATCAAACGATAGTTGGAAAATTTTGGCAATTGTTGTTATTAGAATCTTTTGATTGTCAGTACCCACGTTAACATTTCAGCTACTTGGTAACAATCATGGGTTTGGTCATTCCATGGAGTTTCACTTTGGCGTTGGTGGATGGGTATTCTGTTCTGGTTAAATGCCCTGTTCGTCAGCCTGGAATACTGCTCATAATAGCTGCAGGAGACTGGGTACGAGCGGCTTATTAGTAATGCCAATTTTTACGTATTTCTAACTGATAAATTTGCTGCATTTGTTGAATCTATTTGAATGAGTCAAACTGATAAACTTGCATGACAGGTTTTATCGGTTCTCACACTAGCCGCGGCAAGTTCCACGGCTAGCGTTGTGGATCTACTCCTCCACTCAGGCGGGTCCTATTGCCCGCCAAAGTGTTGCAGTAGATATCAAATGTCTGCTGCTATGGCTTTTCTCAGTTGGTTTCTGTCTTTGGCTTCGGCTCTTCTCAATCTTTGGTTACTCCCTTCCTTGTAATTCTCGGTTGAGTATTTGTTGCCTAACATTTTTTAGCATCTCAAGGTAAAAATATAGATTATTGTGAGGTTTTTTGGAGCTAGTTTTGTATATTGATAGTTACAAAATCACAAACTTCAGTGAACAATTTGTAAATTGGAAACAGATGCATCTTAATGTTAGGCACCATGGCAAAGATTATAATTGAATTTAATCATGCATTTTATGTTCTGGAAACAGATTTTCATGCTTCTATGGACTTCGGCTGAAATTTTTCATGCGGTTGATTGTGGAGTTGTGCGGGAAAAGCTGAAAAAAATGGAGCCAGATTATCTGAATTTGGACCATAAAGAGAAGTACTTAAGGGCTTGGCTTTTCTATCATGAGCAGGGATGCTCTGATTTGCCCAACATTTACAGCTCAGGTGTCCTGCTGGCCATAATATCTCTTATACTGGCGGAAACGAGGACCGTTAGATCAGATAAACGATTGTAGCTTACAATCATGTAATGTTCAAAACGGGAATTAAACAGTGGCTATCAATATTTGCATTAAAGTTTCCAAACAAAGCTTAGCTGAGAAAAGAATGAAAAACATAGTTTTAAACATATAGTTGGAAACAGAACTTATGCAACGGCAATAAAAGACATCATTCCTTCTCATCAAGTGACATTTTGTTAGGTTTAAATCAAAGATATCATATAGATTTCTTTCTGTTTCATAGAAGTACCTACATAAATACTTTATTAAGATCTGCGTGATTTGATGAACTTAGACTATGGTGGATAAATCTAAACACATGATGAAAGAAAAAACTTGAGAGTAGTTAGTATTTATTTTGATAGACAAGCAGTGTAAGTAATTTTGCAGGAGAAACATAGTGAATGGAAATGGTACTTGAGCAAAAATATAAAGAAGATCTATTTGTACATCAATTTCAAATATAATAGTAATCCAAGGAAAAGAGACGAAAGATACACCAATAAATGAATAATTTGATTCCATGGAACTCCAGTGCTCTAGGACCATGCCCACTTCCAACTTGAGCTCTTTCCTGTGCACTTTCATTTGAGATTGCCACAAATTAATCTGGTCCAATTTCAGAAACAAAACGAGAGCTTAGATTTCTATATCCTTGCTGTAATAAACAAAGCTCCGCAACAATGATACAAGTCATTGAACTACTAGAAACCCAAACCTCACAGCCTCACTCTCACAACCAGGAATTTCTTGGTGTCATTGTCTAGATGGAATACTTAATATACTATTTCATTACTTAAATTTTGATAGCAGCTCAGATCTGTCCCATCTTAATGACCTCATTGCTAAGAATTTAACAAATAAGTTGAGTTAATTTGTTTTATTACTGAATATAACAGAGGGCCACCATAAAAGATGACTATACCCTTTTGCACACAGAAAAAGATATCCGCCCTTACATGGGACCAAAATTTCTGATGCATCCTCCCCAAAAATTGACCTGCATTATCCAAAATGAATCTCAATAATGCTTAGACAATCACTATCTTGCATCAAAAGCACAAATAAGATGTTAATATCAAGAACAACTTACCAGCAGCATTCATGCTTGTTGAGACAACTACCACTATTACACAGGTCTGCTCCAACTTGTAGAACAATAAACATCTAATTCTTCTGCTGCTCTTTTTTGAGTTTCTAAAGCCTCCTTTCTCAACATTGTTACCATTTCCTCATTTCCTTGTCTCAAATAACCGTCAATAAAAGCATCATATAACCCCAGATTCGGTTTAAACCCTTTCCCCACCATCTCAGCTTGAAGCTTTAATGCCTCTTCCATCTTTCTCTCCTCACATAAACCTTCTATCAAAAGCTCATAACTTTTCCCTGTAGGACAAACACCCAATTCTTTCAATGCCTTCATTATTTCTAAAGCTTCAAGTACCATACCTCCATCACAAAGTCCTCTAATCAACACTTCAACGGTTAAACCCTGCGGTCTAAAATCTTTCCTAAACATATCCTTATATATTAACATTGCAGAATCAATATCTGCAACTTTACAATATCCATTAATAAGATTCTCGTAAGTAACACAAGTAGCTTCTATTCCATTCAATCCCATTTCTCTAAACAACTCCTCAGCTCTCATAATCTCTCCACTTTTACACAATCCATCAATCATAGTATTATAAGCCACAATATCAGGCTCCAATCCCTTAACTCTCATTTCCCCCCATAACTCTTCTGCTTCTCTCACCTTCCCTTCCTCACAAAAAGCTGCCATCAAAACACTATAGCTATAACCATTTGGAACACACCCTAAACTCTCCATTTCATTCCAAACCTCTCCCACTTTCTCCAACAAGCCTTCACGATAAAAACACAGCATCAAAGCGTTAAAAGTATGCACATTTGGTCGAACCTTTAAAATCCTTTTCACATTACTTTCTCTCTCACCATTCCCTCCTCCAAAAACCTCTTTGTAAACCTCATATCCCTTATTTGCTCCACGGCATTTGGAAACCTCCCAAATCAAAGCATTACAAGTACTAACCTGAGGGCGAATCCCTGTTGACAATAACATTCTAACAATCTCAATAGACCCATCAAGTTTTTTCATTTGCAAACAAGATTTCACTAACAAATCAAAAACAAAAGGTGCAGAACCACACTCATTATAAGTTTTAACTAACAATTCAAATAGTTTCAAATGGGTGGGTTCATTTTCAATACCCGGGGTCCGAATTGCGACCCGGATGAGTTCCCGGGCACGGGTTTTGAGGCGAGCACGAGAGAGGATGTGAATCATGGTGGAATAGGAAGAGAGGTTGTGGTTGCAGAGGGATTTTTGTTTGGTGAAGAGGAAGAAGCGGAGGGCAAGGTGGGGATTGTTTTTCAGTCGGAGGGTAATTTGGGAAAACTGGGAGGGGGTGAAACCGGAAGGGAAGAGAGTGAGGACGGTGGACCAGCGGGATTTGGAGCGCTGGTGGGTGAGGATGGAAGTGACGACGGTGATTTGATCGGGTTGATCGGACAGAGGAGAAGAGGTGGTGGAGAAGGAGAAGGAAGATAGGGAAAAGAGTGGTTTTGGGCTTTTGGAGAGGACATGGGGTTTAAGGATTTGGTTTGCCATTCAAAAGAACAGAGGAAAACAGGGAAATGTCTAATTTTTATTACCCAAAGGTAGTTTTTTTATTCCCTAAAGTATCTCCATTTTTCTCACGTGACTCTGTTTCTTGGTACATAGTACAAACCACCTGGTCCAAATATTTTCTCTGCTTCAATATTTTTGCGACATAGGCTTAATTTTTATGCATTTAATGAGGTAAGAAAAATTAAAAGGAAAAATCTTTTATGATCTGATCATCTGATTCTGATTATTGATTTGAGAATGCAAAGCCTTTACTGCCATTTTCCTTGTCTTAACAAGGAGCCTGTTTCAAAAGCCAGAGAAACTACTAAATACTAGTGGTATGTGATAATCTGACGAACTATGCTTCAAATTTACATCAGCGAAAAAAGGACACTGAGAAGGAAAATTTAAAATTGTGCGCACATGACCTAGTAACAGCAAGCAAATGGAGGGATCTGTTTAAGAAAGCCTGTGGATAAAGCAAAAGAAAGAAAAAAGCATCAAATTCATGGTCCCCTTTCTCCATTGTTGCAAGTACAATAGTGCAATAGCTAGATGTGGACTATTACTTCATTCACTAGTCACTAGCATTTATTCGAATATTCAAGATATTTTTCGTTTTTGTTCCAAAAGAAACCAAAACAATAAAGAGAAAGAACAAACTACCATGATGTTGTTTGGTCTGGTCTCTGTTGTTATCTGATTGTTTGATCTTTTCCTTCTGTATTCAGAACTATTGATTGTTGACCTGGATAGCATAGATTCTTGACCCGATTCTACATTTTCAACAAACATGAAGTACAAAAAAAAAGGGTTTTTCTTCTAATGCAAGTAGAATATATAGCCTGTAACATTCAATAAGTCTCTGTCTCTCTGACCGTGACTTTAGGTGATCGAGTAGGACCACGACCGGAACATGGCTAGGGCCACCTGCTGCAAGTGGTAGAGGGATAGTCCTATTGCCATTACCAGTTTAATAGGTGTCAATAAGTTGCTGTGTCGTCCAAGAATTGGGTTGTTTGTGGCAATAGCCTAACAGCAGTAAAGAATAAAGTTTCTAAGGAAAAACCTTCTCCTAGACAATTGAATATGCTGAAGCTTTGTCAAGTTTCAACTTATCAATTTAATATTATTCCCTTGGCACAAAAGACAGTGCACGAACAGTCAAGAAATGTAGTTGATTGTCAACTTGAATATTAATTAAACTAAGAATAAATTCCATGTAATCGCATGCCACATCAGTGTGGAGACAGATGCCAAGCATAGAACATATGATACTCAAGTTGAAGAAACAATCATGCAAATGGATATCATATCATCTTAAACAATTTTGGAGATGGTGATCAGGAAATACTGCAATGGACAGGAATTTGTTCTCATATGTCATCCTTTCTATTCAGAAGAAAAGAAGTGCAGTAAGAAGATATTATCCTCCAAATCATCTTCTACATCTTGAATTCAAACAGAATTGTGTGTCAAGATTATGATTCTATTCATTCTAGCATTTGATTTGATGACCAATTCCTGCTATCCTATTCTATCCTTAAAAATTCAAAAACAATAACTGCTTTGTTTATTTTAATTGTAGTTTACAACTTAGGATGGAAACATTCCTAGGTTTCTTTCACGCAATGCTGTTGGATGCTTTACCTATGTGTGAGAGAGACTCAAATCCCAGAAAACTGCCTTGATAATGTTGCTTATGTCTTAAAATCATCTTTTTAAGATGCTAAAATTCTTATTCGATCATTGGATCCTTGGATTTTCAGCAAGTATACGATCCCTCTGGATAAATCTTCCCATAAATCCCTTCATTAATTATATACCTAAATTTTTTGGTCAAGATTATATACCTAACATACTCCTACTGATTGCACGATCAAATTAAGTACATATATAATTTTTGAATTATTGGTTTGTTGCAGAGTTAATAAGTTAGATTAATTGTTATCTTGACGTCGGACGCATGAATAATTTGCGTGAAACCATTTCAATGTTACTTGATAAAATGGATCACACAAAGTGAAAATTCGTATTCTTGTGTGGGACAGGACCAAAAGTGCCTTAGGTATGCTCTTTCCCTTCTAGCCATCAGGATTCTATGTACAATATCCACTTACCATACCACCATCTTCAAGCATAATTCCCTACTTTAGCTTCGATTTCAAGCAAAAACTACATTACCCTAATTAAAAACCTAACCATAGTTTCCAGATTCTCAATTGCCTTTTTATTTTTTTAAATCAGAACTCAAAAGCATACCTATTAACCTTTATATATCACCATTTCCGGTCGTTTCTTTAGAGGCCACAGGAAAAAAAAAAACGCCATGAAATACAATGAGATTTCCCATTTCAGCCACCCCCAACATGTACTAAAATTTGAGTACACTGAAGTTCCATTTAAGTGTGATGGATGCATGGAAGTTGGCATAGGCTCACATTATCGATGTTCCTACTGTGATTTCGATCTCCACATGCACTGTGCCATACCTTCACTTTCAATTTCTCATCCTTTCTACACAAAATGTTCCTTCCAATTCCTCTCAAGGCCACCTGGTGACAAGCCTCGTTACTGCAATGCTTGCGAAAAGGATGTTACTGGCTTTGTTTATCATTGCAAATCATGCGGATTTGATCTTCATCCATGTTGTGCAAAGCTACCAATGGTGTTAGATGATGGAGAAGTGAAACTGTATCTGTATAGGAAGGTAAGTGCACCATGTCATAGATGTGGGAGAAAAGGGAGGAGTTGGAGTTACCGGTCTGCTTGCAAAAAATATAATTTGCATGTTGCCTGTGTTAGGGAAATGTTAGTGGAGAATTGGCATGAATTGTACTTTGGTCATGGTAAGGGTACTAGGAAATTGGAGACTAGAATCCCAAGCTTGAAAAATACACTTCAAACCCCTCATAAAAGGAGTAAAGGTAAGGTGAAGAAAGGTTGTGAGATGGCTGGTTTGGCTCTGCAATTTGTTATATCAGCTGTGCTTGGGGATCCAACTACTCTTATTGCTGGGGTTATCGGAACTTTGGTGTCAAGAGGATGAGTTCAATTGAAATGTTGTCTGGTTGATGCAATTTAATGTAGGTGTTAAAAAAAAAAAAAAAGAAAACAATAACGTCCAGAATGTTTAACTTTTGGGTAGCCGTTGCCCCTATGATCTTTTGTGAATAAATTCTATATATGTTAATCCAATGTCATGAAGCTGTCATTTTCAGATTTTGTTGGCTATCTTATTTTAGATTTAACTAAAGTCATTTTGATCAAGTTGAGATTCCAATCTTGTTCTTTGAAAAAAAAAAACATTAAAAAATTGGGCAAATAATTAGATCAAGTTAGTATAAGGAATAACCATTTATAAAGTGAAAGAAAGGAAAACAAAAGGAAGAGCAGGATTACTGATTTAATTAACATGAATATTGAATTGAAAACAACGTTTTTACTTATTCATTAAATTGTTTCTTTCATCATGACAATCATTTTTCCGTTGGCAAACTTTTCATGACAATCTTGAAATTATTGGTTGAAGTACCTCCCTCTCTTGTGGCCTCAAGAGCTAGTGCTCTCCAATTCTCAGCACTCCTTCTCATCTCTTCCCCTTTCTCTCCTTTTCCCATTACTATCTCCAAACATCTCATAATCTCTTCCTTCCTTACAACTCCACCATCATTTACTTTCAGTCTAACACCAGTTTCCCATACCTCATCTACCAGCTTTGCATTTGTCGGCTGATCTGAAAACTGAGGAAATGCAATCATTGGCACGCCTGCAACCAAGCACTCCATAGAAGAGTTCCATCCGCAATGAGTGACAAAACAACCTATTGCCTTGTGATTCAACACTTCAACTTGTGAACACTATGGAACAATCAGCCCTTGTTCTCCTTTCATCTTATTCTTTATCAAATTATGGAATCCTTCTTCATCTTCATCTTTTGTTGGTCGTATTACCCATAACAATGAGTAGCCACTATCAACCATTCCATCCAAAATTTCTTCCATCTGAATTCTTGGCAATACTGTAAAAGCAGCAAAACTCCCAAAGGAAATGTAAACCACTGAACAATCTGGCTTTGAATTCAGCCACTGGATATAGCAATCACGACTAGAGTTCTCAAATAAATCACAACCAAAGAATGTGTTTGATTGAGTCAAGGGTCCAATGTGATCAAGTTCATATTGGAATTAGCCAGGGCTTCGATTGCATATTCTTCTAAAGCATCAAAGGTATTTATAAGAACACAAGAAGTAGGATCTTTTTCTAGAGCTTGAATATGTTCTTGAAAGCTAGTCATGATGAAAGAATCTGAACTGTTTGGTAGGAGAAAAGAAGGAAGGTCTTTCCGTTCAAATGAAGGCAACCCTTCAAATTTTATGACGCTTGAAGGGCAATTGATTTTAGAATCATAGGTACCTGTTTGACTATTGAGGTAATGGTGGTAGATTGCAAACAAACTAGCAGCTTGGATGCAGAGAAAAGCAGAGGGTATAGACATGCAACGACCCACATCAGCGACCCAAGACAGCATGGGACAGTAAATCAAGAAATTTACCGGATGGCCATGGTAGACAAGCTCAGTAGGAGGATGGTTAGAGCTTGGGAGCCGACATGCTTGCATTTGGACATAACATCATCCCAGCTATCAGATAGAGAAATTCCATTATCAAACCCGTCTGAAAAATAGGCTAAGCCCTCGAGAGAAGGGAAACTTTCGATAACCCGCTGGCCATGGATGGTGGTGGCAAAAGTGACGTGTGCTCCTGCCTGTATCAAGTGCTGAGCAAGTTCAAAAGTAGGGTTTAGGTGGCTTTGGTAAGGCAAGGTTGCAAGAAGGAAGTGTGACTTATTTGAATCCAATGTTGTCTGTTCATCCTGCAGTTTCATGGCTGATCTCTCAAGTTTTGGAATTTGGGCAATAAATAGAGTTATTGTAAGCTTATATTATTGCCAAATTGACAAAAATAAAAAGGAAAATGTGGTAATATTCCTTTGCAATTTCTTTTTTTTTTTTTTGGGTTTTTGCTTTTTGTTTCAATAAGCATAATAGATAGTGTTAGATTGTCAATTGGGTACATGATGACTATGTTGGAATTACTAAAACAAGGAGTATAAAAATATTTAGTTATAAAAGCATATTCCCTTAAAATTTTGTCCTCATATACACAATTGTCAGTTTTTCAACCATATTAACAAAAAAAAAAGTTTGATTAGCATTCAACGATTAATTTACCTATAGATTCGATCCATGAATCAATTTTCCTATTGGTTAAAATGCGTATGGGATCTACCTACCATTGACTTTATAAATATATGAGTATAACCCATGAATTATTCTCCAAAATGAATTATATATAATATCTATAATAACCAAAATTAATCTATAACAATAGCCTATAGCTAACAAAATTTAATATTCTTAAAAAGGACGATGATATTGAAATAATTTTGAACAAACACACTGGTGAAATCAGTCGGTGAGCATATAAAAAAATCAACCTTAATTTAAAAGATTAATAGTTTCAATTTTGTACTTTGTTAATAGCCATGACCGCACTAGTTGTGGCTATTTAAGTATTCCAATCATATTAATTATGAGTAAACTGCTTTTTAATTTTAATAATTTACCCAGTTCTATAAATATATAAAAAACTATAATTTCCCTAATTAATTATTGATAGAGTGGAGAAGACATACCATGAATCGAGCAGGCTAGATCTTTGTTGTCTCAATCAATGGAAAGCAATCTTTCAAACAGTGGCATAGATTCTATTTTCACCGGGTGGCATATATGTTTTCCGTGGAATGACTTGGATGCTGGGAAACCATCTGAGCAGTCATCGTATGGCAATGGAGTTAGCAACGTGTTCAGAGCTGTTGTACCCACCATGCCGTTTCCTATCTCTCTTTAATTCTTTCTGTTTCTCAATCTGACAGGTGTGCAATGAGTCAATGGGCTTGGGTATTGGACTGAAAAATGTTACCATAAAGCCACATTCTCTCTTTTTTTTTTTTGGGTATCTTAAAGCCACATTCTCTCTCCATAAAATTGTGAGATTCAATAGGTGTATCATATGTTAAGAAAAATTAAAGCGTTTGGAGCCAGAAACAAGTACAGTTGAGTTTCTTAGGTATCAGTCCTTCAAATCTATTAATTTCTGGTTGATCCTGTAGGCAAACATGCAAGGCTTGTAGAGTTGAGTTCCCTACTTTGTTTAGCAAGTTATTGCATGTTTAGAAGTTTTATTTAAAACAAGTGCACTTTTAGTTAATTACTATATAAAAAATGTAAGATACTGTTGGGTAATCGATCTTGGTCTTGTAGCATCCATTGCCTTTGCTTTTCTGTGTCTATATGAAGCTCAATGCCACAATCCTTTGCCCACTTTAACTCTCTTTTCATCTCCCTATCTCCCAGGCTCTTTGTCTTTCTTTTTTGACAGAGCAGGAAATATTATTAGAATATGGGTATTTGTGCATCTGCTCAATATACGACAAAGGGTGGCAACCTGAGCTGGCCGCCACCCACAACGAAAATAATATACCCCGATGGAAGGCTTCAGGAATTCAGGCAACCCATCAAAGCCAGCCTTGTTCTCTCCCAGAATCCAAACTGTTTCCTTTGCAACTCAGAGCTAATGAATGTAAACTTACCCCTGCCGCACGCACATGAAGATGAACAGCTTCAACTGGATCAAATTTATTTTCTCATGCCACGGTCTAAATCTCAAGCACCACTTTCTCTTCAAGAATTGTGTTCACTTGCCGTTAAGGCTAGTACAGCACTATCTCATTTCAACAAGGTTTTGCAGTTCTCGGATCAAAATGGTGCAGGATTCATTGCAGCTGAAACTCAAGGATGTTGTAAAGTTCCCATCGGATTCAACATCATTGGAATCAATTCCCAAAGAGGTCAGGCAACCCAAAAACTGTCTTCTAAATCCCATAATTTTTCTCACAAAGTCCTCTAATTAGTCTGTAACGGAACATCATGGTACTTAGTAGGCATCGTTTCATGCTTGCTAGAGTCCAAATTTAAAAAATTATAGTATTGAACCTTGGAACAGTTGCCACATTGGTTACTACACTTAAAAGGGTTGTTAAAGCTTTGGAATTGGAAGAGAAACTTATATTAAATATATAATATAGTAGCCTTATCTTGCACAAGCAAATGCGCTGTATATCCACCGTATGTTCAAGTATTTTATTTTCTAATCATTCTTTTCCGCATTAAGGCAAAACATATATTGTGAAATGCATGTTTTTCAATCAAGGCCAAATTGTATACCAGTGCTTTTATTCAATTTTTGTTACAAAATCACCAGTTTTATAATATAAGCTTGTTTATTTTTAAATTGAAAGTTGCTTGTCGTGAACACCAGTTTATATGAATATTATATGCAGCAAAGCATCTGATATAATCTTCTTTAGATTCAGAAACACAACTGCATATATATATATATATATATATATATATATGTATGTATGGACTCAGCTTAATTCCAATATGTTACATGTGACATTTTATGTCATATGGATATATCAACATTTCAAGAGAAACGATTCCAAAAGGATAAGATTGAAGAAATGATGTTTAAATTAATTGCTCAATAATATGGAAAAGTCGATTACACTGCAAAAGAAGTCGGGTGAGGAAGAAAAAAAAAAAGAATAAATAGGAAAACACATGTGAAAATTGAAGAAGTCATCAGCAATCAATCTTATTGAATCCAAAGTGGGAATTTCTAAATCAAGAAGCTTGAGAGCAGGCCTTCATTTCTGTCTTAACAGCAGAAACCAAACTATCATAAGTTTAACCACATGCATTTTTCATCTCTGCTGACCACATTTCCGGAACTGCTTCCTTTATGGTCTCCAAAAGAGCAAATTTTGTGATCCGAAACACATTCGCTAGCTATCAGATGTCAAAAACATTTCTTTTAACAATTCTAATAATTTGCATAGATACCTCAAAATGTTCATCAACTACTCCATATTTGAAGTGGACAGCCCTAATTTCTTCAAACTTGACTCTCTCACAGTAACTTTGGTAGCTTTACGGAGTTGAACTGCAGACTCACATATCTGCAATAAGAGAAAATTTAATACGCAATAAAATTCCTCCTAGAATGTTTAGATTATTGTTTCTAGTTATGTTTAGACTTTAGATATAAGAAACGACTTCGTTTCTTTCTTGCAAATGGCTTACCATATCAAAGACAGACATGGCATGGGGCTTGAGTTTTGGGTTTTGCTCCAGTGGAACATTTGAGTCAAGAATAAGAACAGCTTCTGGGCTGATGCTGCAACCTCAAAGATCCTGCCCATTGAATGCAAATCAATTTTACTTGATCCAAAACAAGAAAAGAAATTAAAAAAAAAAAAAAACATAATAGGTTACTTCAAGAAGAATTTAAGACCCAATTCTGGTACATTATTCTTCGTTGCATCCCATGACTTGACCACCAAAGCTTCTTGCTCTTCAGTGAAAAGTTACCTTCATAGGTAGTCATTGCTCTTCAATTCTGGGATTTTATTAGCACGAATATTGAATTTTAGGAGTTGTATTATGCTGATGTCACTCTTGCACAATGTTTATATACTAAATGCTTTGGAGATAAGTTTAACTCTTGAGGATTGGGGAGCCCATTTTTGCTCGTCACCATAAGACATCAGCAGCCTTGACATTTCTCAAACACTTTGTAATTTTGAAATTGAAGATTTCTCTCATTTTTACATCCCACTGTTATCCTATTTCAACAAAGTATAAATCAACCTCATTTTAGAACTATTAAAAATCACAAAAATCAAAAGCTGCCGAAAATAGAACTTTATTACACCTACATAGCAATAAAAGTAGAGTTATACACACATTGGGGAGCAATATCAAATTAACCGCACCCATAATTTACATCTGGCTTGGCAACAATCGACTCAAATGGTACTTCAATCCTCTCTTTCACCAAGCATCGAGCTTCTACACCCTCCATCACCAGGACTTTCCCAGGTGGACATGGAACAGTCGAATTCTTTTCTTCAGTTGCACGTTGCTGAGGCATGCGCAAAATCTTGAGAGAGGTACTTTTCCCAAGGTTTGGCACAAGATTAGACAAGCTTAATATGTATATTACACCCACAAGGGGAAGCACAGTCTTGACTGCAGAACTTATGAAGTAGCCCAATCCTTTTGTTGAGTTTTGGGATTCCTCTAGCCTTTTATTCTCCTCATGTTCGTTCAGGTTCTTCTTTGCTTCATTTGTTGGGTCACCATTGGTAACCCCATTTGGCAAAGACTTGTGTGTCAACTGTAAGTGTGACAAATAGCCACTATCCAAAAGCAAAGATTGTGGGGGACAACTAGGATATGGGGGAAGGAGGAGATCATTGTTGTTCTCCACTGTTTTACTAACAAAAGCAGAAGCCTCGAGAATCACTTCCAAGTCTTTCCCTTTATATTCTTTGAGCTTCTCCAAGAGCATTCTCCGGCTATAATCAACCTCACCAAGGGCAACTTCCTTTTCATACTGTTGCTGATGTCGCAGATCCTGGAAAGTCAAAGAAGAATAAACTTATGAACCGTTATGGATACCTACTATTGTTAATTTTTCAAGAAATATGTTATCAACACAAATGTCTATTTTGTAGGCATACCCTTTTATGCATGCAAAGGCATAATGGGATCATGTCTTTATTAAAGTTTAACCTTTTCTGTAATTTGTCAAAAAAATACACATGTCAACACATGAGGCCTACCACAAGCCAACAAATGAGATCATGTCATTAGTTTTCATGAAGATATAAAAATAAATGTGTTAATCTAGGTCCGTAAAGATATAAATGTGTTATTCTGCCCCATTCCAGAAAAACATGCTAAAGATGTCTATGTGGTTAAGCCCAAATTTCTTGTTCTTGAAAATGACCAAGTGCTCACTCACAGATCAGAGGATGCAGCCATCTTAAATGATATTTTCCATACTTCTCTTCACATTACCTTTAGCAGGATAATTGCCTTCTCAAACTCTTTTTAATTTCAAAAAATTCAAGCAGTCCACCAAATCATTGTTGTTAAATACATCCAGTATCATGTGGCTTCATAAAGAAATGCCAATACCAAAGGCAAGTACTAAGTGCAGTGTAATCATATAACAGCTTTTTCCAATGCTGCATGCTCGTAAACTACCTCCAACCTCCCTAACATAGTTTCCAGAGCTTTCATTAAAATTACCCAATAGCGGATGTCTACAGCAATCTGATGATGTTGAAATGGGAAGTATGAAATTTTTTAAAGTGGTCCAAGTACAAGTATCAAAAGAATATGTTTGGGAAAAGTTGAATGTGGTGGAAATGATCAATTCAATCAGATGACAAATTCTGAGGCTGTTTGTTTAGTTTCACTATCACGAGGCAATCTAATAAAGCCACAAAGAAAAAAGGAAACCATTTGGCTTTCTTCTTGTATTACTTAAACTAAGAATCAAAAAGTACAACTAATATAGGAAAAAAGAAAACTGGAGCATTTGGTACTAAATCTATAAATAGGTAGAAACAACAAAACCAAGAGTAATCTCTAACCTACAAAATGCAATGTAATGTATTCCATATCTTAGAATACACTTAATTTCAGTAAAAAAAAAATGCATTTCAAACGGCCACTATTAATTATAGCTAATGGCTTGTGAATCAATATAAGGGTTATCTTTACCTCAAAGATTTGTTCTTATGTTCCATAACATAAAAATTGGGACTTGAAATTTGGATTCCATGGGTAATTTTCTTTAAGCTTCCCATTTAGTTTCACATATTTTTATGCATTCATGTCAACAACAATGTTAAAACGCTAAAAGTCTGAAACAAAATCAGGGTCTGGGCTTTTAAAACCTAATATTTAACAAAATGGTAAGGAAAAAAGTTAAGACTTTTGAGGTGACAAACCTGTAAAGCAACGAGCTGGGATTCAAGGGATTCAAAGGCATCTCGAATATTCAATAACCTCTCAGTTTCTCCATCATGATCATGATCATCTTCTTCTTCTTCTTCTTCAACGGCTTCACTGAGACTTTGAAGAGAATTAGGGATTTTGTCTCCATTAAAGCTACCCTTTTTATCAGTTTGTTCCTCTTCTTCTTTTTGTGGGCTTAGTTTGTCTGGAAAAACAGGCTTGCCGGCGGTGGCATTTTGGATGTTGTTGCTGATTTTCAATCTAAGCTCGGTAGCCCTTGCTAATGCTAACCCTACTCCCTCTTCTTCCATTTCTTTCCCTCCCCCTCTCTCCCCTTTTTTTTCTTCTGTTTCCTGGTTTATTTATTTACTTGGTCAATAAGAGAGAGGCAACAAGTAAACAACTACAATCAAGTGATCAACTGAAGCGATGCAAAAATAGTTTTTTGGGCTGTGATGTATACAAGTGATTCTACTGAGCTCTTGGTCATCAAATGGATGGGGTTGGATCTTGGATCCTTTTTCATTTGTTTCGGCCTAAATCCAAATGACTCCTTCCATTTCATTTTCTTGGGTTTTTTTTTTTCTTTTGGGGTGCATAAGCATAAGGCCAAGAAATTGAGCTGATCAACCCAAAGCCCTAACAGCAATTCAAAGAGCAATCTAACCTCTACTTTTCAAAACAAGATTATGTGGGCTCTGGTACCTATGGTTCTTGTGGTGCGTATGGAAATGATGAAAGTGGTCATTTTCTGTTCTTTTCTCCTTTTTAAAAATAAAAATTTTCCTTTTTTTCCTGCCATATAAGTCCATTGGGATTTGGAATTTCTTCACCATAGACAATGCTACACATTATGAGAACTGCTATTCATAAAATGTTTTGTCATATTCTACTTTTCATTCAAGAGTTTTTGATAATTAGATTGTGATTTAAAATGTTGTTTCTTTCCCTTCTTTAGATGGAAAAATTTTTGAATCTTGTCCACCTTTTTAACGTTAAGTTTTTCCTTTTTTGTTCATAATTTTACCGTTAAGTTGAGAAATAAGAATTCAAAGTTAAAGGGCTCTTTTTTAAATATAACAAGCAAGTACCCTGTTTCATGGTTTGGGATTTTATAGTTTGATGTATTATAGTGTTAGAAGAAATTGAATCACCAAACTATGAATGTGAACTAAGATCAGAGATTGTAATGACAAAAATTATCAAAGATGATTTCAGAATATTATACACAATGCATACACCTGTCTATTAATTCTCTCATTTAGTTACACGGAAAAACTCAAAAGACAATTAGGAACGACAGCCAAATCACGACCTTGTCAATGGAGAAATTAGTGATCAAACAGGATCAAGAGTAAGGTTTGAAACCATAGCATAATTGTTTCTTCAGCTCGTTTGATCCTCATTCTTCTAAAGAAACTTCAATTTGAGTGCATAAATCTACCTGGACCTGAAGATTGAAGCCACAGGCTTTGTAAAAAGGTTGCAGCTATGATTCATCTGTCATTCGAAACCTGCAAAGCCTACTCATACAATCCCTCCCTTTCCATATTCAATCCCACCTTCTACAGCTATCAGATCAACAAAGCTAATTCTTTTGAAAATAGATATCGGAATGCAAAGTTGTGAGAGATCCACTCAATGTTTTTCCCATTTTTCCTGTTGCAAGACCGATGAAGATTCTTCCTCACTGAATCAGGCATAAATTGCTCAATCATCCGCAATAATCCAGCTGAGCAAACATCTGAATCTTTTGCAAAATACTCCACAACCTTTGGTAACAGAATTTTCTGTTCTTTGTTGACACGCAAATTTGCCTGGAAGTACTCTTCTTTTGCAACTTCCAGTTCCTGGAACACTTTCTTGGGTGTGTATATACGGACCTAGAGAGTCATCAAAGTCAGAGAGTAATATAAATTGAGAATCAACTTACTATTTAATACCATAAAGCCAAAAAATATGATACAAGGGAAGGCTGTAATATGAATTGATTCAGGGAAAAATTGTACCGCAGGGTCTGAATAACTTCCTGAACAAAGTGCAAAATGCAGAAGAGGTTCTGGGGACACAACTGCATAAGCTCTTCGAGGATCTCCAACCTTAAATTTGGTCTTTGAAGGAAACAAAAACCGTAGCCACTGCAAGCAGATGTAAGATGTTAGCTGTATCACTGCCAAGCCAAACAAGTAATTAAACAATATCTAAGCTGCGAAGCCTGGCTGGGATCGTTGATAAAAGTTTCAGGGAATGGATAGTACCTGTCCTGGACGAGGCAAACGACATCCCAGAATAGAACTCTGTATTGTGTCGATGCTTATGGTCTGGCCCCCCACATTATAAGCAGCCTGGATCATCCATAGGCTTGTCAATGCAAACATCCATTCCAAGATCTTTTGTTTAAGTGACCAGAAAAGCTCTTCTCACCTTGAGTAACAAGGACAGCCTCTTCAGATTGTTTTTCGGAATGCCATAAACCAAAAATGCCTGTATGAACAAAGCAGGTTGCATTTCTCAAGGATCTTATTGGAAAAGGGTATTAACTATAACAAAGATTAAAAATATAATGAAGCTTGATATGTGGAAACTGGAAACATTACATGCATCACCAGAGAATTGTGTACATTAATCCAGAAGGCTAGCTTCTCCTCGCATTTCATCCTTCTAACATCAACTTCTTCCAGCTGGTAAACCAGTGACCTATAAAGCAGTAGGTTCTGTATTTTAATTAAATTGACATGAGAATCAAATGTACTCGGGATTTGTAAAGAAAGCTCACCTGTAATATTGCAGCTTATGGTCAATATCCTGTAACTTCTTACTATCTCTACAAATCCATTGAACCTTCACCATTTTGCAGTAAGGTCCACTGAATTCCTTATTTTCCGCAATGTTAAAAGGGTTATCAAAGTGTGAGTTGAGGGATGAAAATTTCCCACACTGAGGGCTCCACATATCACCCTGACCTTGTGAAAAAAGAACGTCAACTGATGATGAATATGAAATAGGAGAAGACGAGTAATCATGGTTAATCAAAGGAGGGTCTGCAAGTTCACAATATATGGCTGAAATGGTCCTTATCATCTTCTCAGAAAGCCAGTTTGGTGTTTCGGTAACATGATCGTTAATGCTGGTCCGTAAATGCTCTGCCAAGCTGAATCCATTTGAAGTATCCATCTGAGATTGCTGGCATTGGAAAGGACAAAAAAAAAAGAGAAATTGCATATCAGAAGCCAGAAGGGCCAGCTAACTTTTACTGCCATCTATGTTTTTTTCCATCTGAAGGCATGTACAACTGAATTGACATTGATTAAATTTACCTCCAACATGGACAAAGGCAGAGAATGGTATAAATCTACAGCTTTGGCTACAGCTTTTTGCGGAGAAGTAACTGAATATGCCGATCGCTGAGAGAGCGAAGAATGGCTCCGATGAATGCTAGAATCTAACAGTTTCTCTGTACCCCAAACATCATTGCATTCCTTTGGAGGATTTCCAATTGAATTTCGAGAGGACACCAGATCACTAGATTGAATAGCTAGATTTTCTTTCTCCCCAATGATGCCATGTGCCTGAACCTCTGGAAACATTTCTTTATGTACCACTGAAGTTGATTTCAAAATTTCATCTATGTTCTTTAAAGACAAGAACCTTTTATCATAATTTTTACGGTACAATGAGAGAAGATACTTCTCCAAGTAGGCAACTTCCAGTTCTAAAACTGCAATATCCTTGATTAGTTCCTTAGCAGCCTGGAATTACATAAATGAAGTACCAATTAACTAACAAAGTCAGCGGAGTTTATTGTGGCAAATTTAAGTAACTAATAACCTTGGGGATTAAATTTTCAACTGCTACATCATAGGTAAAAGGCCTATGACTTAATGCCTTCTCCAATGCACGCCGAACCACTAATTGATCCTGCAATCGTTCTTGAAGGTGTAGAATCTGCAGAAAAATGAAAATGGGAAATATTGTAACTGAGCTTTGTATTTATATCCCAAATCTGCATAAGCTTTGCAGATATATATCCCACCAAGGTGACAAGTTGGAAAAGTTGGGAATTTTTACCTCTTGCTTTAACAAGTTTTGAACTTCAGTTTGACTCTTCTTTGCTTCGACATTGCCCATTATTTGTCCCGTTTCGTTCTGTGGAACAAAACAATATATAATGAAACAACTAGGACATACTAGAAACAAGGAACACAAGAGAGAAAAGCAAAGATATGGTATTCTTACAGGGCAATTAGAAGCTTCAAAGATAGTGTTTAACTTGTTCTTCTTGACTTTCTTCTGAAGTGGATCACTGTCAATACAAAAATTATTTACTAACTGTTACCGGCTCAAAATAGAGTTAGGTGACCATTGCAATTTTATGGAAAAAGAAAGCTTTTAAGAAGCCATTTTTGAGTTTAGACAGAGCTCAGATTCTCATTCCTAAACAAACCCAGTTCAGATTATTGCGTGGGCAAATGGTTAAGAGCGGAATTTGCCAGCATAAAACATATGAAAACATAGAGGCAAAACGTTTGTCCAACGTTATTGACTTATGGTCTTGTACAAGTAATATTTACATTTCAAGACTAATAGAAGAAGACAAATTAATGAATAAAGAACTCATCAGAGCTACCTGTTGGTGCGCTTGTGTCTTGCTTCCATGAATTCGAACTGCTTCAGATGATAACCCCGCCAATTCACTTCAGGCATGGTAATGAAAATGGTACCTCCCAAGTGGCTTTAGACTAAAAGAAAATAGAAAATTCACTGAAACTGCATTAAATGCAGCAAATACTACCATCAGATATTGACAAAATCTTAACCCGATAAAACAAAATAACCAGAAGAAACATCCAAAATCCGCATTAATTGCAACAGAATATAGTATAAAATCTGCTTATATAAGGCACACAAGAAACAATATGATGGAATGAGACTACTCACACAGATAAATTTTTGAAAAGCTGAAACCAAATTAACCCGTTTGAATTGATTCTACCTATAATTCAAAAAAAAAAAAAAAACTATTATCAAAGAATAATTGTTCTCTTAGCATACGGAAACATTGGTTAGGTAGTAAGCAAGAATAGTGCAAGGTTAAGATGCATAGGTAGAAGAGCTATATATGAGCTGTATACAATGCCTAAAAGGGTTTCCATTTTTTTGACTAGTCCCTTGTCTTAGAAAGCTATACCACCTTTGAAGATAGCTTTTGGAATGGTGGGCTTTTTTGCATTTGCATTAAAAGAAGTAAATCAGTTTTTGTAGTGCCTTTGTGTGGCTTTTGATTGATCAGGGCGATGCCATCAAAAGTTAAACTCAGGCATTCAAAAAGAAAACAAACGGACAAGAAACAAGGAGGTGACTTAGGGTATATAACTATATATAGCAATAGTTCATTGGTTTCCATGCAGCTGGAAACTGTACATTTCATTTTGTTCCTATGCCATCTCTAAACCATTCAGGATGGTACCCGCTTTAATTTCGTTCAATTCAAATCACCAATGATATTCATATGTAACAATTGAATTATTTCTTTTAACATATACCAAATTCTTATTTTTTGATCTCTCTTCATTCTAAAATCACATTATTATTATTATTATTATTATTAATAAATTGTAATATGTGATATAATTCAGTTGATTTATACAATTTTTTTTAAAAGTAAAGGTTCAAATTTTTACAATCCATTTTCTTATATTTTCAAATATTTAAATTTTTTTATAAAAAAAAAGTTCAAGTCTTTAATATGGTGCTAATTAACTTAACGGTAGTTTTTTAAAACTACATTTACTGTTGGATTTGGACTCGCATTTGTTCTCCCTCTTGATTTTGTGGAACTAGTTGCTGGATCATTTTGAGCCCTGCTTTTTTTTTTTTAGCTTCTCATGCTTAATTTGTGCATGGAAATAACTTTTAAAACGCATGAAAGAGATATGCTACAGCGAGTAATAAGTGCATGAACGCATGCAAATCATTTCTTGACTGAGCTAACTTTTATATTAAAATCTTTATTTTTCCAATCATGTCTGCGTCATGTCCAATATAACACGTATGGCTGGTGAAGAGATAATGGTTGGTGGGTGTCGTTCCCTTTAAAATAACCAAAAGGAAGGCAGCACTTAAGAGAAAAAGAAACCCCAAAACCTCGAAAGGGCTGAAAGTTTGAAGGTCAAAGAATAAATACAATAGATCAATGTTTTGATATGAAATGACAGCTTTGGTGGGCATTCCTTTGTCTAATCCCTTTGCGAAAAGGGAAATTAGAATACAAACATGAAAGACTCTGCTTTTCTCGATTCTTTTTCTCAGAAAAGTTTCTTACCTTTTCTTTTCATGGGGTATGGTGCTACAAATGGAGAAATATTAGAAAAAAAATGGAGCTCCAAGCATTTGATAATTAAAACTTACCATGAATTTTTCTATGAAGTTTATAATGATCATATAGTTTGCTTCAAAACATCATTTGCCAAATTCATGAGTACTTTCATTATGTCAAGGGTGTTCCATTGTACATGATTGATCAGTTTAACTTAAAACTTTAGTCATAATTATAGCATTAAAGTACATGACATGCACTACTAATGCATGTAAGAAATTTAGACCATGTTTCTAATTTAATCATAATATGTTTATGTTTCGAAAGAAGTTTCTAATTTGGTTCAAAGCGAAGAGTCAACCAGGAAAATCTATGAACTGGAATCTGCATTTCTGTCAGAATCAGACAATCATGAGAAAATTTTAACGAAACTTGTTTTTCATCATCAAAGATGCCATCTAGGAAGTCAGATGAAAACAGATTAAAACATGTAAAGAAACAAGAAAATAACCTCGTTTTAAAGCAAGTCAAGCATCAGCTGTCGATGGAAGTTGACAGACATGCTTGTAGTTGAATTAAAAAAACTAAGAGCTTCATTTATTATCTTGTTTAATCCAAAACAAACAAATATTCCACAAACTTCAAAGACAGTTGATTTAGCGCAAAATATAGCTATTTTTGAAAAACTATGGATTAGAAGATGCCCCATGTCTTCAGGATTATATAAAGTTTGTCTAGGATCCATGTGAAAGCCTTCTGCTCTAAATCAGTAATTCATTGGAAGGTCAACAAATAACTCTAAAAAAAAAACTTCTCTCAAGGTCACAATTGGAAGTTCATGATGTTGGCTGAAAATGGAAGATATACCTTCGCAATGTGACAATACTGCATTTTGAATGGTTAGGACTTTTGAACTCTCAGCATAGCTAAATGCATTTTGATAATCGTGCACTTTTAATTGTCAGAAAAATACTATGTGAAATGAACCTCATAACATTTATATATAACATAATTTTCAAGAGTCAAAGCCCCAAAGCAAGCAAGAAGTTTCTTTAAAGGAAGCAGAAGCGAATCTTAACGTCGAGATTAGCAAAAACTGATGAGTCTCTTGGACGGAGAGTCTAACTAGAAACCCAAGAAGAGACACATGAAAAAGTGTTACTTTGAACTTTCCAAAGGCTAAAATGAGCAGCATAGTCAATACTAATGATAAGAGAAAAAAGTATCTGCTAGTTTCTGAGCTCTTCTTCATATGCTCTTGTCCATTAGATTGAGACAACAAATCATATTCTCCATTTTAAATTGATGGACATCATAGTCTAACCTTTCTTATGAATTTTATAAGCAAATGAACTTCAAATTTTGTGTGTGGCCAAAAACAAGAACCCTAAGTTTGTGTGCTTGGGGATTTCAATGGCATGGTCTTAATTAGCTAGTGCCAAACCTGCTTTAGTTCTATTGCTCCAAATCTAGGCCAACATGGAGATAAAATAGTAGTGTCAGTGAACCAGAACAAGATCTGCAAGACCAGTAAGGTTTCCATGGTATTATCAATCCATTTCACTCCTAAATACAGTTGGTGCATATTCAAGAAACTTATAGTGGTTAATCTCATTTTCCTATCATTTCTTTCAACCAACCTTGAACCTTCCCATCTGTGTAGTATGATAATATGTGCCTCCTCTATTAAGAACTTGAAAGCCATAGAAGATTTGCAAATCAAAACTTTTCTACCAATTATCTTGGAACAATCTATTCCTATATAGCAAGTATATATATACATAGTAATCAACTAGAAAGTTTTCTCTTCTTATTAAGATTTGCATAATCTTATATGGGTGATGCATACTATCAATCTCTATCTTTGCTTCAATGAGTTTCATTGGAAAGCAAGATTCATGCAGAGAAGGTGACTAGCTAACTCCCTTCTATTATGCTATAACTTGACTACTTTCTCTCATGGGTCCAGGAGATGCAGTCTTGTTCACAAGTTAGATAACCCCACCTTTGAAAAAATCAAACTATTGTAATTCAATAATCAATTAAAAAAGAGTATGCAGCCTAACAAATATCAAACAACTTGACTACAGCCAAGTGCTTGATAGCTTTGATTACATTCGTTAAATATACTTGACCTCATTCACCGATGGATGTACATCAAGAAATTCACTAGTTATATTAAAATTGAGCACTATCTGTGCTTCCCGAGTGCTCAATGTTATATATATAGTTTTTCAAGGTACATAAAAGAAAAGGAGAGAGATAGAGAGAAAGAACCAGGACCACTCAGTAAAGTTTCAATTTCTTTCCTTTTCGTCTTTTGGGTGTTTCTTTAAATAAATGCTTACATAAGTAAATAGGCTAGCAGATAATGATGGATCCAAAGCAGTCAAATTACAACCCTTCCTCTTCCCACCCAAAAAAAAAAAAAATGCTATACAAGAAAAAGTATGTACTATCAAAGAATTATGTTACCAACATAACATCTTAACTTATCTGAGATATAGCTTTGCGTTTGTGGCCCATAGTATTCACAAGTTCTTTGCGAGTACAGACAGGGAACATGTTTATATTCGTCAGTATGCTCAATTGCCTGAGCACAAATGGAAAGCTGAGTTGGTCACGTGAGGTAAAACGAACCACTTCATTAAACCAGAGGCACATGAACAGATTTGTCGATGGTGTGTGCTCTCTAACAATAACTGAAGCTTCTACTAAAGCTGCAGAAAACAATATTCTGTAGTATGAGTTGGGGAATGCAATAAGATTATCTAATGACATTTTCCAAGAAACTGATAAATCCAAAATCCTTTCTTAATCATCAATTTCTTCATTGTTTTATCAGTTTCTCTCTGAAAACCTTTTGCAATTTACTTAGAAGATTTTTTAAAAATACTAAACAGTAATAAGGGTTACAAGATAAAACAGTTCTGTAAGTTTCATCTGATTTTTTGATTTGGAACACCTTCCCTTCTCTGCAATCAGGAGCATATTTATAGCTTCTACTTCAGCTCCTAACCCAATCTTGGTCACCATCTAACCAAAATTATTCAGCCTAGTATGTGCCAAAACATTGTAGGTGCAAAAAAGTTTTTGCCAATGAAGACTAAGTTGCTTGACGAGTTGAGGGATATTAGAAATTATAGACAAGGGAACATTGGAACCTGTGAGATGATGCTACACATATCTCAGGTCAGAAGATGTTACCACTGAGATAATAAGAGGAAATTTTGAGACAATAAACAATAGAGATTTAAACAGGAAGAAAAGAACAACATATAAGAAGTTCACAATAAATGAAGGAGATAAAATGACGTAGACTTTATTTCCAGCAGAAATTATGTCAAACTTTACCAAGAACCATACCTTTCTTTCCATTAAACTTCTTCTCATTGGGAAAACCATCTTGGCGATACTGAAACAACTGTGCTTCAACTTCCTCTGAGGTGGCTTTATTTTTCTCAACCACAGCCTTGCCTTCATCATAGATGCTGCTACGAGCTCCATGTTCAGAAATTGCTAATACAGAACCTGTACGCCAGAGAAGTGCTTCAAGGACACCTAATGGATCTTGCCGAAACTGAGACTTAGAATCTACCCAAATTGAATATCTAGCTTGAGGAAACAATCTATGTGCCAATATCTGATTGAACAATAATAAATAAAATTCAAACTAAAGCTTTGGCAGCAGATGGAAATAATAAAAGTTTAACCATAGAAGTAAAATCTGCACTAGTATCAAACCACCAAGGAATTATCAAAGCAATTAGAGGCTACTCTTATCATCGTAGCATAAGATAATTACTATATGCAAAGAAGATTAATTTTCAAAGCAATAACTCTCTGTTTAAGAGAAGATAAATTCTCAATGAAAAAGTAGTCATTGCAGCATACCTTTGGGATTTTACCATTCAATCGTTGGTCTGCAAAAGGAAGCTCCTGAACAACAATAACTCGCCATATTCCAATCATATGGTTATCATCAATTTTATGTCCGTCTGCCTCCTGAATTTGGAGAGTAATTTCATCCCAAAATGCCACATAGCAAACCTGAACATAAGAAAAAAGTATAAGTAATTAAATTTAAATGAACACATCTTGAACCGAAAAAGCACTACATGCTTAGAGCCTTAAGAGTTTTGCATGAGAGTAACAACCTTTTTAAGCGACGACAGAGACATTCCTACAGGTTGAAACAGATCATCTCCACCTCCAAATGCACATGTTGACACCACAATTTGACAAGTTTGCGTATAGCTCTTGTCCTCATCAGATATCTTAAACCCTCCATTTTCACTGTAGAAACCACAATGCACCGCAGCAGTTTCATTCACCTGAAAACATTATCCAACTAAGAACAACCTATTACTTCAAAATCAAGCTTTATAACTAAGCAAATCAAAAAGGTTAAATTATCAAAAATTTTCCAACCTTATAACTTTGTTCTCTTTGGTGAATTGTTTGATACCCTGTAAACATGTTAAACCTTGTAGATTCCGATGGCTGACGCGGTGAAGTGATATTGGCACCAATATCAGATCCATCAGAGTCTGATATATACACCACTCTTTTAACAGGAAAGCGAGGAGTTACCATTGAAGGTATTTCCAGATTCTCCAGTTCTTCTTGGTCCAAAAGCTTCAAGCAACCTATAAAAAGACACAATTTTGAGAAAAAAAGCCAAAGTAATCTTACATCAGAGGTTCAAGAAAGAGAAAGATAAAAAGAAAAGGAACTTACTTTGTTTACGTTTAACGGAGACCCGGAGATTCGGGTCAACTCGACCCATGTCTTGATGGGTGATAGAGAAAATTCTCCAGAGACCAAAGAGGATGAAGCTGAAGAGAGGGAAGAATACGAGTAGGCCCCAGCGGTTCTTGATGATTATAAGGAAGGCTCTGATGAGAGTCTCGTTCTTCTTTTTGCTATGTTGTCCAAAAGATTGGTGCCGTTGGTTTTGATTTTCATGAAAGTCTTGTAAAATGTGTTGTCTGCTTCGGATATTGCGGGGTTTGAGAAGGCTCGACGTGGGAGGCATTGACGGAGAGTCGCAGTTGTCGGAGTCGTCATCGGAGATTTGGATGGATATTGAGGACATCGTGGCTGGCGGGAAAGAGAGGAAGTTTGGTTTCCTTCCACTTTGTTGAATTGTTAGAATGCTGAAGTCCGAAGTCCGTTGGTACTTGGTTTAGGAACAAGAGACGGTGCCGTTTTTGCCATTGCAAACGAAATCAATGAAAAAACGACGTCGTTTAGTAATCTTTTCTCTAGCATTGTAAATAAAATTTAAGCAAATTTTCCAATGAAACTCCATAGTCACTAAAAACAAGGTTTACCAAAGATAATCGATTAAAACATTAAAACTATCTTAAAACTATCTCCATTGATTTATGCAATCATTCTTAAAAAGAACATCTGTTAAGTTTAGAATTCAAATCCAGCTTATCCCATGCAGCAAGCCTCCAATATACCAAAAAAATATATATTAAAAAGGACAAATTTTACACCACTCAAATCACAGGTTAAGAATTTACATATATATTCAAAAGCTCAACATAAGGCCTATGTACACTTGTACAGTATATCTATTTTCAGTTCACAGAGCCTTGAAAGATAAAAAAATAACCCATGGAATTCCAGTATTACTCTTCCGGGATATCGCTAAAATAGAAAGGATGCGCATGATGAGGGGACAAAAAAGAGTCTAGGCAGGGAAAGGAAAGCATTTGAGTGGTGCTCAATCCATAAATGATCAAATCCCATTAGACCAAATGAGGGTCTCCAGTTAGATCTGTACATCTGTACTTCTTAGAAAAAGCCTATCAGAGATCAATTCCTGTCAAGAACTTCCGCTGGCAAGTTCAGATCAAAGAATCCACCTCCATAACTTTCCTTTTTGTGTCGCTTCTGGGATGTGCAACCACTGTCATCTGAACTCCCAAAGCTGAAAGGTCGATCTCGTTTGCCTAAATTGCAATGAGCAAGTAAAATCTTTACAACATATACAAGTTTTAATAGTCTTCAAACTATAAATATGTGTGCATGCGTGCTTGTGTGTGTGTGTTGATCCTCAAAAAGTGAAGTTAAACATACCACTACTGCCACAATCAGAGGGAAGACATTTATCAGTAGCAGTACTGGGTTTACTGTTCTGACAGATAGCAAGCTCTGATGCTTTCTCAATGCCCTTAGATTTGTACGGAGCTATATTATGGGTATTATATTGGAGAGAACCCAATAAATCATTCTCAATGCATTCATACCTGCAAGCCATAGTCTCACCATATGAATTTAAAAACTCTCATTAACATCAGTCACAAATTTATACATAGTAGCTATACTTACATTTTCTTACAAAGGGTATCGATGATCACAGAAAGATTGATTACTTGCATTCGTATCTCCATAATTTTATCATCATTATATTGATCAAAGGGCTCTTCCAAAATCTTAGAGAGTTTCTCAACATTTGCCTCAAGTTGCTGTTGCTGATTCTCAAATAGAAGCTGTTTTATTTCCCTTTCCTTATTTGTCATCTCATCCTTCAATAATTCTTCTCCAAACATGTAAAAGGCAAATGGGTACGAATATGAAAGAACCCGCCTTGATCTAAAAAGTCTACAGAGTCCATTAGTTACCCAGCTGAAATCTCTAAGCCTCGATTCCCTCTCTTCAGAAATTGATACCTTCTCCAGTATAGTCTCATTGAGTTTACTCTCAAGCTTAAATGAATCTGTGTGAGCTTTATAACGGTTGTGATAGTGCATATATCGATATAGATCTCGCTTAGCTCGTTCAGTATTTTCCTCACTGTCTTCTTTGTAGCGACCACAGCTATGACCAGTAATTCTTGACCAAGTATGGTCCCGTCCAGTAGCTCCACCACACAGCCAACTGCACCAGTTCAAAAAGAGAGAAAATGTGATAATAAAATAGAATCTCAAGTAATCCATATTCAGCAGTGTGTAAATCATGTAGAACGAGCTAAATAATAACAGTACTTAGTACAAAATAATTAAAATAAATAAATTAAAAATGAAAGAGGAAAAAAAGTCACTTATGCTCTTGCTAATGCAGCAGCTTGTGCACGTTCAAAAGCTTTTTTTTCAAGCGAACATTTATGCCAGAACCAAACACGTAATTCTTGAGAAGTAATTGTCACAACAATGAGATTAAGACACCTTTAACAAATTTGCAAACTGAGAAATGCTAATTAACATAAAGGGAAACCCTCACCAAAATGCTTGTCCGCAGATACAGCTCACAAGGTTACATCCACCATTTTTCTCCACAGGTTTGTGACACTTTGGACAAGGTTTTGTATGAACAGTGATCCAATTAACTGTTTCTGATTCATCTCGGCACTTCTTGGTCCAAAGCTCCCACATCATACATGAACATGGCGAGTGTGCTTCTGATAAGCAACTGAAACAAAACTGTACACCACAAGAGCACTCTACCTCACAAAATTCATCATCCTCAACTCGTATTGCATTTCCACAATGAGGAGTACTAGGGCACCATTTAACCATCCTATTATCTTCAATGTATGACTCAAGAAGAAAACGATCAAATTTCTCAGCTAGATCAGGATGCCTTTTACCAACTAGATTTCTAACAACCGCTTCATCACAAATAGCATTGCACTTGTGTGCCATACACCTAATGCGCCTACTTTGACCGTCATTTATTTTCACAACAAAATGCTCTGTCCAGCCTAGGAAAAACAGAGGGAAAGAAATCAACTCAAAAGACTAAAATGTGAAATTAATATGCATCTCTGAGTTGATTGCTAAAGGAAAATTTCCAGAGTTCTCAGCATTGTTCACGTGCTCAGGCTATGTTGTAATGTGATACATATGCATGCTTCAATAAAAAAGTGGAGACTAAGGAGAGTGCTTACAGTCATTGCAAAAGGCATGGCCACAGTCCATTTTCGTCATCTTATCACCAGGTAACTCCTCTATGCATATGCCACACATTGCTATAGATGAAGTCAACACTGGTGTTCCTGTATCCTCACTCTCAACAACGGACACACCTGCTTCGGCAAACAAGTATGCTTTTCCCTTCTCCACAAGTACAGCAAGTAACTTCTCAACATCCCATCGATAATGGATTAGTAGAGTCCGAGCATGGTGCTCCCTTAGAGACAGCATGTCCATTACTCTCCGTAAATCCTCCCTCTACCCAAAAAGCCAAAACGATCAATTCAATCCTATAAAAAAAAACATACATGCATGGGAAACCTGAAAAAAAAAAAAGGAAGGGAAATAAATCTTTACCTGTGCAGCTAAAAGTGATTCTTTAGTAATAACCTGCATATGCCAAAAAGGGTCACAAAAAGGTATGCCCATTCTTCAAATTAAGCATAAAATAGGGGCCAGAAGAAGAGAAAGATTAAGAATTCATAGAAACGATGAATGCTGTTCTTCTTTAAGGGGTTTTCCCATTAAGATTAAACCTTAAACGTTTCCTATGTTCTGAGGGGGAAAAGCTTCAATGCACACAATGCCATTTAGTATAACAAAAGCCCAAAACACAAGCAAGAGGTTATACACATAAAATAGAAAAAAGTCCATGAAATTCGATGACCAGCAGCTCCTTTGCCTGTGACATTAAAGCATTCGTGAGCATGCAAGAACCACCCCACCCCCACCCCCACCCCCACAATAGAACCTCAAAGCTGCTTTAAATTACTCTACCCTCTCAAAATCCACAAACCCAGAAAGGAAACAAAAAAAAAATTCTCTTTCTCAATCATTTACCAGTAATTCACAACTAATTCAAACCCCAAAACTCTCTTTTAAACAAGGGAAAGACAACAAAAAAACCCAACTTTACACTGAAAAAATAAACGAAAAACCAAGAATCGATAAATCAAGGGAAATTAAAACGAGAATTTGAATTCCGAAGAAGACAAGAAAAGGAGAGGGAGAAAGAGAGACAGAAACAAATTTTGACCTTGGTAGAAGGACCCTTGGTTGGGGCCCACTGTAGTAGAACGGAGTCCTCATTCTCGAGACCGTCAAGGGACTCTCCATCGGACGAATGGTAGTAATCCTCACCGCTGCTCGCGCAATCCTCCATCGGCCGATCGATCAATCAGAACAATTCCAATTTATTTATTATTTTTATTCCTGCTATAAAATCTCAAAACCTAAAAAAAGAGATAACTTTCAAAGCGAATTTAAATAAAGATCATAAACAATTATTTATAAAGATGAATTTGTTAAAATTTTTAATTGATCGCTGAAAAAAAAAAGACGATTAGTTTCCGGCAAAAGCTTTACTTTTTTTTTTTTTTTTGCCGGCGAAAAGAGTGTAAAAGAGCAGAAGAAGAAGGAGAACAGAAATCCTTTTATTGTGCAAGAGACGACCAATAAAATTGACTTGTATCTTCTTTATTTTATTTTATTTTATTTGTGAGAGAGAAATAGAGGCGGCGTAGAAGTGTAGATGCTTGCCAGCGTAGAACACTGAGGACTGATCGAAGATAAAATGATGCCGTTTCATTTTTGTCCGATTTTGTTTCCTCTTTTTTTTTTTTTCAAGTTTCTAATTTAACCTTTAATCCCTCTGTTCTACTGCTTGTTTAATCTATTTTCTTTCACACTTTCTTTTTTGATATATTAAAGGACGTGTCTGATAAATTATTAAAAATTAAAATTTTTAATGAATTTATATTTTTAATGCTTTGAATAAATAATTTTAAAAATATTGAATAAATGGTTTTTAATAAAAAATATTAAATAACTTTTAATTATTTAATGGATTAATTTAATTTTATTTTAAAAAATTATGCACATTAATTTCATATTTTTACTTTTAATAATTTATATTTTCAAGTTTCATCAATTAAAAATAATTATAAAATTGTATCCCTTTTTTAATCAAAGATTAATAGAAAATTTACAAAACATTTAATTTTTAATAGCATAACAAATCATTTTTATAACTTAAATTTGGTATATAAATTTTTTAAAGCAAAAAAATTTAGTACTTAAATTTTTAATATTAAATTTGTTTAATTTATCAAACAAAGTTTAATTAAAGTGTGATACGTTCCAATTTTTAAATAAAAAATGGTTAAAAGTATTTAAAATAATACAAATATCTTTTCAATACAAATATTATTATATTTTCGTAAATAAAATTACTTGTTTATAAAAAGATAAATTACCTATTTATTTTTTTTGCAATAAACACACATTCTAAAATTATTTCTAAATTGGAAAATAAAGAAGAATATTCGCATATTTCATTTCATATAAATAAAAAAATAAAGAAAAAAATAAAAGAAATTCGAGATTTGCGGAATATAACGGCCGACATTTACGCAAGCAGTATTCATTACAATAAACGAATCTAAAAAGTTCCAAACTACACAAACCGACCTACAAGACACGTGCTTCGCACGTGATCACCAAATCTATCCTGTTAAACTTAAAACCCTCTGTTTTGTCTCGCTTCCCCAAAAAACCTCAAAAAAAGATGTCTCTGCTTCTCAAATCCTTCCTTTTCTTCTCCATTCGAGCCAGACCTCTCGCTGTTTTCCCTTCCATTTTAGAACCAAAATCACTTTCCAGGAACCGTCGAAGCCTTTCCTCTGTATCGGCTTCCACTTTTCAATCCCCTTCCTATTCCTCTGAAATTCCTAGCCCCATTACCCCAGTAGCTCCTCTCAAGGAGTCTCTCCATTGGGTCTCTCGCACCGCCGTTTGCAGTGATTTGTCAAATGACGATGTGGGTTCTCGGGTTCGTCTTTGCGGGTGGGTCGCTCTTCACCGGCTCCATGGTGGTCTCACCTTTCTTAATCTTAGAGACCACTCTGGCATTGTCCAGGTATTCACTTTAACTTGCAATTTTTTTTTATATTTATGATGTCGGTTTCTTTAGAATAATTGTTTGGATGTTTTTCAATTATAGATTACATCGCTTCCGGGTGAGTTTCCTGATGCCCATGCTGCTATTAAGGATTTGAGGCTTGAGTATGTGATTGCTGTTGATGGTGTTGTCCGTTCTCGTCCCAGTGAGTCCGTTAATAGGAAAATGAAAACCGGCTCAATAGAGGTATTTTACTATACTTGAGCTTGTGCTTTTAATCTTTATTTGATGTCAATTATGTCTGCCAGGTCGCTGCAGAGCATGTTCAGATATTGAATGCTGTAAGATCAAAGCTACCATTAATGGTTACTAGCGCAGATGATGCTAATGATTTTGTCAAGGAGGAAATTCGTTTAAGGTAGCCAGCTTTGAATTTACTTGTCTGCAATTTGTCTGCGCGCTTGAGTAGCTGATAAAACTTGTATTGTCCTTACCATGTGAAGGGAGAGATAAATGAGCTACATTGTTCCTGATGAGTTGCCTAGATTAGTTTTACGGTCTGTTTTTGGAGTTTTGCTTTTAATTTTTTTAATTATTGCAAGCCATTCCAGTTTGGTGACGAGCTGTAGATGTTTTCCTTATGATATATTGGGGACTTTGCATTGATGTTTACTGTTTCATAGATATCGATACCTTGATTTACGCCGGCAGCAAATGAATTTCAATATCATGCTGCGTCATAGAGTGGTGAAACTCATTCGACGATGTCTAGAGGATGTGCATAATTTTGTGGAGTTATAACACAATGAAGTTTGTTCTATTATAGTAATTTATTTTATTATTATTTTTTCTGTTATTTTCTACTGATTCATGTTCAGTTTTTGTTGTGGTTCTGACCTTTTTCATGGTTATAAGGTAGATTGAAACTCCAATGCTCTCTAGATCTACTCCAGAAGGTGCTCGGGATTATTTGGTTCCCTCAAGAATCCAGGTATTAATGATTTTTCAGCCTATTGAATGTCCTTAAGACAGCATGTAACAACTTTTATGATGTCAGAGAGCTTCGCATCCTAAATGTTTCTGGTTCAGTCAATAAATGTTAAATTTAGAAATGTTCATCACTTATATATATCATTGGGACAATGGAACGGGTCTGATTCACTCTACTGTCTATTTTGAAGCGAGGAACATTCTATGCTTTGCCTCAAAGTCCGCAGCTTTTCAAGCAAATGTTAATGGTTTCTGGTTTTGATAAATATTATCAAATAGCAAGGTAAGTTTTTTACTTGTTGTCAGGGCATTTTATTACAGTGTTGCAATGATTGTCTCGTATCTGCTAAGCTTTCTGTGTATTTTTTTTCAAAGAACTGATTTACTCATGCTCATTTTTTTCCCATTTCTCAACCCCTGTGATGAGAGCAAGGATAAGCCTGTGGTGTTAATGGACGCAGTTTGATTTATTTTCCTGAGTTTGCTAAGAAAACAATAAAAAACATAGGGGATTGCATTATCCTATTCCTGCTAGGAATTGGGGTATCCAGACACTAGTTACTGTGACAATCTACTGGGCTATAACCAGTGTATAAATTCTTCTCTTTTTTTTTTTCAGATGTTTTAGAGATGAAGATCTGAGAGGCAGATAGACAGCCTGAGTTCACACAGCTTGATATGGAAATGGCTTTGACCCCATTTGAGGACATGCTTAGGCTTAATGAAGATTTAATTAGAAAGGTATGTAAATTGGGGGCCAATATGCTAAGATGATATGAGTCCTAGCTTGGAAATTTCTTTCAAGAGGAATTATTCATAAATATTTGCTGATGTGTCTGAATAGGATTTAAATATTAAGTTATGACTTTTCCTTTTACCTAAAGTTTGGGGGGGGGGGGGGATGTTGTAGCTATTAGTAAATATTAGTAAATAAAATATTCAAGTTTAACTAAGTACGAGCCTGCTCGTCTTCAGCTTACTCTTGAGATGAGCTTCATGAGGCTCGTCTTGTGGGCCTTGTAAGTGGCTTGGCTTCATTCTACACTGTCCAATGGCACATTGGTTAGTCAAGCTAGGTTTGCTAAATGATGGTATAGGTAGATGCTGAATGCATTCATCAGAAGGCCTTTTGGCACTCTGCTTTTTTGCATCGAATGTAGGTGAAGGACCAAAGGTATTGCCCTCACCCTCTGCAACATTTTAAGTGGTTTTATGCATTTACATGAATTTCGAACTTTTTCATATCTTCACATTATAGGAGTTTTAAGAAAGCTTATTTATTGCAGGTTTTTCTAGAGATTAAAGACATCCAGCTACCTAACCCTTTCCCAAGACTAACATATGCTGATGCAATGGATCGATATGGTTCAGATCGTCCAGACATCAGATTTGACCTTGAGTTGAAAAATGTAGTGATCATTGTTCACTTATTTAGCACATATTGTCTAATGTTTGCTGATTTACTTAGAGTTCATTGTCTAATATTGTCTAATCCTTTGCTCTCATTGGAGCTGCAGGTATCTGATGTCTTCTTAGACTCTCCCTTCAGGCTCTTTGCGGGCACATTAAAAAATGGCGGAATTATCAAAACATTGTGTGTGCCTTCTGGTGCTAAAAGATTTTCGAGCACAGCTCTTAAGAAAGGTGATGTTTATAATGAAGCAATCAAGTCTGGAGCAAAGGGTTTACCCTTCCTAAAGGTCTTGGATGATGGTAAATAGTGTTCTTCTCTATCTAGTTCCCGTTTTCCTTTCCCCACCCTGGAAAAGTTGATTTGCTCATTATAAAGTTGGTATTGATGGTCTTTATTACTCTTTTAGGGGAGATTGAGGGAATCCCTGCATTGGTATCTAGTTTGGGTCCAACAAACAGAGAGCAATTCTTGAGACAATGCTCTGCAGGACCAGGTGATCTGATCTTGTTCGCAGTTGGTCATAATACATCAGTTAATAGGACCTTAGATCGACTTAGGGTTTTCATAGCCCATGAAATGGGTTTGGTTGACCATGTGAGTTCCTGATCAGTCTTCTATCTGAAATATATATAATTCTTGCTCTCTAATTATTTTTTCTAACTTAAGCATTTTCTTCAATTCTTAAATGCAGTCTAAGCATTCAATTTTGTGGGTGACTGATTTCCCAATGTTTGAGTGGAATGATTCTGAGCAAAGACTTGAGGTCCGTCTCATGCTCATGTTTTGTCTTTGGTGATTTTAGTGAAATAATCGATGTATATTCTATTCTTCCGAAAGAATTAGCATTGTTGTCTGGTAAAGGTCCCCTTTTTACACCATATAATTCATCCCTATGATAGTTTTCTATTCTCAGTGTGTGATTTTCTCTGTTATTCTCAAGGAATTAACAGAGTAGCTGCATTTTAAGATTTAATTTTTCTTAGGCAATAGATACTTCAAAATGTAGATTTTATCATTTCTCTAATTTTCTTTTTGTTTTCACTTACGTGCTTACACAACATAATGTTGGTGGAAGCCTTAGCTTGTTAAATTAATGAATATGGAAGTTTTAGTTTTGTTAAATACTGTATTGTTTCGTGCACCTGTCCATTGTTGAAAATTTACTTATCTTGTAGCCCTTGCATCATCCATTTACTGCACCAAACCCCGAAGACATGGGAGATCTTTCTTCTGCACATGCCCTTGCTTATGACATGGTTTACAATGGAGTTGAGGTATTTATATTGTTTGCTCTCTAGAAGCTCTTAGGGTAATGATTCGGTTGCCCACCTACTATAGATGGTAACTGAATGTACTACCATCTTTTGCATTGTCAGATTGGTGGAGGAAGTTTGAGAATTTACAAAGGTGATGTCCAACAGAAAGTATTGGAAATTATTGGCATCTCTTCTGAACAGGTGAGGAGAACTTAAGTTATTCAAAAATTAAACCAATAGTTATTGTTTGTGCCGAGTAACTGGGGAAGTCTTGTGTGTTACACATCTTCCTAGTGAGTTGTTGTTGCCAAGAAAACCAAGGTAGTGGTTAGTTCTGTTCTAACTAGTGTCAATTCGGTAGTCTCATGCGACAGAAAACTGGCCTAAAGAAACATAAATACCATAAAGTAACAATGAATCGGGATAGTTATAAATCTTAGAAAAGCAGAGATTACTTTGTTTGAGTCCTCAATTCTCTGTCCAAATAATGTGGTTTTATGTTACTTATTTATAGGCTGAAGATAAGTTTGGCTATCTTCTGGAAGCTTTAGACATGGGTGCTCCTCCACATGGTATGACATGCCTAGGCAACAAAACTATGACTTTTCTGTTTGGAATAAAAGTTTACTTGTTATTTATCTATTTTCCTATTGCAGGGGGGATCGCATATGGTTTGGATAGATTGGTTATGTTGTTAGCAGATGCAAATTCTATCAGAGATGTCATCGCTTTCCCAAAGACAAGTACTGCTCAGTGTGCCCTTACTCGAGCCCCATCAGAAGTGGATATCCAACAGTTGAAAGATCTCTCACTGAAGACCCTATAGTTTCTTCTTGTTTTGCCTGTCTATATCAGAAAAGCCAATTAGGTTGCCATTCTATTAATCACCATTGGTTCATCATAAAGCTTTTGTTTCTTGTATCCTGTCTTTTAAAAACAAAACAACACGTTGCAATACATGATTCAATTTTGTTTTGATAAATTATAGCTGTATATGTGGAACTAAACCTTTTTGTCACATTCTTGTTCTATCATCAATGAATGAGTGTCGAGTTTAATTATTATCTGCTATACGGTCAAGAGTTCAATTTATTTATTTTTCCTAGAAAAATACTATTGCTGAAACGCATGCACATCCACTGAAATGTGACAGTCCAAATAGAAAACCTACACCAGTACCTTTTTTCTTTTTTTTTTGAATTTTGCTTGATTTTCTTTGATAGTTAGTTTGATCTTTTCAGATTGTTGTTGGTGCCGAGCTTTCTATGCGAGGGTAAAAACTTGAAAACATAAGGGAGTGAGGTTGGTCAATGATAATGGCCGGCGGTTTCTTTGGCGATTGTGTTTCAGTGCTCGAATTAGTGTTTGATAAGGGAATGAAAAGGAGAGGAAATTATAAAGTAGATGTGAGAAGTTCAAGTTGGTTTAAGAGTAACTGATAGTCAATAATGCAATCAAGAGATGACAAGTCAGTATTTTATGTGGCACCGAATGATTTGAGCTGGCATAAACTTCAAAATTTTTGTTAATTCGATACGTCAGTTCATTCAAATTAATTAAATTATTTTTTTATGAAATGTGATTTATGTTTTAAGATAAAATATCTATTTTTCCTTTTAAATTCTAAAATGTCCCTAACAGTTGTGTTTAGGAATGATTCATTTCGAATTTTAGAGAGTTTTAACTAAGTAATCTGTTTCTGATCTTGGCCAAAAAAAGAAACTGTTTTTGATATAGTAGCAGTCAGCAAGGTAAATATAAGATTCCAATCCTTCCTGAGTCTTGCCTATTGCATGTGCATGCTTGAAACTTGAAAAGTATCCTGGTTCTCCTTTGTTATCGTCCTCTGATCCACATTTTATTTTTCAAAGACCCGAATTATTGTGGCTGATTTGTATAGATTTGATCCAACAAAGATTCAGTTTTGACAGCATAATTGTTAAAACGTCATCCAAATGGGGCAGTAAGATGTTCATGCACATCTCCAAAATTGAAAAATAAAAAAATTTTTGAAGAAAAATTTTCTCTGAACACTCCAAATTTTTATTTAGACACCTTTTTAATCATTTTCATCAATAAAATTAGTAAATCCAATGGTATTTTTTTTGTCTATATTATAAATAAACATTCTAAAAAAATCCTGAAACCAGTACGGAAAAACGCCTCTTTCAAATATGGAATTTTTAAAAAATGGTTTCATGTTCCCTGGATGCTCTACATCCCCTCCTTTGGAAACAAATCCACAAATGCATCTGACCATGCTTGATTGGAAAAGATTCGAAAACAAATACAAATGTTTAAATTAATAGGAAATTCATAATCCAAAGAATCAAATTTTATATTTCCACATTTATTAATAATAAAGCACATATTTCTGTACATTTTTTGCTACTCCATATAGAATAGTGATAGTCACTGCTAGTCTAAACTGAGGGAACCTTATTATTTTCCCTCCCAAATTTGCCAAATGATCTATAATCTTGTGTCAACTGCATAATTGAAACCTGCTGAGTTCATTTTCTCCATCCATACCTAGAAAGTTCGGAACTCATTTATAATTATGTGCACGTTCAATATAAGAAAATGCTTAACTTTGATAATATTGTGCTCTTGAATTAGATTCCTCATCCACTGATTAACAAATGCACTTAAACATTAACAAATTCATGAAGTGAATGAAATATAGTTTTAGACATCATGTCCTGTTCAAGAATTAAGATCCTAAGCATTGCACATATAATTTGCAGTTTTCACTTGAAGTAAACATAAACCAAAATTATAGTTGAGAAATCCATCTAACAGATTCATTGGAAAATTGGTTTCTTTCATGATTACCAGCTGCTTCCTACTCATTGTAGCATGATAACAATGCCATGCACTTGTTCGCAAGAAATTATGGCCAAGAAAATTTCTTAGAAATGTCTGAGTTGTATACATGGGAGATGAAATGGAAAAGAGCGTAACGTACCAGTAAAGAATAGCATTACATTTTTATTATTTGGATATTTATTCCATATATATAAACTCAAAAGGGATTCCAAAACTTCCTAATCCAGTATATAATTTAATTCACGCTAAGAACCGTACAGAATTGTACCTAAAACATGGTAAAGATGTCCATATAAATACTTGTTTTTTCTACCAATCAATTGCCATTCGTACTCCAAAGGCCCCCTTGTGGAAAAAAAAAAAAATTTTTTTCTGATGGGGAAGAAATGTTTAGGTCGCCAAAAGGTTGAGATGGAGAAAATTAAAAATGAAAGCAATCTCCAAGTAACCTTCTCAAAGCGTCGGTCTGGTCTTTTCAAAAAGGCTAGTGAACTTTGCACTCTTTGTGGTACTGAAATTGGCATACTTGCCTTCTCACCTGGCAATAAGGTATTTTCCTTTGGCCACCCTGACGTTGGAACTGTTGTTGATCGTTATCTCAGTAGCAACCCTCCGGAAACTTCAGCAACTTCACAGCTCATTGAGGCTCATCGTAATGTTAATGTCCGTGAGCTCAACATGCATCTTACTGAGGTTTGATTAGAGTTTAAATATAATTTTTTTTCTTTGCTTTGTGTTATTGAATAAGATTAAATTCTACTTTTTCTTTTAAGCAACACAAACAAGTCTTTTGTATTAGGTGGTCAGCCAATTAGAAGCTGAAAGGATTCGGGCTGAAAAGCTTAACCAAATGAGCAAAGCAAGCCAAAACAACCAGAACTGGTGGGGGGCTCGAATTGAGGAACTTAGCCTGCCACAACTCCAGCGACTGAAATCTTCCCTGGGGGAGTTGAAAAAGAACGTGACAAAGCAAGCAGAGAAGCTTCTTATTCAGAGTGCAAATTCCCAGCAGTTATTCATGGGAAGTTCCAGCGCAGGGGTGCACCCTAATTATGAGACAAAGAATTTTGCATTTGATGCAAATATGATGCCTCAGGGATACAGTGCTCCACATCTGATACCTCCAGGATACAGCCCCAATCCTGAAGGATACTATCCGAACCCTCATGGATACTGTCCTGGTCCTCCTGGTTTTGGACGTGGGTTTTTCTAATTAATTGAGTTGCTTTGCCTTGAATGAACAAGGAATTGTAGCCACAGTTGTAGTCACAGTTTATGTTTTCCTGCATCTTTCATGTATTTTGGCCTCTGAGTTTGTTCTTTATGGATAAATTTAAGTTGGTTCAAGACGGTAATCTCTGTTTGACTGAGATGGTTATGATATACTAAGAGTCCTGTTAATTTGTTTCTGTAGTTGCTATTGTTCAAGTATCAATTTGAACCTACAAACTTTTTTCCCATTAGTTTTCTTGGATTAGAATTATGGAATGCAGTGTTTATTTTATGTCAAATAAAATGCTGTACTTTGCTTTTGTACGAATTACATACAAATGGTTCTTGAAAGGTATAAATTCCCCATTGCAGCCCTGATTGTGTGAAAATTATGACATTCACGTGCATTAACCTCATAATATAATTAGGTTATTCTATATTTGGCTGCCTAATTTAGTTTGAGTTAATTACATTTTTGGTACTTTAATTTTGGAAAAGTGTATAAAGTAGTACTTAAAGAAATAAAATGTACAATTTACACCTTTAATTTTTAAATTATATATAATGTTAACTCAAACTTTAATCTCACTAATCATATCAATTTATATGTGTTATTTAACAAATATTATCAAGTTATGTACTCACCACACGTACTATCAATATTTTTTAATATAAATTAAAAAATATTTTTTTACCTAAGCTATAAAAATAATCTGAAATCAGTCAATTATTTTTTATTATATGGTATCTACATGACATTCACATGAGTTTTTTACAAAATATTTAGTACTTCTATTTAATAAATAACGTGCATATAACAAAACTATACTAATTTGATATCATATAAGTAAGTTAAGTTAATAGTATTAAAATTTGGATTAAAATGTTACATTATTTAAAAGTTTAAGGTATAAATTATATATTTTATTTCATTAGGTTCCAATTTATATATTTCCCAAAATTTAGATTCCAAAAATATAATTTAATTTCTAATGATTAGGAGCCAGCTTTGAATCGGTAGGTAAAAGAGATAAGAATTGGCATTGTTTTTAAATAGCTCTGAAAAGGTAAAATGAAAACATTTTGTATATCCCATATATGACTTTTTTTCAGTATCAATGTTTCTTTTTTGAAATGGGAAAATATTCTGTACTTCTACAACGAATTTCATCCAGAAATGGTATGAACTAATAAAGAAAGAAAGGTGAATCTTTGGTGTTTGGTGCCCGGTTGTAGTCTAAATTGTCTGCACCTTGTGCATATCCATATATGATAAACTTTCCTTTGATGTTAATGGGTGATTTCTATTCAACAATGAATTAATTGGTACTTATATCATGTTGCTGTGGTTCATTAGCTGGATTCAGGCCCAAAAAATGATGGCAATGGAAAACATAACCAAGAAAATCGTTTATAACTGCAAGGTACATTTTCTAAAGTCATAGTTGAGTTGGGAATGATATTGCAATAGTGGTCGTTTCCCCAGACTAGGCCAGGCCTTTTCTTTTGGTCACTTTGCAAATAAGAGTTCTCTGTTTATTGAAGAGTTAAATTCATTTCTGATATTACTATATCAATAATCTTGACACTTCTCTTTTTCCCCTTATAGGTTGTGGCATGCCTTTAATGATTCCAGGAAAAAGTATAACCAGTTAGCTTGTTGTTACAATGCCATGCGTTGGAATAATTCGATGCAAATTAATGTAAAATACAATCAATAAATTCATTGGTGTCTTTTGAAGGAATAAATGGTTAATTCTGACAAAGCAATATTGAAACTGAAAAAGGAACTAAAAGCTGATCATGAATGTGTTTTCCAAGATCAAACGCTTATATTTCATAATGCCAACCAATATACATACAATTATTTTCATAGTAATTCTACATTAAGACTAAAGATTTTGATAACCTCCAAAATCAGGGATTAATCATACAAAGTAACTTAATTATTAGTACTAAAGATAGCTTAGGACAATAATTAACATGATTATAGTAACATACGAGGGAAACAAGTCTATAAATACCCTCCATGTTTCTCCCTTTGCACATCCAAAATCATCTTGTATTTGGTATTTTTTTCAGTCTGTTTTCAGTTCTTCCTTTGTTTTGTTCAACATGACCAAGAATCCTAACATTGGTCGCCAAAAGATCACAATGGCAAAAATAGCCAAGAAGAATAATCTACAAGTAACATTCTCCAAGCGTCGTGCTGGACTTTTTAAGAAGGCTAGTGAACTTTGCACACTTTGTGGGGTTGATGTTGCAATAATTATCTTCTCACCTGCCAAGAAGGTATTTTCCTTCGGACATCCTCGAGTTGAATCTATCATTGATCGCTTTCTCAGTTCCAGAAACCTTCTTTTTCGAAACTCTACTACTAGCCGGCTGGTTGAAGCACATCGAAATGCTAATATCCATGAACTGAACATCCAATTAACTCAGCTTCTTGAACATCTAGAAATTGAAAAAAGGAGGGGAGAAGCAGTTGATAAGATTAGGAAAGCTAGCCAGAAGAATCAATGTTGGTGGCAGGCTCCTATTAATGAACTTGGATTGGATGAGTTAGAACAGCTGAGAATTGCACTTGAAGAGCTGAAGAAGAATGTAGCAAAGCAAGCCAACAAGGCTTTGGTTGAGTCAGCTAATAATCAGTGGCAATTTCTGGCAGTCAATGGCATTGGACGACACGTTAATCCTTTTGAGAACAAATTCAATGAGACCAATCTCCACTGCAGTGTCACTGATCATCAAGCGTATGGCTTTGGTCCTCATAGGCTATATTTTTAACTCTCTCCTTTATCTTTTATTTAGACAGTTACAAGATAGTAACTCAATGGTATTAAATAACTTTGTATTAATTGCAAAATAATGGAAATATAATATAACGAGTTTTTGAAGGAATTAATAATGTTAATTTCATTTATTTGTTTATTATGATGATCAGAAGAAAGCAAGCAAGGGAACTTTAGTTTGTGGGCCTCATACACCATGAATATAGATGATCTTTGCTAGTCTTTTTTCACAAGTTTTTTATTATTACAACATTACAAATTGAACAAGAAACAACCCATTTCGATCACTACAGCATTACAATGTCATAGACTTCTTTTAAAACAACTCTGAATTGTTTTTTTATTGAGAATTGTTATTTATTTGAAAGGGAAAACAATACATATGATCATATATATAAATATGTAGTTTGAAAACAAAATATTAATGAGAATCGTTAATATAGTAATTTTAGGGATATTATTAAAATTGAAGTTGAAAATTTTTTAGTTAATTCCTTATATTTGGGTGATAGGTTAATTCTATTGATAATATATTTCTGACTTACCATTTTTATAAATATTTTAATCCGAGATTTTTTTTTATTTTACAAATTAATTTTTAAAAGCCGCAACTTTACACCCAACCAATAATAATTAAATTACTGACAAGTAATTAATATTTATTTCATTGAAAATTAAAAGAATCTGTATTTTTTTAGAATTTTTTTATGAATCTGTAATTAATACAATTAATTGTCTTTTGGAATTTTTTTCAAAACAAAAACCCAATTAAGCATTGAACATCTTTCCCATAATAAAGCCATCTCCTAACTTGAAATTTCTTTCCCATTGGAAGCCAAAGAAAAGTTAAAAGCATCCGAATTCTCTGAACCCTTTATACAATGGCTACTCTAAAGCAAACCAACAACAAAGAAAACAAAAGCAGCAGCACCACCAAGGCAACGAGAGGCCGCCAGAAGATTCAGATAAAGAAACTTGAAGACGAAAGCAGCCGCCAAGTCACTTTCTCAAAGCGCCGCAATGGTTTGTTCAAGAAAGCCAGTGAGCTTTGCGTTTTGTGTGGTGCAAACATTGGCATCATCGTCTTCTCTCCCAAAGGAAAACCTTTTTGCTTTGGTCACCCCAATGTTGAAACTATAGTGGATCGTTATCTTAGTGGAAACCCTGCTATGCATGACCAGGAGGATGGTTCAGCAACAACCGGCGCTACCCCAAGTTTTGAAGAGTTCAATGAGGAGTGCCGGGAGGCATTGGAGAAGCTACAGGAAGAGAAGAAGCGAACTAAAGAGATTGAAGAAGAGAAAGAAGAGAAGAAAAACAAGGGAGAGTTTTGGTGGGATGAGCCTATTGATGATATGGGGTTAGAGGAACTTGAGGCGTACGTTAAAGCCATGGAGGAGTTGAGGAATAACGTGGCTAAGAGGGCTAATGAATTGATGGGAGATGTTTTCGCTTCGGCTACCGTGGCTAATGCTGATGGTTTGGGGCATCGTTTCGCCGATCAAAATGGTGGTTTTGGCTCTGGTGGTGGTTATGGTGATTTTGGTCTTGGAGGTGATGGTTTTAATTTTGGTCATGGTCCTGGCTTACATTTTGGAGGTGGGGGACAATTTTGAAATGGCGATGATTTTTTTTTTCCATTTGGACATGATTTTATTTTTGTTTTAAGCATTGAAGGTAGGATATGCTTATATAGCTTTGATATGATCTATTGGTCTCCAATGAGCAATTTTTTTTTTTGTATATGGCTTTACATTTTGTTTGGATTAAAGTTATCAGAAGATTCATGCATGCATGTAGGGAATAAATGGATTTAATCGAACCATTTCAATAATTACAGCTGATAAAGAATGTATAATTGTTTGATCGATCCCTTTAGTAGAATTAGGTTGAGATTAAAATTGCATGATATAGCATATTATAGTAACGAAAAATTTGTGCCAACTACATAGTCATTCATTTTGATTATCTTCTTTCTTTTTTTAAATAGTATTTTGATTATATTTGATAAAATATTAAACTTTTAATTTTAATGATTAAAATTTTATACTTGACAATCTTTATTATATTTAATACTTGATAATTTTAAATAAAAATTGATGTATTTTTATTAAAATTTAGAAGTGACTCGTCCAACTTTTTTAAGAAATAAATAAGATTAAAGTTTAATTTCTACCACTTACAATAATTTCCTTTTTCTTTTACTTAAAACTTCGCTGCTTCGACCTCTGTTGTACTCAAATTTTTTTTTAAATTATTACATCTTTATATAATTGGAGCTGCTTAACTGAAATGTATTTCATTTTTATTTCGAATTAAATTGGTCTTACTTTAGTTTAATTTGTTTTTAATTATCTTGTCGTAAATCAAGCATAAAGTTGGGAGATCGACAGATCGAAAATCAAGAGGTAGTGAGTGTTGGTTTGCAGATTGTTATAGTTTTAAGAGAAAATTTTGGCACTATAAATGTAAGATCAAGATCATAAAGTTGACCTTTAAAAAAGCCGTAAAGTTGACAATTAACAATCGTATATTTTAGAGAATCTTAAGAGAAATTCTGCATTGAAACAAAGTTCCTATTGGTATTTCTAAACAATTTGTTTGCCGCACAAAGTATGGTTTTTTTTTTAAATGCCACAATATCAAGATAAAAAAATTTGATATTTGAATTTAAAAAATAATGAAAGTTTTTTAAATAATTATATAAATCAATTAAATTAAATTTTAAATTTGACACAAAAAAATTCAATTTTACTTTTATTAAATAATATTAATAACTTATTTTTTTTTTACGTGAATAATGATAGCCATTGTTATAATCAAGCCTAAGGCCCAAATGTTTAAGGCTCCAGCAAACCCATCCATAGGAAACGTGTGGCACGAGCAACATGTTTCAGCTGTCCCAGAAGTAATAATGTTTGTTATAATCAGCCTAAGGCCCAAACCTTTAAGGTCCCAGAACCCACCCATCGGCTCCATACATTACTTATTTTTAATTTGTATGAAAATAAATTATTATCATTTAATTTATTTTTAACATAGATTAATATTTTAATTGAAATAAAAATTTAGTTGAATACAAATCGAAAATAAAAACTCATTTGTATATAGTAAAAATATAAAAATTTATTAAAAATAATTTTAATATTTTAATCAAAATATCTCTTTAGAGGCAATTGAGATGAGTGGGAATGTGGGACCTCATCATATGTGGCTGGTTTCCGTCAGAATGATGACCCACTGCTCCAAACGTCCATTCAATGTTCTCAGTGGTCACAGCTGTGAGCCAGTCGAGTTGAGACTGCCCGACAGCCCACATCGCACCTCCCACACTAAAAAATTGATGATCAAACGACCAAACGTTTAAATTTTTTTTAAAAAAAAATCCCTACGTGGGGAAACTGAAAGACAGAAAAAGATACAGAAGATTAGCATAGTTTTTGAGCATTGATGCTCCTCGCTGGCATCTTGTTGTTGTACGTGCGCTTCTTGTACGTGCCAGCTCATGTTTTTGTAATCAACTCCGTGCATGCCCAACCAGAAATTATATTCTGTGGCTGATTCTAGTTTGAGGTTTTTTTTTTTTTTTTTAATTTGATCTTCGAAGCCATCTTAAACCATTAAAATTATTTAGATGAAATTTCACTGTCACAATTTTATTTATGTTGTTATATTCTCTTTAATTACATTAATTAATTCTATTTGAATTCTTTTATCTTCATTTGAATGCAGGAAACTTTAATTATTGAGGAAAAAAGTGAATGTTTTCTTCATTATTAATTAGAGGTAATAGTATCTTTTATAAAGGAGATTAAAACTTGAAAATAAAAAATATATATATTGTAAATCTTTAAATTTAAATTATATATTTGTTGGATTTAAATTTTTAGTGATGAATGTATAAATTAATTAAATTAAAATTTAGATTTTGTAATAATCCCTTATTTTCGAAGAAATCTTGAGCTTCTTGATTTAATATCTTGAAATTTTGCATTTGATGGCAACAAATGCTGTCATAATTTATGAATGGCAAAAAAATGTTTGATTAATATACTAAAACATATGTTCAAATGTCAAAACCAACCAATTTAGAAGAAAAAAAATTAAATACAGTAATTCTATTTTCAATTTGCCAGTCCATAAATTAAGATGATTATGTTTATATTACCATTTATATAGTTTCAGCTTTCTTTATAACTAAGCAAAGGTTGGATAGCTGTTCACAGAAAAATATTGAGGTGTCAATTAAGAATTTTCTTCTTATATGTCACATTTGTTTGTAAAAAATAAATGAGAAACAAAAATAATGGGCTGGCGAAATAAATGTAACTTTAAATATTGAATCTAAGTATTTGATTTCAACGTGTGAGCGTGACTTAAGTTTGACCGCACCATATTCTTCTCTCTTGTCTGCAGCAACCCAGCTATATTACAGCCAGTTTTTCCGTCTCTCTCAACTTTCCTTTGCTTGTAGATATCTCTTCCTCTACGTTTGGTCGGCAAACTCTTTATTTTGAAAGCCCCAATACCTCAACACCGAGTAATTCACAAGCTACAGCAGCAGCAACAAGAAGAGAAAAAACTCAACCCCCCAACCAATATCTGAAACAAGAACTTAATGGATCCGTGCCCTTTTGTACGGATCCTGGTGGGTAATTTGGCCCTGAAATTCCCAGTATCAACAAAGCCCTCACTTTCAAGAATCCACCGTTTTACTTCTTCATGTTATTGCAAGATTAAACTCAAGAACTTCCCTCATCAAGTGGCTGCAATCCCTTTTATCCAATCACAACAAGACAGAAACGGTATAAACCCAGACAGCAACAACTCTTTTCATAAATCGCCCGCTGCTTGTTTCAGTTTAAGCAAGTCCCAGATCGATAGAATCATCTCGAGAGGAGGTTCATCATATAAACTTTCTATCGAAGTTTACGCTGACCCTGATGGCAGTACTTGTGGATTAAAATCTGGGAAGTTATTGGGGAAGGTTTCATTGCCGTTGGATCTTCGTGGAGCGGAATCAAGGCCGTCTGTTGTTCATAATGGATGGATAGCTATAGGCCGAAATAGAAGCAACAAGAATGGATCATCTGCACAGTTGTGTTTAACTGTCAGGACTGAACCTGATCCGAGATTTGTATTCCAGTTCGGTGGGGAGCCTGAGTGTAGTCCTCAGGTTTTGCAGGTTCAAGGGAGTGTTAAACAGGCAGTTTTCACTTGCAAGTTTGGTTTCAGGAATTCGAGCGATCGGAACTTGGGATCAAGGTTAGTTTTTTCCTCACGATCTCTGTTAATTTCATTTATGTTTGGCTGATTAGTGAGATTTAGGGGAAAACAGGAATTAACACTGTTTTCAAAATCGTTTTCGTTTCTAGGAAACAGAAAACGTGACTAGTAGACGTTTCTCATTCTTCCAAAGTGAATTTTTTACTATATAAAGTTCGAAAGATCTTCTTTTACATTATGAACTAAACAAATTAAGTATTTTAAGTAGTAGTAAAAGCTTTGACTTTGCTGTTTAATTTATTGCTGTCAAAAGTGTTTCTGAAATTTTTTATTTGTTATATAATTGTGCAGATCATCTTTGCCAGAATCAAACACTTCAAGAAATTGGTTACCTTCTCTGAAAACAGATAAAGACCAATCCTCCAAAGAACGAAAAGGATGGTCAATTACAGTCCACGACCTCTCAGGCTCTCCCGTAGCAATGGCATCAATGGTGACCCCATTTGTCCCATCCCCTGGCTCGGACAGGGTCAGCCGGTCCAATCCAGGAGCTTGGCTAATTCTCCGTCCAGGATATGGAACCTGGAAACCATGGGGCCGTCTTGAGGCCTGGCGTGAGCCTGGTTTCATTGACGCCCTTGGATACCGATTTGATCTCTTCGACGACGATATCGCCACCACAGGCACAACCGCCGCTGTCGCCAGTTCCACCATCAGCACCAAACTTGGCGGGAAATTCACCATGGATATGACAACTAACAACATATCAACCCCATCAACAAGCCGGCAAAGCAGCTGTGACTTCGGGTCAAGCTCACGTTCAGGGTCACGACCAGGATCTGGATCAGGGTCAGATTTCGGGTTTGGGCTATCCCTTTCCCCCAAGAGTTTGTATAGGGGTGGGTTCGTAATGTCATCGACGGTGGAAGGTGTGGGGAAATGCAGTAAACCGGAAGTGGAAGTAGGGGTACAGCATGTGACATGCACGGAGGATGCAGCAGCTTTTGTGGCATTGGCTGCGGCTATGGATCTAAGCATGGATGCCTGTCGGTCCTTCTCTCAAAAGCTAAGGAAAGAGTTGAGGCAGCAAACTCAGAACTTTGTCGTTTAATGTGGTGGGGTTTTGTCGTTTTAGGTTGTTCGGTGATCAACTGATTTGATGAGTTGGATAGGTGTTTTTGGATTGGGATTCTTTCGGCAGATAACTACCAGCAGTTTTTGAGCTGGATGTAAACGATTACTTTGTACAGTGCGAAATGACAAGGCAGGATTCTTTTTTCTTTTAAATTTCCTTGTGATTGGTAAATTTATTCATTGTTTAATTCATTTTTTGTACTTTATATTTGTTGTTTATATATGTGTGTGTGCTTTCTTTCGTCTGAGAATCCTATGTTGGAAATGTGGAAGGGTTGAATTGAAGTAAATCCATTTTTCAAGATGCAGAGATTCATGTTCATGATAGAATTGGTATGGATAAGGACAATAAGGAAGGGTTATCAAGTGTTATGCACTATTACTTTTTTTTTATTGGATTTTATATGCATTAATAGTTGAAGTTGGATATGAACAGGGCCTTTCTATTTCAAAGGGAGAAATTTCCTTTCATAATAATAATAATAATAATAATGTTGAAGCAGATTGGCAAGCCATAGATTAACATCAATGTTTTAAATATGTTCTTGTTCTTTTTCCTCCAAAGCTCCTTCAATCTAATAATGCAACATTTATTAGTTAGGTACCATTTGTTAGTCATGTTTAGCAACTTTTGTTGCAAGAACTTGAAAATTTTGTTTCCTGCAAGTACAAGCAAGGGAACCAAATGTTCATGAATTTCATTAAAACTGAAGTTTTCAGATTTATGAATGTTGATAATAAATATAAGATAAGGCAAACAGTTGAAACAGACATTTGTCTTCATCAAGTTTATTTGGGGCTTTTACTGGGTGAAACATTTGTTTGATGTGGTTATTGGATAAGATATTGCAGAGCACCCAACTGCAGTAAACAAATACTTTGTTGAACTCTTTCCTTGAGTTCAGTGAAAGCCAAAGGCTTTTGATCAAAGTAAAAGAATTATATGAAAAACATCTACTTTTCAGTTTTGATTTGAACTCATTTACAGGTTGAGTCAAAAAATCAAATTTGAACAAATTTAAACTTGATTGCTATGAAACATGAATTTTGTATGATACATCTTTGAAATTGAATTTTGTATCTTATACTGTAATAAAAATTAGACCTACTACAACAATTGACCTGTAAGATTTTGGTGAAGATTATCTCAGGTTAAATCTGCTGCCAAAACCAAGTAGATATTGGATTTGTAGCCACAATGAAATGCAGAAATAGGATAATTTTAATTCACATGGCATGACGTCAGGATGGCCGAGTGGTCTAAGGCGCCAGACTCAAGTTCTGGTTTTCGTGAGAAGGCGTGGTTTCAAATCCTACTTCTGACATAAAAGTTACTTTTGCTTGCATTTTTTCCCAGTTCCCGCTAGCAGCAGAGCAAAGTCAGCAGCAAAAAGGATTTTGTTTCCTTGTATATGCCAAGAATTTAGTCGGGGGTCAAAACAAAGTTATTTCAGCAGTCCATGTTCATGTTATACAATCTACAACTACAGTCAATGAATCCATTAAAACTACAAGAAAAACTGACATTTCAGAAATTGGATTGTTTTTGGCTACATTGCATTCAAAGACATCAAAAGACGTTTGTCAATTCTCAGCATTCATAATATTCTTCCATAAAGGAGGCCTCCAACATTCATAAACTGACTAGTTTTGGTCATGCATTAAGCCATGCCAGAAATTGGAAGTAGAAAATTAAAAAAATATTGACATACAGGAAGTTGCCATAAATTATACAGCTTGCATCCACTGAAAACATCAACTAGCCTACAATTTGCCTTCAAAGTTGAAACCGTATCCTCTAAACAAAGTTTGATATTTTAATAAAGTAAAACACTCTAAAAACCAGTACCTGTCTATGTATCAAAATAGAGTGCAAAGATAGCAACTTTAGAGCACTCATGAAAACGGGACAGCCATTAATCAGATTTTTCATTCAGCTGCAGCTTCTTCGTTGTTGCTCCCTTCAGTTTTAATATCTGGCAATGTACTCAGATCCACACGAGCATCTTTCTCTTCTTGGGGGAGGTTATTGTCAGAAGAATCAATGGGATCATGCTGACCTCCATCCCAGTTTTCATCTGTTCCACCTGATTCATTGTTACCTTCAGATTTCTCATTCTGAGTTGAATCAGTAATCTCCTTAGTCATGGAAGACCCAAAACTGTCCCCTCTAGCTGTTGTATTTATCTTGGTGATATCCTCAGACATACCAGACTCTGCATCAGTAAAAGAATTCAAGGAATCTCTTGTGGCTGAATCTACATTTTCAATTTTACTCGAATCTACTGTATTGGAATCAGGCTGCTTGTTATTAGAAATCGCCTCATTGGCTTGCTCTTTATATTTTTCTTCAGTTACCAGACCATCTTCTGTTGTATGTTGAGCTGAAGTTCCATTCTGCAGTGAACCTGGTATTTCTGTATTCAATACTGCAGGATTATTGCCTGTTTCGTTACTCACTTCCATAGAGTTATTGCTTGCTTGGTCAATGAAGACAGTTGTGTTTGTCGTATTTGGAAGAGATATATACTCAGAGTTGGATGATCCAGTCTCATTCAAGGAACCACCACCTTCAGAGAGTTTACTTTCATCAACCTTCAATTCTGGCTTGTTTTCATCACCATTAGTTTCCTCAGTTGTATTGGCTTTGCTCTCATGCTCCAAAACATTCATTGTCGAGTTGTCATTAGAATTTTCCATATCTAATTTATTGGCTTCAGAGTTAATAATTTGGGTGTCATGGGTGTCATGGGACACTGCACTGGAAGCATCATCAGCTTTGTAATGCTCCTCTCTCGCCTCTTGTGCATTCCTGCCGCCTCCATCATGATTCTGTTCATCTGATAAATTGTCACTTTCTTCTTGACCCTCTTTTTCTTCATTTTCTTTTTCCTCATTTTCTTTATCATCACCCTCCGCTTCTCTCTCCTTCTCCTCATCTAGAAATTCTTCTTCATGATCAGCTTCACCATCTACTTTTTCTTGCTCGTTTTCATCGACCTCATCATCTCCATCTCCTCTTCCCTCATCTTCTGCTTCTTCATCCTTAATTTCAGCTTCTTGTTCTTCATCATCATGCTTGCTGCCTTCATCTTCCCGCACTTCTTCTTGCTCTTCTTCTTGCTCCTCTTCTTCATGTTTGCTTGCTTCTTCCTGCCCCTCTTCTTCATGTTTGCTAGCTCCTTCTTGCTTCTCTTCTTCATGCCTCTTAGCTTTCTCTTCCTGTTCTTCATCATGCTTATTTTCATCCCCTGCTCCATTTTCTTCTTCCTCTTCTTCCTCATGTTTGTAGTTCTTAGATACTTCCTGCTCATGAGGAAGGTCTTTCCTCCCAAGTTTTAGAATCACATCATCACTTTGTGCTTTCACAGAGGCATTAGCATCATTCTCATCAAATTCTTTTCTCTTATCATGGGAGCGCTTGACTTGGTAGATCAACCAGAAGCAGACCCCAAGTAGCAGACAAATCTGAAGGACATGCCTTGCCTTGATACCTTTGGATCTTTGGTTTCTACTAGGTGACTTCTTGAACATGATTGAAATCCAAAGATCCCCCCTACTCTGATTCCTTTCTCTCTTTATAAATATCAAGTAGCTGTCTTGAATCCTGCCTAGGATGAAACATATAATACTGAATGATTAAAAGAGACTAATCAACCATTTAAAACATAAAATTGCATACCTGAAGAATAATCATAATTCAAAATTACTCTTTTTCTCAAAAAGAAAAAAAAAAATTTTTCATCCATGCCCCAGTGACCAAAATCATAATCTGAATGCTAAATGACAAAGAATCCAAAACATCAGCAATGTTATTAAGATAACCAATTCAGAAGTAAGTCTAAACTTTCAAAAACTAAAATCAAGAAGGATGAAAAAAATATGGACTTTAAGACCACAATACCACAACCAGTTGAATTCAAAATGCTCCACTTTATTTTGGCAAAATATAAAGGAAAAGTGTACTTGTTCTTGAGTTACTTGTGAAATTAGGAGTCAAAACAAGTGAGGTCAAACAAACAAACAAACAAAAGATAACATGTTCGATTTCAGATTCGAAGATGATTTCCTGAGGGGGAATTGTCCATTTCAAGAAAAAAAATGTGAAAAATTCAAAAGAAGGCAAACTTTCCAAATTGTTTTCAGTCATCTTTTGGAAACCTATCACATTAGCCTCTTTCTTATATAATTGAAACCACCTATTTTCTAAGCTCACTATTAACCACCCATTAGTGGCATAAACACACAAAACATTGGAATGGGGGGGGGGGGGGGGGATGGGGAGGAGGATATTAGAAAATTGTGCTTTTAACATTTCTGTTGATACTTCCTGAATCCTTCAAAAGAGAAGGAAGAAACAGAAATAGAAAACAGAAACAATTAGAAAATCCTAGCTCTGCTAAAACCAGCCATACATGTTCTCAACTATCTCTCCTTCTGCTTGTCTAATATTTTCAATATCATTAACAAATAGGTTTTCATGTCATTTCATAGTTTTTGAGTGACCAAACTGTTATAGAATCAAGTCATCCCATTTGACAATCAAAGAATCCAACTAATCCAGATTCTATTAGGTTCCCTCTTGTCTTAATCTTGGCACCATGCATGACATTGACCGAATAAAGACCAATTCCCATAAAATAAAAGGGGAAAGAATATAAAACTCTCTTAATTTCTCATATAATAAGACAATGTTTTAGAATATAAAAGAAGCTCAGACATGGATAAATAGCTTGGTTACCTAAAAAAAATCGGGGGAAATAACAGTTCCTCATCAAATGAAGAAAACCCCTTTCTTTCTCATTAAAAAACACGAAATTAAACCACACCCCCCCGTATAAAGAATGTGCAAAAGTTCAAATCCCTATCCCAAGCTATTAAAAAAATTTACTAAAAAGACGACACATTTGCTCAAATGAAAGGAAACCACGAAGAGGAAAATCCATGGAAGCCCTAACTAAAAAGGAAAATAACACAATGAAACAATACCCATCAAGCTTGAATGAAAAATCTCAAAATTTGAGATTTACAAACAAAACCCATTTGCCCAAAACAGCAGGAAACATAAAACAAAGAAAGAAAAGATAAAAATACATGCTGTAGCTACAAATAAAGAAGTTGCTTAAGATGAACAAACTACAAGGTTCAAACAAAACCTAACAAACTAAGCCTAGAATGAAAGAAGGTTGATAAAGCAAAGAAATACCCGGAGAAAAAGAGAATCAGACAAAAGATAAAGCAGCAGTTGAAGTTGTCAAGAAGAGAGAGAGATGGTAAAGAAAGTCTTCAGTGTTCAGTGCCTTCTCACGGATCCAATACAAAAGCAACAATGGCCTCTACCATACCCCCATTCTAGGCCACCAGATTTACCTTTTGGTCCCTCACCCAAAAATGATTTTATTTTTTCCAATTTTAGGTGTTAAATTGATCATTAAATGGTGAAAACTTATTGCTCATATCGATTTTTTTTTTTAAGACAAAAACGTTATTTTATGTCTTAATTTTTTTGGAAAATATCTGATGTCTTTAATTGTTTATTCATTGTGGTCTTGTTTTATTTTATTTTAATTTATTTTGTTATGTTGGGTATTACTATTAATTCTTCTCTTAAGAATGATCTTCGATTATCTAACTTTTATATTATTAAAAAAAATTTTTAATAAAGAAGGCTATTAGAAAAAAATTAAATTACAAAAATTAAGATTTAATTTTAAATTCGTTATATATTATTTTTTAAAATAATTATATAAATTAATTAATTTTAATTTTAATTTAATTTACATTTGAAATTCAAAAACTGAATATAAGCATGGTGGCTGTAATTTGTGAAACTAATAGCATTGGATACCCAAGTTACTGTGGATGTTGAATTGTTGTCTAATAAATATCTTTAATTACATAATAAAATTTTCAAATTTAATAAATTTTCATTTTGAGAAAATAAAATCACTCAACTATATAAAATTAAGGTGAAACAAATTTTTAATTATATTAAATATTTTTTTTACTCAATTGTGAAATATATATTTTTTGAAAGACAAAAATATTCAATTTTTTAAAAATAAAAAATTAGACATTAATCAATTAAATCAAATATTGAGATACCATTTAAATTATTGAGTTACATGAGTGAGATGATTATATGATTGGGTTTATGATTTCGTGTAAAATGAAGCTAAAAAATCCTTATCAAGTCACCTAAAGTTAAGTTTTATAACCAAAAAAAAAAAAAAATCTCTAAAGTGGAGAGCAATCAAGTAACTAAAAAACTTATTCTTCACCACCTAAAATGTGGTCATCTGACCATACATTAAAAGTTTTGGATTAAAGTCAGCCTGAAAATTCATCTTTCTTTTCAACTTGAGTTCTTCTTGGCCAACTCTTTGGATGTTATACATTACCAAATTCGGCATCATCATCATCATTTTACAGGAGGGGAAACAGCTTTGAATATTTTGATAAAATCAGAGTTTTGGTAAGATTTGGAACATGTTTATAAGAGACCCACATCGACAGACATCGACATGGTACATGTTTTTTTTTAATGTTAAAACAAGTGATTATTTAAGATTATAAAACTAGAAATTTTATTATTTTTTGGGCCTTTATGTCCCACGGGACAGGACCATAGGTCCACCATCACAACATTTACTAATTTATTTAACTTTGTTTGTACATATTAATGAAGGGCCAAAGGCCTACCATAAACAGGCAAACAGCTGTCTCATTGGATCTGAAATGTTCCATTTTGAAACTCCAAAAAAAAAAAAAAGAGCAAATTTTATAAGTATCACCATCAAGATTCATGTTCAAGCCTTTATCTCATGGGCCACATAATGGACTGAACTTGTCCCATGTAGTATCAGTTTCCTTCTGCTATGATCCCCATCTTATTCAGGCCATTGCTTTTAAGAATGCGGTAAGATTTTTTTTTTAAAAAAAAAAAAAGAAGAAAACAAGAGCAATCCATCGTCATAGATGGATATGTGGTTTTCAACTGCCATGGGAAATAAAATAGAGCCTAACCATCTTTGAGACATCTATCCATGCATTCTCTTTATATATATAACTCTGCCTGTGAAAGTGTTTGGAGTAATTGATTTGTTTAAACCGGTCATTATTTGAAGTTGGATTTAAGGAACGGTTAGCCAACAAATAAAGAATTTTAAACTCATGATGCTGAATGTTTTCATGGACAAAGATCAGCTGATAAAAAACTTAATGGATTAATCAGATTGCAGTAATACTAATGATTTTCTAATGTTTTGCTTTGAAGATAATCCACAGTCATCTAATCCAACAACCAAAATCACTGCCAGCTATGGCCTAACAAACCACACATACCCCAACACGAGGAGGTAAGGAATAAACTCAAAAGTCTTATGAGATGCACAAAAGGTAGCTTGAAAGACCAAGTTATTCTAAATGGAAAAACACAGGACAAAGAAAACCAAAACTCTTGTCAGTTTCTTTACTTTCGCAAACTTTCTGCTAACCAAACAGATAAAAAGGTTCTTGTCTAGAAAGCCTTAGGGTATTCCCAAAGCTTGGAATATAGTGCCTTACAAATATTAATTATATATAGTCTTTTTACTTTTTGAAGAAAACTTTATTTTGATGCCCCTGATCTAAAATAAAATGTTTACTCACATATGCTAGAACTCTTATGGGATTTTATTAAGTTACAGTTTAAACATTTATTGGATTTTCAATCCTCAATCACCTAAACAAGACCTTTAAATTCAATTAGCAAATGCTCTTGTTTTTTAGGCGGCGAGGGGTTGCTGGCTTTGCCAAATACATCTTTGTTCGGGCTGGTCCAAGCCTAAGAGAAGGATGAGCTTGTTATGCAAGTACTTTATTGAATACTTGTCAGCACTTTCTAATAGAAATTCAAACACCAACAGCTAGAAAAATGGTAAGCCTAGCAAGCCCCTTAAGAACTCATATTGACACATTCTAACAGCCTAATATTCCTCTTTGCTTCTTCCTAAAGATATTCTTGCTTAGACAAAGCATTGCCTTCCTGTTTATATTTTCACTGTAATCCCATGTAATGCCTATATATATATATCCTGCAGCAACCTGTCATCCCATATTGTCATGACTAATAGAGCCATGACTCATTGTTTCAAACACATGAGAGCCTTAATCATCAGTCTTCTTTACTTGAATCTTCTTCGAATTTCAGTAGCTTCGGTTGTTTCCACCGGAAATTTCAACAATGACTTCTTTGTGATGTGGGCTCCTAGTCACGTCAACACTTCAACTGATGGCAGAGAAAGAAGCTTGAAACTTGATCAAGAATCTGGTATGATGGAAAAGGAAAAAGGAAACTTCTGATTTTTCCTTTTTTTTTAAGTATTCATATTTCTTATTAGTTTTAATTGATACAGGGTCCGGTTTTACATCAACCCAGATGTTCTTGTTTGGTCAAATAGACATGCAAATTAAACTAGTACCTGGCAATTCAGCAGGAACAGTGTTGGCCTACTATGTAACCAACATTTAACTCTTTGTTTCTTCCATTTCAGTGTTTCTGATCCTTTGTCTAATTCGATTAACCAAATAGCTTTGACATTGCAGTTGACATCAGATCAGCCTAATCGAGATGAGATAGATTTTGAGTTTCTTGGCAATGTTAGTGGCCCGCCATATATCGTGCAAACAAATATTTATGCTGATGGTTTAGACAACCGAGAAGAGAGGATCTATTTATGGTTTGATCCAACAGAGGATTTCCATACATATTCTGTACTATGGAACCTTCACCAAATTGTGTAAGTTACCCTTTAGAATACTATCATTTTTGGTCTTTTGTTCATCACTATTCATCTAGATGGTATGATTTTCTTCTTTTTCAGGTTTATGGTAGATTCAATTCCTATTAGATTATATAGAAACAATGCAGACAAGGGAGTGGCATACCCAAGGTGGCAGCCAATGAGCATCAAAATTAGCCTATGGAATGGGGACAGCTGGGTGACACGTGGCGGTCAGGATAAAATTGATTGGTCTAAGGGTCCCTTCATAGCTTCATTCAGTGATTACAAGATTGATGCCTGTGTATGGAATGGGAATCCAAGATTTTGTAGGGCAGATAGCTCAGCCAATTGGTGGAACAGACGCAGATTTAGAACTCTAACAAGGGTCCAGAAGAGATGGTTCAAATGGGTTAGGAAGTACCACATGGTTTATGACTACTGCCAAGATTATCGGAGATTCCAATACAATCTTCCCAAGGAATGCTCCCTTCCCAAGTATTCTTAATACAAACAGTACATCATTTTTACATCGTTTCAGCATAGGCTTTGTTTTGTTTTTCTTTTAAAATTCTTCTGATTATGAATTAAGTATTATAGATAGAACCCTTTCCATTCCAATTAATTCCAAGCTTCATTGGCTAACGGTATGTCAATCCTTACAAGTAAAGCAATATATATCCACTGCGCTTTCAAATGCATCATTAGTCTCTGTCAGGAAAATTTAGATAATAATTTTGACATTTTGATCCAAATGTTTATGTATGCAATGGAAACTTATTTGGCTATTTTCATGGCAATGGGTGGAGAAGGGCTCAGATTGTTGAATAAATTGGCCAAGGTTCAAACTTAGATTCCCTATAGATGTAGAGAAATTATATAAATGGTGAAATATCAATGATCTTAATCCAACAATCACCACCCAACAGCTTGTAACTTTGTATGCATGATCTAATCTCTTTTTTAACTCAAAAATATAAAAAGAAGCAACAATTTGTTAAGCTATTAACGTAAAAGTTCATTTTTTAATATTTCGTGTAATTTTTAACTTCACAAACGAAATTAAAAGATTAATATAAGCCTCACTAACACCTCTAATGACAATTAATGAAATAATTTCTCTAAATCTAATTAAATTATTTTACATTTTCTTAACAAAAATTCAAGCCCATAAATAAGGGCGAGGTAAGAAACTTGGGCTTATATGCTCTACCCAGAAAGCAAACACTTGGGCCTTTTAGCCTTTTCCAAAGCCTATCAACAACCGACAGGATATTTTTTTACTCAATTTCCAAAGCCCTATTCCCTTCCCATAAACCTCGGCAGTCGGCAGCGGTTGTCCCCCAACTAAAGAGAGATGGGAAGCACAAGCAAAGATCTCCTACGGTTTGAGCACAAGACTTCCTCTACTTCACCCTTAGGTACTGTGCTTTCTTTCTTGTTTTGTCCAAATGTAAATTTCTACTCACTTTGTTGTCTTAGCCATTGAAATTTCATCATCTGACTGTGTTTTTGTGTTTGGGGGGTTGCAAACTGTACAACAGAATCTGCGCTGCTTGTTTGTAACAAAAAGGACTCATTATCTGAAAGCCATAAATCTAATCCTACCAAGAAACCCAACATCACTTCTATGCCTAAAAGCCAAGGTAAACTATTTTCCATCTTTTTTTTTTTGTTAGAAGTACTTATCTGGAAATATCTGGGTTTTATGGATTGTTGAGAACTAGTATTTTTGCTTAATTTTGTAAAAATCTGAAACTGATGTTATGTAATCTTGGCGGAATTGGATACTGATCATTGTTTGAGCCTTGAGGTTCTTGAGGAGTATAAAAACTACAAATTGTTAGTATTCTGTTTTTGGCATTTTGTTTATGATACATAATTGGCAATTTCTGAAACTATAAGAGGTTCAACATCTCTAGAGGAAAATGTTTCTTGGGTATTAGTAGCTGTTGTTGAGTGCTTCTGAATATTGCAGTTTTGGGAAAAGTGAAAGATTTCTTGGGAGTCATGTCAGAAGCTAATAAAAGGCTGGAGCTTGATGCAAAGGTTTGTTTAGAATTTCTGTCAAATTTTGGACATCAGTAAATGCTCTTTTAATTTCTAACTTATCTTTTTATTTATCAAAATGTAGAATAATTCTCAAGCATATGATATTGAAGTACTCAATGGAAATCACTCTGAAGTCATTGAAATGGTAACATTATAATTGGCACTCTCTCGCATTGTGCAAATCATGTGGTCTTTGAGTTTGTTGTAATTTTTTGTTGCATTTTGTACAACAGGATTTGATGTTGGGTGTAGCTGATCTTCACACCCCAGAGGCTCTAGCTGCTGCTGAATCTGCAATTGCTGGTAATCAGCCAGCGATTATGTTAGCTGGTAGTAGTAGTAGTGGAACAGAATCAGATGATAGCATTGATGATACTAATCATAATGAGGAAAGGGATAATGATGATACTGGTGATAACGAAACATCCTCTCGTAGGAAACTTGAAAAATCCGACACAGGCAAAGACTGCAATGTTAATGAAGTAGCAAGAAAGAATCAATCAAAAAAGAGGTCAAGGATAGTCGAGCTCTCTTGAAAACAATGTTTTGGTTGAAAGAAGTCGATCAAGAAGTCATGTAGAAACTGTTGGGGAATGATCTATTTGAAATTGAAGTTTCCTTGAATTTTAGTTTTGTGTTAAACTTAAAATGAAGTATTGAGATGAAAGTTATAACTGAGTTGCTAATGTTGATCATTCATTCATGCAGTATATATTGAGTTGATTATGCACTTGTACTGCAACCGTTTGCACATTCAAATTGCTCAAGGGCAGCCAACTCATAGATTTGAGAATGCAGATATCTAACAAGGAAAGCGGACGTTGAGAAATTGGATAAACTAAACACTGGATATAGTTCTACCAAAATGGTAAATGATAAAAGTGGGATCATTCATATGATATGCCGTAGAGAATAAAGCGAACTGACTGATCGGTCGAGATTTCCGGTCATCCCTTCGGATTTAAAAACATGGGTCGCCGACATTGATTGACCAAAGTCATGGCTAACTCCAGTTAATTAAGCAAAGTATCATATTCCTTTTATTGCTAAACGTTGATACATAAGTTTTTGTTTAAAAACATACATACTAATTTTATTATAGGAATAAACATGCAAAAGCTCTCATATATAGTAGTATAACTTTCATTAGAGATTAATTTTGGAGAGCTAGAATCTCCAAATCAGCAAGGACGCTGATTGACATGGTTGACTGGGGATAGAAAAAAAATTATAAATATTAAGAGTTTAATTATAAATTTATTAGATATTACTTAACGATAATTATATGAACTAATTTAATTAAATTCTGAATTTTATTTACAAATTGCTATTGCATGTATCTTGCTGTTTATGGAAGCAGCCTAATTGCGAATTATTTTCCTCTTTTGTATAGTTATTTTTTTAATAATAATAATAAAAAAAGTAAAATTCCTTATTTTTGTGGTCGTATATTCCCTTTTGAAAATGATATTCTCTTACTTGGCCTAATTAATTTTCATAGTTGATTTTTTTTTTTTTTATTTCTTACGATGAGAATGGCATATGATGCCATTCCTTTCGATTTCCATATGAAAACGTCCCTTGAAAGATACCACTCAACTTTGGACAAATTCTCCTTGAACGACTTATAAGTCGCCTTGTTTTATTACTCGCATATAATCATTAATTAGGCAAATCACATTTTTTAAGTTGATCTTCTATTCAGCATAACAAAAATCGATTTTTTTTTTTATAAATGAAATTATCAAAAATTAAAATTTATAGATTAAAATAAAAAATTTAAAACTCATCTGCAAGCTACATATCTATTGGCCCCAACAAAAATCGATTGCGCTTGGTTGGTTTAACTTATTTAACTGATTTGTTTTTCCCAAAAATTTAAAGGAAAAGAAGGAAGATATTTTTACCTTTGTATGAAAAACATGTTGCCGTCTAGTTTGGGAACATAATCTAAGCACGCAAAAAGTGAAGTGGTGGAAAAAATAGAGCCCTGCATCAAGACTCTCGAAAGGTTAGTGCTAGTTACGATTAGTTGTCCAATTCGTATCCGTTAGGTTATGACTCAATAAGTTTTATAAGGTTTTTTTGTTTAAATTAAGTTTCAGATCAGATTAAATTTTAAATAAAAAAAATTAAATTTTAGACAAATCTATTCTGATTCGATCCAAAATATATATAAATTTTTTTAATTTAATTATATATATTTTATATTTATATTAAAAATAAAATTTTATTAATTTTAGATCAAGTTTACAATTTTATACAATGTTGAATCAAATATAAAAAAATCAGGTGGAATAAATTTAAAAAATTAAAAATATAAAATTAGATCCACGAGAAAAATCTTGCTCCAACCCGTTGCAATTGCTAGTACCGGTGAGTTTCGATGACTTTTCCTGCAGGGCAACACTGGGAAGCTTTGGTGTGCCATTTTCCCTCTCTACTGATTTTCATGATCCTTCAAATTTCTGCAAATACGTTGTTAGAAGTGTCCACATCTCAGCAAATTCATGATCATGATCATGATCGTGATCTTCCAGTTAAGGGTTTTTGGCTAAAACGAAAAGATCGCTGGTCTTCCTCATGGCTTTTGTTAAAACCAAACGATCGTTAGTCTTCCTATCGGCTTATGTCTGCTCCAAATAAAATTAAGCGCTGAATATTCTTTCTCTGTCATTTTCATAAGAAAAATGTCATTCTTATCATTTGTTTTATTATCCATTGCAACAACCAAAAAGAAAAATCTACAATTTGACAAAGAGAAACCTTTGCTGCCGGGGGAAAATCCTGTAATCTGAACCTGACAGACTCGATTATGCAGTTCCCTAACATCTCTAGCAACATCTAACTTGTGAATTGCGTTCATAATTTGATTCTTTTTTTGTTCTAGCAAACTTAAACTGTAAAGAAATTTATGTATATTACATAAAAAAAATGAAAAAGGAAATTTTAATGCAGATAAAATAAGTCAGGTTTATATTTTTACGGAGCTTGAATTGTAGAAAACTTTTTATTCTTCCACAGGAGGTCTCCATCGCCACTCACTAATTACTGGGGAATATTAGACAGATTGAACTTAAACACAGGAAACCCATGTGTAGAAACGTCGGTGGAGCAACGAAATTGTTTGTGTCCCTCGGTTCTCTCCATCGATGGCTATACGTGTTAGACTTGTATAGATAGAAAAATTTTTACGGTCAATGCACTATAGTCTAAGTTTAAAGACTTAACGATAGATACATGTATTTTCCGTTCAACAAGTGAGTTTGAATCCCTTTCTACTGAAATTATTAAATTAACAAAAGAGAAAAAAATTATGATCAGATTATGAAAAGCCGCCTTTTAAGGCCAACAAAATGAGTGGTTTTTGGGTGAAGTATGAGAAAATATAATAGGTTTCATATAAAAATTTACATGTTTATTATTATTCAGATGATTTGAGAATGCAGATATCTAATGAGGAAAGCGTACGTTGAGAAACTGGATAAACTAAACACTGGAAGTAGTTCTACCAAAATGGTAAATGATAAAAGTGGGATCATTCATATGATATGCCGTAGAGAATAAAGAGAACTGACTTATCTGTCGAGATTCCCAGTCATCCATCTGGGTTTAAAAACATGGGTCACCAACATTGATTGAACCAACTCCTATGGAGCCATGGTTAACTCCAGTTAAGCAAATTATCATATCCGTTTTATTGCTAATCGTTAATACATGAGTTTTTGTTTAAAAACATACATACTTATTTTATTGTAAGAATTAACATTCAAAAGCTCTCATGTATAGTAGTATAACTTTCATTAGAGATTAACTTTGGATAGCTAGAATCTCCAAATCAGTAAGGACGCTGATTGACATAGTTGCCTGGAGGATCATAGTTGCAAGTGATGATAGTACCGCCATTATTGCAGCGTACTTTGGCACACCCTAGACGAACAGAGTTGCGCCATACAACCTGCGTGTAGTGCCTGCACTCCCCACCAACACATGAATTAGAGTTATAGTTATACTTAGGCCTTTCCGCCACCCACATGTTCACGGCAGCCGTTGCCGAAAGATCAGCGCTGCTCCCTGCAAGGTTTTCGCCATAAGGGCCACCAGAGTGCACAAGTTTGCAGTCTCCTTTACGTTGGTTGGCATAGTTGCTTGCAAAGGTTGCCACTTTATCATCCCATTTCATGGGGCCAACGTTAACCGTTGCACGAGCAGCATTGTGAGCATTGAGGTAGTCTTGTGGGGAGTTTTGGGCTTGGGAGAGTTGAACTATTGCTAAGCCAATGAGACAGAAGAATGTTGCCAATGAAATTCTACTTATCCCCATTTTTGGTTTTTTTTTTTTCTTTTTCTACAAAGGAAATTAAGTGATATGAAAGAAAAGCTTGAGGGGCTTATATATATAGTGACATGTTGAAGAAAAATCAAAGATGAGATCAAAAGCAGACCAATTTGGTCATCCTGAGGAACTTGGACCAAACCAAATTTTAAGAAAAGTTGGTACCTACAAAACAACAGTAATGTTAGAATTAAATCAAGTTAACCAGTTTATTTCCCTTGTTTGTCATTGATTGTTTTAGAGACTTAAAGTAGTAGCAGCAGCTGCTATGAACGTTCCATTTGTACATTAAACCAAACTAATTTAATTTGTTTCTGAATTTTCTTGGCTGGCAGAATAACCTTCATCTTGGACAAAAAATAAAACTACTGGCTATGGTCGTCTTTGGATAAGTGCAAGACAAACTTTGGCTAGTTAGTGCGCTTTATTTGATGTAGTAGATGTCCAGATCCTGAATTTCCTGTTCATTTTCTACTAAAATGATGGCATGACTTATGTTAAAGTCTGGTAAGACTGCTATCCTCGCTTGGACTTAATCACTTCACAAAGCCAATGTGAATGTGGACTTTGGACTTGTGATCAAGAGTACTGTGACATAAGTTAGGTATCATTTTAATATTATACATATATATGAGTGTATGGATTTATCATGTATTTATTATAAAAACGAAAAAGATTATCCAAATTTAAATTAAAAATTAAGATGAAAAATATAAATCATTATCCTAAATTCAAACTCAATAGGCCTCGTTTTATCTTAATTTTTTAATTTACCAAGAGTTGTAAAAATCTCCTTTCTTGTTAATGTTCTTCCAGATAGAAAATTTTTTTCCCCACCAATTTCCCCAAATAGCCTAATCAACGAAGTAATTAAACACTTGTTCAAGTCTTGATTCTCCCTGAAACAGCAAGTTTAATGGATTACCTATTAGAAGTCTAGGTCTTCCTCCAATCAAAGCAAAAGGCATACATGAAATATGTCGTCTTAGATGGACCAAAACATTTCAGATTCACATCCCCTTTAATGAGCTCGTTTTTTTTTAAGGTGAGGAATATTTTTCAAAATATATTTTTAACCTAAAGTTTTCTATTCTAATTAATAAGAAATTAATAATATTATGAATATTATAAATAACTCAAATATACTAATTTTTTTAAATCTATCTTACATTTAAATAACTCGATAAATCAAATAACTTGATAGAATAAATTCATCAATCTCATAGTTTTTCGGATATCAATCTTAAGAAATCATTAAAAATCAAAAGCAAAAATCACTTTACCAAACGGTGAAGAGTTGAAAATTGAAAGATATTTTTAATTTGTAGTTTGCTTGCAATGTCGATGAGTCAAAGCTCATTCCACCGGGAAGCGATTTTGTTTTGCTGCATATAATATAGACCAAATGCCCAAGGATGTGAATGTGATCATTAATTAATATTTAAGGCTTAATTAATGTTAATAAAATTTTTTAGGAAAAAGAAAAATTAGCAATTTAAGATATACATGAACCACCTTTTCTCTTTTAGAAAATTAAATTATAATCGTAGTTGACTTACAAAATTTAAGATTTTTCCAGTTTTCATTTGGTCCATATGGCAATATTTGCATGGTTTCTCTTTTGAACGTCCGCCTAATTGTACAATCAACTCATCCAAAATTGAAAAAAAATAAATTCAAAGAAGATATAATTATCATCTTTCATTTCAATAAGAAATCAGAATAGCAACTCGTAATAACAAAATTGCATTTCTTCATAATTATTAGCCTTGCAGTAGGCTGATCAGTACATAGCATATTTATTGTATATGTATAAGTTGATTTGGAAGGGTTTAAAGCAAAAGCGATTGGAAATTTGTATTCGGATTTGGAACCTTTTTTAGTAAGGTTTTTCGCCGATGAAATTGCCTGGAGGATCATAGTTGCAACCAATGAAAGTTCCACCATTGTTGCACCTGACCTTAGCACACCCGAGACGAACCGATTTGCTCCAAACCACCTGAGTATAATGACCGCAAACCTTGCCTGGTGCACAGGTGTTAGAGTTGTAATCATAGTCGGCCTTCTCGTTAACCCACATTGTTACAGCATCGGTGCCCGAAAGGTCACCGCTGCTCCAAGCAAGGTTCTCACCATAAGGTCCACTGGAGTGCACAAGGTTGCAGTCACCAATGCGCTGGTTAGCATAGTTTTCTGCATAGGCAGCTACGTTGTTGTCCCAAGTCATAGGGCCAACACCAACCGCTGCTCGGGCTGTGTTGTGAGCGTTGAGGTAGTCTTGTGGCGAATCTTGGGCATGGGAGGGAAGGACTATGGCTAAGGCCATAAGACAAGTAACAGCTAAGGAAGAAACCTTAGAAAACTCCATCAGGGCCAGGGGTTTGTATTCTATAACTAAGATTGCAATCCAGAAATGTTGAGCAATTGATGTGTGAGATGAATACGCTTGAGGGGGATATTTATAGGCAACTAATTAGTTTGGCAGTTGAATGTTCAAACCATGGTTACTGTTCGACAATTCTTATCTGGAATAAAATCAATGACATATACGGTTGATGCTTTCCAAGTATTTTGTAATTTAAGGGTTTTTTTTTTCATTTGAAGTTGTTAAAATTTGAATTTTAATTATACAAATTAAAAATTTAGCACTATATGAATAGCTTATGCGACCGTTGATTTTTTACTTTTATTTTAAACTTTTTTAGCCAATAAACTTTCTTTTTAATCGGAAAAAAAGTGTGGAGGTAGTTTTATATGTTGACTATTACTTGCCTTTAAATTACGATGTTACAGATTTTGACACTAATCTTAAATAATTAAGTTTTATAACTTACAGTACATTTTACTTTGATTAATTTACAAGATTAATGGCAACCTATTTACCTTCAAATTTTTATATAAGAATTACACACAAAAAAATTTCTAATAATTGGAAGACATGCATGCACCAATTAACCTATCATTCTCCTTTTCTATTAATTTTGCTTCCAATTTCTCTTTACACAATTTTTTAATATAAAAAAGGTTGTAATCTAAAAAAAAAAAGTTACAAGCACTAGAATTCTAATTATATATTTATTAAATTTTATTTTTTAAGAATAATCGAAAGAATCAACTAAATTAAATTTTAAATTTTTTTATACAAATTACTATTATATATATTTTACTTTTTATATGTAAACTGCCTAATTGCGAAGTTTCCTCTTTAGTATAATTGTTTCGTCTTTATTTATAAGCCATAGTCTTTATCATGGAACATGTAAATGCCGTGTATTAACGATTTTCTGAACCAAATTACAAATAGGATGGACACCGGTCATTTTCAAAACCCAAATATCTTATTTTTGTGGTCATATATTCCCTTCTGGAAAAGGATATTCTCTTACTTGGCCTAATTAATTATCATGGTTGATTTTTTTTTTTCTCTTACGATAAGAATGGCATGATGTCATTCCTTTAGATTTTCATATGAAAAAAAAGGTAAGTGTTGCACCACGTTCCCTGAAGGATAGAATGACTTGGTTGCCTTGCTTCATTACCTGCATATAATCATCCGGTAATTAGGCAAATCACATTTTTTAAGTTAATCTTCTATTCTGCATAACAAAAAATAATTTTTTTACAAATGAAATTATCAAAAATTAAATTTATTGATTACAATTAAAAATTTAACACCCACCTGCAAGTTACATTTCTATTGGCTGCAACAAAAATCGACTTTACCAAAGTCTTTTTTTTTTTTTTTTTTTGTGGGCATATATTGAGATTGGTTGGTCTAACTGAAAAGTCTTTTTGAATTTTTTTTTTTCCAAAAAGGAAAAGGAAAAGGAAAATAAGGAAGATATTTGTACCTTTGTATGAAAAACATGTTACCGTCTAGTTTAGGAACATAATCTAAGCACGCAAAAAGTGACGTGGTTGAAAAAATAGAGCCCTACACCTTGAGTTTATGAGACTTTTCCGGTAGGGCAATACTGGGCAACTTTGGTGTGCCATTTTCCCTCTCTACTGATTTTCATGATCCTTCATATTTCTGCAAATACGCTCTTAGAATTGTACCCATCTCAGCAAATTCATGACCATGGTCATGATCATGATCTTCCAGTTAAGGGTTTTTTGCTAAAACCAAAAGATCGCTAGTCTTCCTCTTGGCTTTTCTAAAACGAAAAGATCGTTAGTCTCCCTCTTGGCTCATGTCTGCTCCAAATCAAATTAAGCCCTGAATATTCTTTCTCTGTCATTTTCGTAAGAAAAATGTCATTCTTATCATTTACTTTGTTATCCATTACAACAACCAAAAAAATGTAATCCCAACCTAACAGGCTCGATTATGCAGTTCCCCAACACCTCGAGCAACATCTAATTCTTGCGAATTTAGGGTTCATAAATTGATTCATTTTTTTAGCAAATTCAAACTGTAAATAAATTTATGTTTGTTACATCAAAAAATGTAAAAGATAGTATTAATTAATGCAGATAAAATAAGTTAGGTTTCTGCTTTTACGGAGCTTGAATTCTAGAAAACTTTTTATTATTCCACAAGGGTCTCCATCGCCGCTCGCTAATTACGGGAGAATTTTAGACAGATTCATCTTAAACACAGGAAACACATGTGTAGAAACGTTGGTGGCGCAACGAAATTGTTTTGTTTCCCACGGATATCCCCGTGGATGGCTATACATGTTAGACTTGTGATTGTGAAGATAGAAATTTTTTTATGGTCAATGCACTATAGTCTAAGTTTAAAGACTTAATGATAGATACATGTATTTCCCGTTCAACATGTGAGTTTGAATTCCTGTCTTCTAAAATTAACAAAAAAAAAAAAAAAAACAATTGATGATCAGATTATGAAAAGCCGCCTTATAAGGGCTAACCCAACCAAATGAGAAGTTTTTGGGTCCAAATAAGTAAATATGAGAAAATATAATAGGTTTCATATGAAAATTTGCATGTTTATTATTATTCAGATGAGTTTTTTATAGCCGCGCATTAGATAAAATCTATTACCACTTTGTAATTCCATTTAATTTTTATATGCTTTTAAAAAGAATTTATTAAGATTTAGATTTTTTACTAAGAATGTTTTTAAGTTGGATTGAATTTGAATTAAATTTAAGTATGATATCAACATTATATATATTTATTTAAATTCGATTGAATCATACTATTTGAACCTCAAAATTTTCTCATGTCAACTCAAATTTGTATAAACTGGATACGGCTCTTCAAGTAGAGCCAATCGAGATTACTGTTGTTTTCTAAAAAATTAAAAATAAAGTTATTTTATTTGATTTATTTAATCTTTAGTAATTTTACCTTCATATATTAAGTTTTAAAACATGGATAGATTAACATTTTTCTAAATATTTACATAGCAATATTATATATTTATCATATATATGATCTAAATTACATAATAATTATAAATCATAAATATCCTATAATTGAAAAAAGGTAGGATTGGACCAAGTTTGGGTTGATCTAAATAATATTGGATTTGGATGTTGAATGTCAAAATAACGAAGTCCTGATTATTTTTTAAACGAAGCTTTTTTCTTTTGCTTAAACCCATTTTTTTGTGCATAATATGTTTCTCCAACCCTTCTAAATATTGGACAAGATTTCGAGCTTGAACAAACAGTCTGATTCTTGGAACAGGCCTACTTTTTGTCCTATCCAAAGAATTTGAAACTTGCTTAGAATAATAGTCATTGGCGTGATGATGGCCAAAATTTTACTATTTGAACAGGTACATGAATCTTGGCATAAGGCGATTATCATGGACATATACACTCAATTGGAGTTTGAATTTATCTCCACAAATCTAATATATTATATGTTGGTGTGGAAAAATACTTATTTATAGTTGGTTATAATCTTGTAATCTGTATATTTATATTTGTATATCTAGAATTAAGTATTTGTATCCCTAGAATTAAGGAAGATTTAGTTTCTTAATTTAACCCCTAGTTGTTGTATATAAACATAAAATTCTTATATAATTAAAAATAAGTAGTTTTTCAATATATATTCAGTTTCCACATGGTATCAAAGTTTTAAGCTCTTCTTGGGAAGCAAAATTTTTAGCCTTCATTGCTGACTTTTTTAGGTCTTCATTGTCGAATCCTGTTTAGGCCTTCATTGCCGAACCCTTTCAAAGAAAGATATCACTACCACCCAATTTGAGAAAATGTTAACTGGAAAAATCACTGAAGTACTACAGATATCTCAGAAATAAGGAGAGTTCAACAGGGAAGAGATTAAAAAGCCGAGAAACTTATTGAAAATCCTTGAAAAGCCTACTATGGTATGTTCTTTGGGTAAAGTTTCTAGTTCAGGTAAAGCTTCTGATTCTCTTTGATTAAATGTCTCGGCTAAGCCTATTACGAGTTCTTAGGTCATTGACTCAGGAGCCACAGACCACATGATACATTCCTCATAAAAGTTTAGTACATATAACCTGTGTTATAGTAATAAGAAAATTGTTGTTGCTGATGGTTCACTTACCACAGTGGCAGAATTAGGAGATGTTCAAGTTAATCCCTCGTTTGTTCTAAAAAATGTTCTTCATGTTCCTGGATTGTCTACTAATTTGATATCTATACAAAAACTTACCAGAGATATGAATTGTAAAGTAACTTTTTATCCCTCTTATTGTGAATTTTAGGACCAGAGTTCAGAAAAGATGATTGAACTTGTTAAGGAGAAGGATGGACTATACTATCTTGAGACATTAAATAACATAAGTAGTATCAAAAATAGTTTACCTTTGTCATTTCTTTCTGAAAAATTTTTCAATAAAGATAAAATCTGGCTTTATCATTTTCGTCTTGGACATCCTTTTTTTGGAACCTTGAGAAACATGTTTTTTTATTTGTTCAAAGGATTAAATGTTGAAGATTTTCATTGTGATGTTTGTAAATTTATAAAACATAGACGTGTGTCTTTTTCATTCAGTAACAAAAGAAGTTCTACTTCTTTTTACTTGATTCATAGTGACATTTGGGGTCTCTCTACAATTCTTAATATTTTTGGTGCGAGATGATTTGTTTCATTCATAGATGATTGTACTAGGGTCTCTTGGGTTTTTTTACTTAAATTCAAATCAGATGTGAATAGTATATTTTTAAGCTTCCAAAACATGATCCAAAATTAATTTGAAGTGAGAATCAAGAGATTTAGGTCTAATAATACAAGAGACTATTTCAACTAGAGTCTATCCACATATTTTCAAAAAGAAGAGATTATTTATGAGTCATCTTGTATTAATACTTCACAGCAGAATGGAGTGGTAGAAAGGAAAAATAGCCATTTACTAGCCACAATCCGAGCTTTTCTTTTTCAACCAAATGTACCTAAATCTTATTGGGAAGAAGCTGTTCTCACTGTCACACACATTATAAATAGGTTACCTTCAAGAGTTTTGAGATTTAAAACTCCTATGGAACTACTCTCACAATTTTATCCCAACCTCAATACCACAAACAATCTCACATCTAAGATATTTGGTTGTACATCATTTATTCATGTTCACAGTCATAACAGGAGAAAGTTGGATCTAAGAGCGATTAAGTATATTTTTGTGGGGTATTCTTCAACTCAAAAAGGATATAAGTGCTATCATCCTCCTATTAAAAAATTTTATGTGTCTGCAGATGTCACTTTAAAGAAAATAAACAATTTTTTACTCAACATTATCTTCAGGGGGATACTTCATTCATGAAAGATAAGGATAAAGACTTCTTTTTACTTGATTTGCTCCCTTCTTCAACATTTACACATATTAATTCTTTTGAGTCAAAACCTGTTTCTGTTGAGCCCAAGTCAAACATTGAATTTGAGTCTGAACCCATTCCAAATACGAAAGATGTGACAAAAGATAATATTGTTCTTGATTCTATGAAGAAATTACAGGTGTATTCAAGAAAAAAATTTTTAGATCCTGAACTAGTGCCAGTCCAAGAACCTGATCCTAACTCTGAAAATGAGGTAACTATAGTTTTTTACTCTATTTCTCAAAATGAGCATTAAACCTCTTAAAACTATAACTAGTGATTATGATTTGCCTATTGCCATTAGGAAAGGAACCAGAGAATGTACCAAGCATCCACTATATCCAATATCTAATTTTATGTCATTTGAAAAATTCTCACCATCCCATAAAAATTTTGTCGTGAGCCTAAACACTATTTCTGTTCCAACTATATTATTCGAGGTATTATCCAGTGAGAAATGAAGGCAAGCTATGAAAATAGAAATTGAGGCCTTAGAGAAAAATTAGACATGAAAACTGGTAGAGTTGCCTAAAGAAAAAAATTCAGTGGGGTGTAAATGAGTTTTCACTATAAAATACAAGACAGATAGTACTATTGAAAGGTATAAAGCCAGGTTAGTGGCTAAGGGCTATACTCAAACCTATGGAGTGGATTACCAGGAAACCTTTGCTCCAGTTGCCAAGATGAATACAGTTAAGATTTTGTTATCATTGACTACAAATTACAATTGACAGCTTCAACAATTTGATGTAAAGAATACTTTTCTACATGGTGATTTGGAAGAAGAAATATATATGAAGGTTCCATCGGGATTTGAAGGTCATTTAGAAGCAAACAAAGTATGCATACTGAAAAAGGCTTTATATGACTTTAAACAGTCTCCTAGAGTTTGGTTCGAAAGATTTATCAAAGTGATGCTAGCAATGAGATATAAACAGAGTCAAGGAGATCACACATTGTTTATCAAGCACTCTGATTCAGGAAAAGTCACAGTTTTATTAGTGTATGTTGATGATATAATTATAACTGGAGATGATGAAAAAGAGAAAGAATCTCTAAAACAGTATTTGGCTAGAGAATTTGAGATAAAAGAGCTAGGGAGATTGAAGTACTTCCTAAGAATTGAAGTAGCTCACTCACGGCATGATATTTTTATCTCACAATAAAAATATGTGATGAATCTTCTGAAGAAAACTGGGAAGCTTGCATGTAAACCTGCAAATACCCCTATAGATTCTAATCATAAAATTAGAGAAGCTAATGAAGATGCTGCTGTAAATAGAAAGATGTACAAAAAATTAGTTGAAAGACTCATTTATCTCTCATATACTAGACCTGATATAGCATATGCTGTGAGTGTGGTAAGTCAATTTATGCATAGTCCAAAAGAAGTGCACCTATAGGCTGTCTACCGTATATTATACTATTTGAAGGTTAATCCTGAGAGAGGTATCTTATTCAAAAGAAATTCAAAGTTAGTTCTAGAAGCATATACAGATGCTAATTATATAAGTTCAGTAACTGATAGAAGATCCACCTCAGGCTACTGTACTTTCTTAGGTGATAATCTTGTGACTTGAAAGAGTAAAAAATAGAATGTGGTGGCAAGATCAAATGCTGAAGCAGAGTTCAGAGCAATGGCTCAAGAAATTTGTGAACTACTATGGTTAAAAATTATCCTAGAAGACTTGAAGATCAAGTGGGTTGGACCGATGAGACTCTACTGTGATAATAAGTCTGCAATAAGTATTGCACACAATCCTGTGCAACATGACAAAACAAAACACATTGAAGTAGACCGGTATTTCATAAAGGAGAAACTAGACAATGGATTGATTTGTACACCTTATGTATCAATCAAGGGTCAACTTGCAGATGTGTTGACTAAAGATCTCAGCAGTTCAACATTTCAAGAAATTATTTTCAAGCTGGGAATGGAAAACACCTATTCATTAGCTTGAGGGAGAGTGAGAAAATACTTAGTTACATCTAGTTGTAATCTGTATATTTATATTTGTATCTCTAGAATTAAGTATTTGTATCCCTAGAATTAAGAAAGATTTAGTTTCCTAGTTTAACCCCTAATTAATTGTATATAAACCTAAGATTCTTGTATAATTAAAAATAAGCAGTTTTTCAATATACATTTAGTTTCCACAGTTGGGATATTGAAAATATATTGGCTAATTTAATCAGTAAAGTTTCATTTTCTGATACTCTTGAATATAGACCGAAGTAATAAGAAAACTAAAGCGAAAGCCTCCTCTTGAAAAAATTAAACGTAATATATTTCAATATTGCATCAATCAAAACATAGTATTATTACTTTATTGTAGATCTTAAAAGATCAATTAACAAAGAAACTGGCTAAGTGATTAGTAGGGACGTTCTCCTACATAGTTCCCTGGAGGATCATAGTTGCAAGTCGCGAACCACCAGCCATTATTACACTGAAATGTAGCACAACCAAGATGAGTTGAGTTTCGCCAAACCACCTGAGTATAATTCAAGCAGTCTCCACCAATACATTTGTTGGCAGCGTAGTTGTAGTTAGGCTTCTCATCAACCCACGATTTCACTGCTTCTGCTCCAGTAATGGCGTAAGAGAATTTGGCAAGGTTCTCACCGTAGGGTCCATCTGAATGAATCAATTCACAGTCTGCAATCCTTTTAATAGCATATTCCATTGCATAGGCTACAAGAGTGGGGTCCCAAGTGATTGGTTCAACCCCAACTTGTGCACGAGCTGCATTGTGAACGCTAAGGTACCCCTGAGGGGAGTTCTGGGCCCTGGAAACATGAGCTAGAGTTAAAGATAAAAGGCAAATAGCTACTGAAACTTTGGTTAATCCCATTTTCCAATCTTTCGAAAAGGCGATGATTGCAAGTTTACATAAAACATGAGGTTTATATAGGGATAGATTAACAATTAGTATCTGAAATATTACATTCCATAAAGAGATTTGTAATGTCAGGGCCACTAAAAGAGTTTAATTTTCTTACCAATTGATAGCTTACTATATATAGATTGATGTATCAGATTTTTTTCTCTTTTCTCCTTTACTATATAATATAGCTTATATAAAAATTGATAGCTTACTATATATAGATTGATGTATCAGATTTAATGTTACTCGATCCTTCCTTTCCAAATTATTAACAACTGGAAATCATGAAGAGATACATAGGATTCATGTTTCCTTTTTATAAATCCTTTCTTTTAGCATTATTGTTTCCAATTCCACATTCAGTATGGGATGTCTTGTTTCAGCTAGAGCACCATTTTTGTTTTCTTAATTTCTTTTAGCATTGGATAAAATTTCGAGGTTTTGGACAAACGGTCGGGTCTTGAGCTGGTCTACTTTGTATCCTATCCAAAGAATTTGAAACTTGCTTAGAATAATAGTCATTGGCATGATGGCCGAAATTTGACTCTTTAAACAGGTACACGAATCTTGGCAAGAAGGGATTATCATGGACATATACATTCAACTGGAGTTTGAATTTATCTTCACAAATCTAATATGCTATATGTCGGGATATTGAAAATATAATTTATTGGCTAATTTGATCAATTAAGTTTCATTTTCTGATACCATTGAATATAGACCAAAGTAATAAGAAAATTAAAGCGACGCCCCTTCTTGAGAAAATTAAACGTAACATTGTGTTACTTTATTAATTGAATATCTTAAAAGATCAATTAACAAACAAACTAGCTAAATGATTAGTATGGACGTTCTCCCACATAGTTCCCTGGAGGATCATAGTTGCAGGTCACGAACCACCAGCCACTGTTACACTTAACCCTAGCACACCCAAGACGAGTTGAGTTTCGCCAAACCACCTGAGTATAATGCAAGCAGTCTCCACCAACACATTTGTTGGCAGCGTAGTTGTAGTAAGGCTTCTCATCAACCCACAATTTCACTGCTTCTGCACCAGTAATGGCGTAAGAGGCTTCGGCAAGGTTCTCACCGTAGGGTCCTTTTGAATGAATCAATCCACAGTCTGCAATCCTTTTATTAGCATATTGCCGTGCATAGGCAGCAACAGTGGCGTCCCAAGTCATTGGTCCAACCCCAACTTGTGCACGGGCTGCATTGTGAACGCTAAGGTAGTCTTGAGGGGAGTTCTGGGCCATGGAAACATGAGCTAGAGTTAAACCTAAAAGGCAAATAGCTAATGAAACTTTGCTTAATCCCATTTTCCAGTCTTTCGAAAAGGCAATGATTGCAATTTTACATGCAAATTTTGGTTTATATAGGGATAGATTAACAATTATTATCTGAAATATTACATTCCATAAAGAAATTTGTAATATCAGTGACCCACCAAAAGAATTTAATTATCCTACCGATAGATAGCTTACTATATATACAGATAGCTTACTATATATAGATTGATGCATCGAATTTTTTTCCTTTTCCCCTTTTCTTTCTAAATTGAAAATTTTTGTGTATCAAAAAGAACCTTGAAATTAGAATTTCAGCTATAAATTTTTGTATTTCTCAACCCTTCTTCCCTAATTTCTACATCTTCCCTGGAAAGGTAATCTAATTGATAAAATTATGATTCAGTCTTTTTGTTTTTATTTTTTCTAATGTGTGAAATCAAATGAATTAGTGATGGAACTTGGTCAATGAACATTAATTAAATATTAATGTTACTCCATCCTTCCTTTCCAAATTATTAACAGTTGGAAATCATGAAGAGATATCTAGGATCCATGTTCCCTTTTATAAATCCTTTCTTTTAGCAATAATGTTTCCATTTCCATATTGCATATGGAATGTTCTTTTTCCAGCTAGAGCACCATTTTTGTTTCTTAATTTCTTTCTTTTCTTCCTAATTAATTCTGTCCCCTTTCTCTTGATTAAGCCTTCCATATTCTCCAAATCATTGGTTTATCCTAAAATATTAGAAAGTCCATGTGTATAGTACACGTATGTTTCATACATCTTATATAAATTATATGCATGATAAATATTAAGCGATCGATAGATTTCATTTGACTATAAATGATGCACCAATAAACAATTTGACAAATGATATGTACAAAATTCAAGTAATTTTTCAAGGTGAAATGGAATTAGACATGTCAATTCTTTAAATTTGCTTGTGTAGAGTTAAATGATTTCACTGCTGAATACTGATAGATCTTAATTATAATAATTCTAAGAAATATTTACTATATACTGAGGCAAGCATTTCTGTTTTTATTAATGATTATAAAAAAAATAAAGTTAATTTGTGTTCAAACATTATATATATCTAGCCGATATGTAAAGCCCCCTTCTTCCTGCTGCACGGATACAAAAAATTAAGCAACCCAACTCCAACATCAACTAACTCCAAACGTCAAACAATTACCATAAATTTTTCATGGTCCTAATGATGTCAGTACTTTCCTGTCCCATGTGCAAATGACCAAGGAGAGATGAAGATTATGAAGTTTGCCGGCGAAAAGCACATGGAAAAAGTTTGCATGAATTTGACATTTGTGGCTTTTCTTTCACCCCTCTAATACCAATCATTCTTCATCTGTATGTACTTAATTATCCAAAACAGCATCTCTCCCTCTCTCTCTCTCTCTCTCTCTCTCTCTCTCTCTCACACACACACACACACACAGATATATATATATATATATATATATATATACTTATGCTTATGTTTTTCCATGCATATGGAGACCACAGATTCCATGATATGGAGACTTCTCCCACAGTTTTGGCTGCTTTTTCGTCATATCACACATATAACAAGACAACCCATGTGGTAGGAGGCAAAAAGAACTCTGGTGCCTAAAGTGTTCTTCAGTTTTTAATTAAAAATCAAATCAAATATGATGTTCTATTATTAATTTACTAACCAAGTATTTGTCTTTTCTCAAGAAAGAAAACGGCTTTAAAATAATTGTCACCTGTGCAACAGAACACTATTCAAAATGTGTTTAACCAACATCTTATAGTATTAGATTAGGTAAAGAATACTCAATATTCTTCGATTAAATTAAAATTGTTAAGAATTGATTGGGAGCTGAACTTGTGTGGAGTATGTTCCAGGTTTATATGTCCGGATTTTATTGAAAATGTCCCCAACAATGTTAGAAATTTGAAAGGAGATGAGGAAATAAAGACAGGAAAGTAATTAACATGACAATTATGGCAAACACCATTAATTCCTCCTTCTCTGTAGCATACAAAGAATGAAACACAGGAGAGATTTAGAAGGAGAAAAACAGCAGAACAACGGTTCTTAATAAGGGCGTTGCCCTTCAATGTTTCCAACAGGATCATAGCTACAAATAACAAAAACCCACCCATTCTCACACTTGGCTCTGCCGCATCCAAGGTGAACCGAGTTGCGCCAAACAACCTGAGTATAGTGCAGGCACTCATCATCACCACTAATGCACGAGTTGGAACCATGGTCATAGTCTGGCTTCTCACTAGCCCACATTTTCACAGCGTCCACGCCGTTAAGGTTGCCATAGCCTTCAGCAAGATTCTCACCATAGGGTCCATAGGAATGCTCCAGGTTGCAGTCTCCAATCCTTTTGTTGGCATAATTTTGGGCGTAGGCAGCCACCGTGTGGTTCCAAACGAGCGGACCGACCCCAACCTTGGCGCGAATGGCATTGTGTGCGTTCACGAAGTCTTGAGGGGCATTTTGGGCTAGGGAGAAGTGAGCTAGCGTTAGGGTCAGGAAGCATATGGCTAAGAAAAGCTTGGTGAACCACATTTTCACTAGTATTTAGAACAAAGAAACAGAACAAAGTTGTTGATGTTTTTATGTAATGAGTGGTGGTTTAGGGTATTTATAGGCAATATCCGAGCTAGGGAAGGCATAGCTTAAAAGGGAGTTAAGAAACCTGACTGTGCTCAATAAATCTTGCCGTGATTTGATCAATAAAATATAATGAAGAAGAAGCAAACAGGGCTTCCGAAAGATTAAAATATGAATCAGAATTCACATGCAATGTATAAGAACAGTTAGCATTTTGTCCACTTTGGACCGAATTGCTTCACTCAAAATTAACTGAAAAAAGTAAGATAAGATTACATCTGATTTTTTTTTTTCAGTCTATAAATCAAATAGTAATCTCATAAATTTAATTGGAAAGATATGTTCTAGAAAAAGTTTTATGGCCAAATCCACTCTCTAGCTAGGCTAGGATTCCGATTAATTAACTTTCCAATCAATGTGGTTAGAATTCATGGTAAAGTTCGGTAGAGTTCAAACTTTCCTTCCCATTCCTTGCTTGGATTTGAAGGCCAATCTTGGGCCTTCAAAATAGCTCAAGGAAAAGAAAAAAGAATGCAGGTCAAAAGTCAAAAATCTCAGGCTTCGCAGCCTGATCTTTTGTCACTCTTCTAACAGTGTAATCACGTGAACACATTTCACTATCTCACTCTATAATTAAAATTATAGAAATCGAAGGGTAGATAGTTAATGATTAATAAGTTTAAGTATGATCAGGAGCTCTAATGTTTCATAGCATATTGAGGAAGCAAGTGATTACAGACAAAATTAAACACGATGATTTAGACCCATCATTTCACGGATGAATATTGAATTTTGGTCGATGATAGATTTTAAAATTTTGGATTTTTTTCAGTTATTTTAACAATAAAAGGGAATTTAGACTAAAAATATAATTAGTCTTAATGAATTAAGTAAGTAATTACAGAATTAGCGGCTATAAGATGGCGATGCCCGGCTTTTTGATTTCTCTACTTTAATTCTCCCCCTTTAAAAAAGAAAGAAAAAGGCTTTGATGAGTTAGTAAAGTTTACATTTTGACCCGATGGTAAATAAAGAACTTCTCATGTGATGCCGCAGTTTGATGCATGAAATCAGGATACGTCCTTTTACAAGCAACACTTTCATTTTTCCATTGTTAAGCCGAAAAAAGAAAAGGGCAATTGCCACAATCTAAATGACGATGGGTTGATGTCAGAAATTCAACACTTTAAACTTGGGCTTCTAAATGATTGAAACGCTCCCACGTTTTGAACGCTACCTGGAATGCAAGTCGAAGATTGATTCATTGGGCTCTCTGACAACCCAAATGAGTGTGGTTATGGTTTATGGGTGGCACAGGCCACGCACCGAAGTTTGGGTCAGTTTCTTTGCCACGGCCGATCCATTTTTGTTCAACTTTTGTCCTATTGTCTGGTCTGGCTCTAATGTCGATTTGCTCGGCAACCTTTTTTAATTAGTGAAAGGTTATATACTATTCTTGCAGTTCTGATCTTTATTTGTTTACTAATGATAAAGAAGGATTCAATCTCTTACTAATTTCCAAGTCTTTCTCTCTTCTTTTTGTTCTAATAAAAGATTTGGTTTTGGTCTCTATATTCGGTGAATAATGTATCGGTCTCCTTTCCAAATGATTGAAATTCAGGAAACAAATTTTTATAACCAATTTTCAAGATGGTACCCATTTATAATTCCATTGATTTCTATCATTTCATAATTGAAACTCATAGAAGGTAAACTAATAATCAATATCCGACCAAATGGTTATTGTTTGCTTTACAATTTGCTTAGACGACTTGCAATTTTAAGAATAAGCTCTCAAGGATACTAAACCATGGGAATGTTACAAGAAAAAAAGAGAAAAATCCGTGGATACTAAATTTCAAGGATTTTGAAGTTAAAAAATGTGGCAGGTGAGCTGCAAATCATTATTTTTTTTTCTCCTTTTCCAGGTAATGACTCTTTCTTTTGTTTCATGTTCTCTCTTCATTCTGAACCCCAAACAAATGGTTGGATTATTGATTAGGTCCTTTTCCCCAATAATTAAAGATAAACTTTTAAACAAGCAAGTACTAACCAGCCAGGTCAATGTTTGAATTAATCATGAAAAGGGTAATTTTACAAAATTCAACACAATTTTGGGGTTAATTATGCTTCTTTTGACTTCTTCAGAAAATATATATATATATATATATATATATATATAAACTACTACTATATAATATACTCACGGATGATCTGATGAAAGTTTTTGTCAGGGATTTTGTCACATTTCCTGTAGTAATAACATGAAAAAGTCTTTGCTATGATCAATTCAGGAGCCAAAATAGCAACCCAGAACAGAGAACAAAATATAACAGCAATTAATCACTAATGCAATAGTTTTTGGTGGCATAAATTTCAACTTCAGAATCTCCAAATTCCCTGATTTTAAGGGATTTTTATTTCAGATTCTCTACTACACTTTTAGACATTAGAAGCAGGGAAAATCAAGGGAACAATTTCATTTTCGAGATCTCCTCGCCTACAAAGTTAAAATGTCAATGGCTTGCTTTCATTAGTAAACACTAAGTCCTGCAATTTTTATCTCTCTTTTCTGGGACACCCTTCAAGGTTTGAGTCTCCATTCTCTCCAAGGTGAGTCATTCATCTCAATCTGGTTTTAGTTTATTGATGCAATTTTCTATGTTTCATGATCGATTTCCAGGGTTGTGAGTCTTCAAAGAAACAATGAAATTTTATATAAAGAGTGTACATAGTTAATTATACATATCATGTTCATCTTTAATTAAAGAATGGATAAAAAAATTTTATCAATCTTTTTTCAACAAAATATATAGCATTCGCTTTCTGAATGCAAGTTGTTCAGTTCAACTTTTTTTTTTGGTCTAATCATAATATCTGTAATTTGATGAAATTTGTATTTAACTTATATCTAGTTAGATTACTATTTCCAAATAGAAATTAAATTTGATTTAGTAGTAGGGTATTTCCATAAATTATCATTAATATCTACTATAAAAATAGATCCTTTTTTTTTATAAATTCTACTTCTAACCATAATGCTTGGTAGATTATAGTGGATCAGATCAACCATGCACTTTTTTTAATCAAATTTGAATCTAATTGTTGATAGTTTCAAAATGTTGTGTTGGAGTTACTTTTAAGAGCTATAAATAAGATAATCTCTTTGCCTTTAGCAATTAGACCAAGTGCTGTGGAATAGGTCAAGACTCAAGTGCATTGAGCTCACTAGAATATTGTAATTAATCATATGAGTACTCACGGACAAATGATTAATTCAGGTGGTAAAAATAGTGTACTCATTTTTTTATTATCCAAATTCAAATTCGCAGTAGGTTGTGAAAAATAAATTTAAAGTGTTTTAACCGTTCAAAACCAAATTTCTTTTGTTCTTCCTATTTCTTATTTTATTATTTCTTTAAAATTTTCTAACATGTATTAATAATACTCTCCTTCCATAAGTTTTTTATTTCTAATTTCGTACTCTGCATCAAAGCAACCTGTTTGCTTCCTGAAGTATCATTGAGGATATTAACCTAATTCTCTCCATTGCAGCTAAGATTATGGCTCCATCGTCAGTCTCACTCAAACCCGTTAACAGGTATTTTTCATTGTTTGGTCTTTTAAGTTAATCTGAAGACAGTAGGCAAAGCTTGTTTTTACATTCCAAAATTTGCTTTTAAAACAAGACAGACAAGCCAAAGGACCTAAGGTTATCTATTACAACTGTATTGTCTCCTCCGGTTTGGCTCTACATCTAAGTTTTTTGGACCTTTTCCTGGGTGTGCTTCTTTGAAAGCAGGGATGGTAACGAAACATATGCTAACATCGATTGGGACCAACTAGGTTTTGCTCCAACTCCAACAGATTACATGTATGTAATGAAAAGCTCTAACAAGGAGAACTTTTCTCAAGGACATCTTGTCCGCTGTGGAAACATTGAGATAAGCCCATTCGCTGCAGTCCTGAATTACGGACAGGTAAGCACACAGTCAAACTTGTAATGAAAGTAACAAATATATATTGCATCCATCAACGTTATAGCGTTGTCTTTCAGAAGATTGTCTTATGTCAAATTAACCATTTATTAATCCTGACAAGCCCAAATCTGGTTGTGGCTTCAGGGATTGATTGAAGGTCTAAAGGCATACAGGAGAGAAGATGGTCGAATTTTGCTGTTCCGGCCGGATCAGAATGCTAAGCGCATGCAAATTGGTGCACAAAGATTGTGCTTGCCATCCCTATCTGTTGAGCAATTTGTTGAAGCCATAAAGCAAACTACACTTGCCAACAAGCATTGGGTACTAGACCTTCCCCTTCCTTAATTATTCCTTCTATTAATTTTAGTACTATTTTTCATTGACATTTTATTGTGTATATATGAACATTTTTGCTTCGACTGGAAATAGGTCCCGCCTCATGGAAAAGGGTCATTGTATCTTAGGCCTCTGTTGTTGGGAAGTGGACCTGTTCTGGTACCTGTTCCAGCTCCTGAATGCACGTTTCTGATATATGCCACTCCAATTGGTAACCATTATTTGGTAGGTTGTTGGCCATACTTGGACGGTTGGACCTAAAACAGAGTCGATTCTCATTCTAAAGTGCTTAATTAGTTCTGGATTTTGTTATGTCAGACCAATCGCGGAGCTGCAAACTTGTATATGGAGGATAAGGTTTACCGTGCTGTTCCTGGTGGCATTGGGGGCATCAAAAGTATCAACAATTACTCACCAGTAAGTTTAATTCCGCACTCAGCCTTCACAGTTTTTGACTAGGGTAATATTATGTGTAATTGTTGGCTTTTTTTCCCCCACTTTGCTATAGGTTTTCGAAGCAGTATCTAAAGCCAAAGCCAAAGGATTCTCTGATGTGCTATTTTTGGATGCAGCAACTGGAAAATACATTGAGGAGGTTTCTTCATGCAACATCTTTATTGTGAAGGTAATACATATCTAGGCTAATTGCTATGTCTCCTTCCCAATTTGTTTTTTTATGCTTAATTTTCTTCTGTGATTTTTCCATATACTCAATTTCTAAAGGTTGTTTGAAATTAAAATAAAAAGAGCAATTCGGATTAAATTAAAATCCTCAATGTTACAGGGCAATGTTATTTCAACTCCAGCAATACAAGGAACTGTTCTGCCTGGAGTAACTCGAAAAAGCATCATAGAACTTGCTCTTGACATGGGTTATCAGGTGATCATCCTTTCTTACAACCGGCAAATTCTCTGCTAACCAAAGAAAAGTTCTCTCAACTTCAACATTTGATTAATTAAGAGAGTTTTCATGGATTTTTTTTTACATATTGTTATGTGACAATAACATTTTTTAGAAATTATTTTGTGAATTTGCGTCAGGTTGAGGAGAGGAATATCCCAGTTGAGGATTTGATGAATGCTGATGAAGTGTTTTGCACAGGAACGGCTGTGATTGTTACTCCTGTTGGTACCATAACCTCTCAATATGAAAGGTACAAAATATATATCATGAAATTCTAGAGATACTGTACAGTAAGCTAGCATTTTTGCAGTTCTTTTTTTTTTTAGTGTTTCTCTTCCTCTTCTGCTGCTCCAAATCCTTTTAATCTTGGATTTTCTTGCCTAAATGGATATGATTGTGTGAATATTGTCCAGTGCTGAATACAAGACAGGAGAAGAAACAGTAGCAAATAAGCTGCGGACAATGCTTAGCGGGATTCAAATGGGTCTTATCGAGGACAAGAAGGGATGGACTGTTGTTCTTGATTGAGCTCTTCCTTCTCCTTTTTGCAATGCAGAGTTGAAAACTGCTCTCTCTATCTGATTGTTTTGAGGCTATTTATCAGCAAAAGACTATTAACAGCTTGACTTAGTAAATCCATCATATTGAAATGAACATTATTTATTATTTACTTCATTCTAGTTGGGTTCAATTTTATTTACACTATATACCCTTTTCATCAAAGATTACAATTAGTTTATTAAATCTCACTCCCCAAACACTATGGTTAATACCAAAGCTCAACAAACACGTGCGTATCAGCAGGCGCTGAGATGCCTTCTAGCCAGTAGCCACTGGCATCTATCATGATTTCCATTGCAGCTAACTTCTCCTGCCTCACAGAGCTCTTGGATTTCTTGAATCTGATCAATTAGCATTAATTCCCACAAAGGCACCAACCCAATTTAGTTGGCTTCCAAGAAATGTGGTTGGTGAGGGGTTTAATTGGCTTATTACCAGGGTTAACCATTATTGCAATTGGACGTAATACTAGTAATAACAAACAAGTTCGTTAATTTTTGCAATAATAGCATACATATCTTCTCGAAAAGTCCATAAATTGGTAACACCTCTTGTCCCCACGTATAAGAATATGACTTGTCGTAACATCTAGATTCGGAGATCTATCGTTAGATATTGATTTGAAAGAGTCGCCACTAATCTTTTTTATCTAGGTGTGATTGGTCACCTAAAGAATCTATCCTTTCAGGGAACACCTAAGTTTAAGGGTCCCTAAAAGAATAGGTTCGGGTTTACTAATCAGAATAGGATTCAAGAGTTTGATTACGTGTGAGAAAGGTTATAGCACTTTCACAATGCCCATCAAAAGATGGTACCAGCTTAATTTTGTGTTATCCAATAAGCCTTAAAAATTTACCAAGTAATTAGTTATTGAAAATTATTCTCAATTGACTCTAATACTTTTAGCAGAAAATTAAAAAAATCTCCTCACCTCAAGAGTATGTAAAAAAATTATTGTTTCACTTACAAAGACTTCATCGTTGGATTATTTAACATTAAAAGAAATAAAAAAAATGATTACTTTTGTGCAGGAAAAATTGATACTTTTAACTTTTCCTCAAAATATTTTTTAAAAAGCTTATTTTTAAGAAAAATTGATACTTTCAACTTTTTTCCAAGAATATATTTTTTAGAAAGCTTATTTTTAAAGAAAATTGATACTTTCAACTTTTCCTCAAAAATATTTTTTTTGAATTTTATTTAAAGAAAATAAAATAAAATAATAAAAATAAAGGAAAATAAATAAAAATAAAAATAAAATAAAAAATATTAAACAAATCTAATCTAATCAATAAATAATAATAATAAATATATAAAAAAATAAAATGAAAAAAAAAACCTGAAAACGGCTCGGTTCAGCTCGGCTTGAGGAAGAAAAATGGCTCGGAGACACAACTTGGCTTGGCTCAGCTTGGCTCGGGAAACGGCTCACACTCGGGTCGAAAGCGGGTCGACACTTAGGTCGGGTTGAATCTTGGCAAAATGCGTGGATCCTTTGGGTTACTAACGCAAAAACAAAGTCGTTTTAGGGAGGGTATATAAGGTTGAAGGTCGATTTTTTTAGCAGAACCCTTATTCTCTCTCTCTCTCTTCCCTTCCTCTTTTTTCCCTTCTCTCTAAAACCTGAAGAACTCCGGTTGAATGCCCATCGGATTTTAAAAATTTTCTCTGGAATCTGGGTTTTTCATCGGAAGTTCGCCAAAAAACTAATCAATTTTTGAAAATGATTGTCGAAAACTGGAAAATTGGTCGAAAAATTCAAACTTGGTCGGAATAGTCACCGAAAAATTCAATCTTCGTCAAAAAATTCAACCGAAATTTGAAAATTTTTCAAAATTTCCAGAAAAAATTCGTAAAAAATTTTCCAAAAATTTTTCACCGATTCCTAGAGCTATTCTAACGCACCAAAACCCTTTCAAGCTTCTGTTTCTTCACTGTCTGCCTTTTTTTCTATCTTCTAGTCTTTTGATCTATGGATCTATTTATAAGGATTGATCAGAAGAGTTTCTAATCAATCTCTATTCCCTTTTAGATTAGGATTCAATCTTTGAATCCAATCTGGATTTTGATTGAATCACGCACTTAAATTTCTATCCTAATCCACTTTAATCGGGTAAAGGAAAGAAGAAAAGAAAAGAAAAGAAATAATAAAATAAAAAAAGATAATAATAAGGATAACATATTAATTAATAGATAAATAATATATAAATAGATAAATAATAATAATAATATAGAAATAGATAAATAATAATACATATATATATCAGCAGATAAATAATAAAAATAATAAAATAAAATAACTATAGATTAATAAATAGTAATAATAAATACATAAAAATACAAAATAAAGTAAAATAAAATATAAAAATATAAGAAATACAAAAATATAAAATGAAGTGGGCCTACCCATTTAGACTAGGCCCAATTGATCTGGGTCTGGACCAAATTGGGTGTCTACAGCTGTCTCTCTTTGCACATTTTCTGTGAAACAAAAATTGTGCAAAAACGTAGATACCAATTCAAGACTCAACTCGATCTTTTTTTTTAATTTTTTTTATATTAAAGATTTGATCAAAACTCCTCTAAGCAAAGGCTCAACGACTTTGAAAAACATAAACAATGCTCCTCTAATCAGAGGCTCAACGACTTTGAAAATGAATAAAGCTCCTCTAATCAGAGGCTCAACGACTTCGAAAAATAAACGATTCCTCTAATCAGAGGCTCAACGACTTTGAAAAATAAATGGCTTCTCTAATCAGAGGCTCAACAACTTTTGAAAAATAAAAGGCTCCTTTAATCAGAGGCTCAACGACTTTTGAAAAAAAAAAGGCCCCTCTAATCAGAGGCTCAATAACTTTGAAAAGTAAATTGCTCCTCTAAATAGAGGCAACCATGACTTTGAAAAGTAAATTGCTCTTCTAAACAGAGGCAATGAAACTTTGAAAAAATAAATTGTTCCTTGACAATCATGTCCAAAGGAGTTATAGATCGTGATTGAAGGAATTTTGTAATGGGAACTCAAAGATTCACAATTTGAGTTCAACATTCAAAGGTTCAGATTTGCACAAATCTTTCAACTTCATAAGAATTTACTAAAATTTGATTCTCAAAATTTTAGTTTCATTCAAATTTATAATATCTCGAGATTTGCATTTGCAACTTGCAAGACTCGCATCCAACATTTAAAGATCCTTATTTGAATTTTGGAGATTCACATCCAAAAGTTCAAGGCTTTTCAAAGGTTCTTATTTGGCAAACTTGGAATTTATATCCAAAAGTCTAAAGCTTTTCATTTGAATTTTGGAGATTCACATCCAAAAATTCAAAGCTTCTCATTTGAGTTCAAAGGCTCACATGCAATAAAACTTACAGTTTCGAACCTAAGTTCAAAGGTTCTTATTTAAAACATTAGAAATTCATATCTAAAAAGTTGAGGCTTTGTATTTTGGAGATTCACATCCAAAAGTTCAAAACTTCTCATTTGTTTGAAAATTCACATTCGATAAACTTTAGGGTTTCACTCAAAGATTCTCATTTTGAAACTCAAAGATTCTCATTTGAATTCTAAAAAATTCTCATCAAATATTCACAACTTGTTTTTCAAGTGACTCAAAAATTTGCATGAATGAATGTTATGACCAAAAATGCAAATGCCTTATTAATGATGCAAATGCAACAACCTAGATTCTCATAATGCGATGCATGTCCAAACATCAAATTATGTGAATGTACTATTTAAGCAATGATGCCAACATGTTACATGTAATGCGAATGTCAATAATGTCATGAAATCCTAAATAATTGTGAAATATGATCCTCAAGACCTACCATCTCACATTCTCCTTTTATTAGCTTCTCAACATTTTGGAACAAGCTTCATCAACTGATCATCATTGTTTCCATTACTTGATCACCATCCGAAGGTTTCTCAGTGTCAACAAATTTTACCTATTACCCTACATGCCATGCTTATAAGCACTAACCATTTCAAAATAAATTTAATGTTTTGTCATTTGGTCATCGTTTATAAACTTCTCAGCACCAGTTTCGCTATTGCTCCATATCATTTTCATCACTTAATCATAACTCATAGGTTATATCGATTAATACATCCCTATATTCATCACTTAATTATACCACTTTTCAAAATTTGCTCCATCTTCATTTTATTGTCCAATCTATCATCATATTTTTCATTTGGTCACATCATATGTCCTTTCAAATCATCTCTTTTAGGTTTATACCATTTCTTCATTTTGTTACCACCATCATCTTAGATTTCTTTTAAAATAAATGCAAGACTCTTTTAAGCACATATTCATTCATTCATTATCATTTTAATTCTTGACAAATACAATGCAATCAAGTATTTTCTCAATTTATTCTAGGAATGTAATAATAAGAGAACACAAGGTGAATTATGGTAAAGATAATCAATGAAGATCTATTTTGGTACAAAACAAATGGGAAAAAAATAAATTGGATACATGTTATTGGGATGAATGGTATGTCCAAACGATGAATATTCAAACAACTTTCAACATTAATCTAATATTTTTTTTCAAAAACTCATTCCATTTACTGTTAAAGTTATTTTGAGCTTAGCGAACTTTACCTCAGTCTTTGAGGGATCTTCAATCGTCTTTGATCTTCCATCTATGTGAACCATTTGACCTAAATCTTTTTCTACCCAAATCACATTTTCAGGTTTTCAATTTGAATCTTTTTTTTTATTTTCTCATTTTTTTATTTTTTTTTCTTTCTTTTTTTTCATTTTTTCATTTTTTTCATCATCTTCTTTTTTTTTTCTCATTTTTCATCAATTGTTGATATCTTTCCACACATAAAACTTTAGAGCAATGTAGTATGATTTCGTTGTTTCATCATGAGCATGCCTTCGCCTAACATATGATCATTCAAGTTAAGTATTCACACTTGATCCAAATAGATTTTCAAGGTTGTAATGTTGGTTAAGGTGAGAGGTCATCAAAGAAATGGATATAATAGGCTCAAAACATGTATTAAAAATGTTCAAGACCAAAGGATCATTTGATGGAACTTGGTATTTTGCCCCCACATCATTTCACTATTTTTTCTTTTATCACACAAAAGATTCTCATTATTTTACCCCAAATCATGTGTGGTATTTTTTTTTTTTGCTTTTTTTTCTCTTTCCATCTTTGAGACCTTTTGTGATATTTTTTTAAAAATTACCCCCTCAGTGTAAAGGGTGATCTTTG